CTTCCACCCATTGGAAGAACATCAACACTCAGTTGGGTGCGAACGACTACGATGATGGAGACTTAGAATGGGAGGATGAAGATGCCGGATGGAGATGAACTCCAATTTCAATCCAGGTGCCGTTTTCTCGCAGTAGCACTACTCCAGGCCCTCGTGTATACCATGTGTCGGATTTGTACCATCGACCCCTAGTGTCTGTTATACGGGAGAAGATCTCGAATACCCGAGATGCTAAGCTGTTCCATTATGAGCCCTATCAATTGCGTTGGGCTCCTCCACACCTCGACACCGAGGTATCCATTCACAGTGACCTTTATACCTCCTCCGTTTTCCATGAAGCCCATCAAGACGTGCAGAATTTACCGAGGGAACCTGGGTGTGACTTACCGCGGGTGGTAGCAGGTCTAATGTTCTGGTCTGATGCAACTCAGCTCACTTCGTTTGGCAATGCCAAGCTGTGGCCGACCTACATGTACTTCGGCAATGAGTCGAAGTACCGCCTGTTGCAAGCCATCATGTCACTTGAGCAACCATGTAGCATACTTTGAGATGGTATGTTTTCTTAGTGAATCAATTGCGTGACATATCTAACGTCGATTTCACTAGCTTCCCGATTCTTTCAAAGATTTTGTAGGCGAAAAAGGTATCAACAGTTGACTGCGCGACACACTGTCATAGGGAGTTTTTCCACGAGCAGTGGAAGGTCCTGTTGGACGACGAATTCGTGAAGGCCTATGAACATGGTATAGTCATTCGTTGCTATGACGGCATCACATAATTCAGTACTTTATTTTCGACTTAGTCGGACAGCCAATGGTTGAGAATAGACCCAGTTAGGCGGGCCGTCCAACATGGGCCCATGTGTGCTTATGCACGGATGGGCCCACAGTGTGGAATAGCACCCATGCTAGCAGGTGGGCCAAGTGTTGATGCCATAGCATGAATGGGACAATTGTAATGGGCCACAAGGTACATGGGCCCAGTTATATATCTCGGAAGGGGGGTACGGATGGGCCTAGCTACTTATTCTTGGGGAAATTTGATGTCGGAAGAGCCAACAGGAAAATTTTGAGCCCATAATAGTATCAGGCATGGCTGGCGAATGGGCTCAGCTCATATCGGAATAGCTTACGGATGAGCCCAGCTGGTTATTGACAGTATCGGAAGAGGGCACAAGTGAGCCTACCGGTTATTCCTGGGCCCATCACAATACTGGGAAGGGTTAGTGGATGGGCCAACTGGTTATTTTGGGCCCAGTAGATACCAATTCAGTGTGCGGATGGGTCAAATATGCAAGACCTGGCCCGGCACATAACAAATTCAGGTGCGGATCGGCTCAGTACACAAGCATCCGGAAGGGCCCAATCGGTCCTCACATTCAATATGCGGATCGGTCCGGCTGGTAAGGTTTAGGCCCAGTGCACCAATATCCGGAAGGCCCGAACTGGCCCAGCACATGCACATTCCCGCAGATCGGGCCAGTCAAGGTGGGCCCCAATATGCGGGCAAGTCGGGTGGGCCTACCATGAAGGAATTCCCGGTAGTGATGGGCGAGCCATTAGTATATGGATGTGGTACTGATTTGGTAGGGGTCACGGATGGGCCCAGCAAGTTTTTTCGGCCCACCGGATATGCATATGATCCCGCCCGGAGGGGCAACGTATAGTCTCATCTATTGTTCGGCCCAGTACATATGCCGGGTAGTCTTGGATGGGCCTACGGATGGGCCCAAGAGAATATTCATTTGATCTCGGAAGGGCCGACTAAGCTGAATATATGGCATGGGACTGCATTGTATTCGTGAAGGGCCAGCTAGTTATTTGGTCTGGCCCATGATAGGCATCTGATTTCGGAAGGGCTAACAGTTGCGCCCAGCAGGATATTCTTCGACCTAGTACATGTGCAAATAATCTCGGAGCGGCTTCCGGATAAGCCCAGTGCAAGTGTTGGATCTCGGAAGGGCTCGGCTAGAGAATTTGGGCCAAGTCAGTGCACTTTGTGTCAGAGACTAGTTTTACAGATGCAACTGGTGCAACAGAAACGAGTAATAAAATACAGGACAAAGTTCGATACGAATGCTGATCCGGATCCGACGTTGATATACATGTCGGAGGGATGCACCATACATGTACCGTCCGCGATGATGCACATCGTTATAACGCTCAGAAAATCATCGGCCGTGATCATCGTGCCGTAGTCGGGAGTGTCAAAACTTTCATTGCCACTACCGCATGAATATCACAGCGTCATGTCATCATCATGAAGTAAAGCATATCCTCACTATGGAAGACAAGATATTGAATGAAACAACAATGCAGCTCATATCTACAAATCACATAAACCCAGAACTGAGCTACAGGAGATGGGGACCGTGAACAGCATAGTAAGGAAAGATGTAGCTAAAAGTACAGAATATATGGGGTATCATGATATAAAGAATCCTGGAAACTAGTCGATCCAAGATGTACCAGATAGGGTGTCATTGCTCTCTACCAGGCATCCAAGGCATTAAGGCATTGCTCCAGTGCATCGAAGCACTGGTGGATGATAGTCTCCACTGAACAAACTCTTACATCCAAGGTGTCCAGCTGCTCGTTGGTGGCCAGGAGATCAAATCTCCTGCCGAGGTCCTGAATGCCCTGCAGGATGTCCCTTGCAGTGGGCTCGGGATTGGCGCAGTTGGTTGGTGCAAACTGATCACCCCGTTCGGGCCGTTGGCTTGCGCTGTTGATCGCAAGCGTTTTGATCGGCACATCAGCCGGCAGGCCAGGTTGTTGCTCCACCTCTAAGAGTTATCTCAATGAGTTAACATCTTTCCATTTGGACTGGAAAGCTCACCTTCGGCGATGTTAAGTATAACTGGAGATATCACGCGGGACTTCCGAATGCGCGTTCCGGAGTGTTCAGCAGAATTCGAGGAAGCAGCGGAAGCCTTTGCCTGGATTCTCTTCCTCACGCCGACGCCGTCGATCGCACAGGTGACCTTCATGAGGTCGCAATTTGCACACGCAAGTCGCATGCATCCGAACTTTTTGTCCTGGAAGGACAACGCATGGTATGTCCATTTTCGTGCACTTGTCGCACTTCCGGGGATGGAAACAAATGGAATGCTTGAAATTTGTTAGGTTGTCCTGGTACAGATAGACACAACGACTTACCTGGAACGGAGTAGCGATACAATCATCTGAGCCCCATTCTGCAGGCTTGACAATGGGTCAGCATCAGCGCTACGGATAAGTGAGAATCACTTACCCGAATGTCTGAATCCCGGAAATCCTGGTCATCGCCTGGCAGACCAGCCTTGTCAGGAGCAACAGACGGTAATGCCTGGAGCGATAAGCCATTTGCTGCATCAACCAAGATCAACTGACATACCTTCGGTTTCGCATCAATGATTGCGGTTGGCGCATCCGACATCAACTTCCTTTTCTTTTTCAGAGGCTCTTGGGGCGAGGAAGGTAACTTGGGGGTTTCGACCACAACGGCCCCATCTGTATCTTCATCACCCGCCTTTCCCTTCTTGCTATCGCTGGCCGTGGAAAGTGCCTTCCAATGTTCCCTATCAGCTTTGGCCACATACAGGTGGCGGTATCTCAAGGGTGGATGTGCCGGACAAAGGAGAGGGGGTAGGTTCTTGAGCACTCGTGGGCGGGAAGGGCATTTTGGTTGCGCTACCGGCTTGGCAATGAGATCCAGGTCCGTGCAGGATGGATTCTGATGTGCTCGTAAGCGCGAAGATCGTCTCAGTTCCGGTACAGGCTTGGCAATGAAATCCGGGTCCGCACGGGATGGCATTGATGCAAGAGCTGAGGTTGTCAAGGGCGGGACAATGTGAGGTGGTGAGGTGGGAGAGGTGGTGATTGCGCTTGATGTCACAAGTAGAGAAACATCAAGGGCAAAGGGTGGGCGATAGTCCACGGTCTTCTCGAATCGCGGGTGGTCCTTGATCCGTGGGTCGTCTTCTGCTACCGAAGTCCAATCGGGGACATTCTCAAAGGCACCGCCCTTTGAATACTGCTGGATAACGGCGGCGCAGGAGAGTAGCAGGGGAGAGAATGATGTCGCATTCCCCGCATAGAGTTTCAAGTCTTTGGCCTGTGTGAAATGGTCGGGTTGCAAAAAAATCTGAAGTCGGAGAGGAAATATAACTTACCACTCGCCTGGCGATCTCATCTGAGAGCCTTAAGGTTTCTGGGTCGGCTTCCTTTAACTTCATGCAACGCTTGATGAGCGACTGCACATCAGCCAGAGTTATCTCCAGGGCGTTGTTGGCTGCTTCCTGAGGTATCATGACAAATTGTGAAGGGACGAAATTCGTTAACGGCAATGAAAGGGATGGAAGCAAGAGAATATGTTTGTGTGGGAAAATGGCTGGGTGTCATCCCAATCCACCGGTTCTGGGTGTTTCCAAGACATGTGGTCACTCAGAAATATTGTCCGGGTGTCACACTATTGTACAGAACAATTGTAGCTACCACTCTGGCATTCGGTCACTGCCGTAGGTATATCCACACTGCAAATCCACAAAAAATCGTGTAGAGTCCGGCGATCTCATACATGGCATAGCACCCATTATGGGCGAGATGTGGATTCAGGGTTGTCGCGGCGGAGGTATTGTAGATCAAACCACATATTATTGTGATAACGGACAGTATTGGGGTGAGGATCTCACCGATACAGACTAGCACGCCGCCGCAACAAGCCTTAATCCACTTCTCACCCATAATGAATGCTATGCTGCGTATGGGATATCCGGACAGCAGATTATGGTCAGGCGGCATATGCGGATCGGCCTTTCCTGATGTGGATGTGATGACGTAAGACAGCAGTTCTATTGTGCAACAATAATGTTACACCCGGTCCACATTTCAGAGCTTCCACAATTCGCGGAAATGGCCACAACCAATGGGTTGATATAAAAGTCGGCACTTGGACAATTTTCCAAACACCAAATTTTGCTCGTCCATATCTACATTACCACATTGACTTCTATATCAACCATGACACCTTCCGAGGCAGCAAACAATGCCCTAAACGCCACTCTGGCAGCCGTGCAACCGCTCATGAAGCGTTGCATGAAGTTGAAGGAGGGCGATCCAGAGAGTTTGACACTATTGGATGACATTGCCAGGCGTGTGGTGAGTTTATTTCTTTTGGACTTCGGAATTCCTGGCAAGCTAAACCCCATGCAGGCCAAAGATCTAAGGATGCATGCTGGGGATGCAACGTCATTCTCCCTGCAGCTACTCTCCTGTGCTGCCATGATCCGGCAGTACTCCAAGGGCGGTACTTTTGAGTGCGTCCCCGACTGGACCTCTGTGTCAGACAACGACCTGAGGATCCAGAGCCACCCAAGGTTTGACAAGACCGTGGGCTACCGCAGTCCCTCTGAGATTGAGGTTTCTACCTCTTTTGAACCCGTAAATTTACCTGTGTCTGCCGTCCTCTCCCCAACAGATACTTTGACGCCGCAGTCCACGGTCTTGGTGGTCTTGCCGACTGCATCCATCGCAGATGGAGATCCAATCACCTCACCGGACACTCCACCCAGACCAACATCTCCCCCACCCAAGCCTGCGGATGCAACATCATCCACTGACACTTCAGCACCTCCTGCTACTCCCTTCAAACACAATCTCTTTGTGGCTGGCACTCAGAAGAAATCTGCAAAGGTCGCGCCGCAGATCGGAAAAAGTAAGAAGAGAAAAGCAGCAGACGACACTGACGAGGCGGTTACTGACACACCCGAGTTGCCTCCCCGGTCCTCGAAACTGAGGCAACAAAGGAAGAAGAAGTTCCGCTCGGATGAAGACCCAGAGAATGCTCCCACCGGAACGGTATATGTGATCCCAAAGGTATGTCAGTCGCATGAATTGTTGACCAAATTGTTAACTCCCTCAGCAGAAGGTATCGCTGCCTGTTGCCGCTAAGAAGGATGCCGACCCGGCAGTTCTGGACACTTCTGATGCGCCTGATGACAAAGGTTTCCAGGATGCAGACACCAGGGTATGTTATTTGCGCTTAACAAAGCTCTTCCACTCATTCATTTATGCAGCCTGCCCTATGGGGCCAGGATTCCCATATCGCTACCCCGTTGCAGGCAAGTCATTCAGCATATGACTGCCATAATATACTAACCATTTTACAGTATTCTGTCCGTCATCACCCCCGGAAGTGCGACAAGTGCAGGAAACTCGACATACCCTGCCTTGTCCTGCCGGACAAGAAGTTCTGATGCACGCGACTAGCTTGCGCCAACTGTGATCAGATGAAAATCACATGTGCGATCGATGGCGTGGGTGTTAGGGAGAGGTTGCAGGCGAAGACCACTGTAGCAGCATCCAATCCTCCCAAGCACTCCGGAACGCGCATTCTGAAGTCCCGCGCCAAGACACCTGGCCGCTCATCTAGGAAGACAAACCTAGCGCCCCCGCCCCCTAGTTCCTCCGGCAGTGAACAAGAGGGTAATGGTAAGTTTTTGATTCAATCCAAGAAGCTTCCACTCATCTAGATTTCGCAGAGGCAGAGCAACAGCCAACGGATGTCCTGCCCGGAAATGCTCCAATGGCGCAACTTCCAACAACATCCGCAGCCGACCCAGTCCCACAGCCCGAACAGGACGCCCAGCCTGCACCGGCCAATGCCATGGATGCTGAGCCAACAGCAAGACACATCTTGCAAAGCATCCAGGACCTCGGCAGGAGGTTAGATCTCTTCGCCACCAATGAGCAGGTGGAGGCATTGGAGGTAAGAGTTGCTTCAGCAGAGACCAACTTCAACCAACGGTTGAACACATTGGAGCAACGGCTGAACATCTCGGATGCACGGCGGAGAGCGATGTCCGCATCTTAATGTCTCCCGATCTTACAATATGGCTATCCTTTGTGTCTTTTCCAGGTTCTTGTACATACTGGCTCCCGATATTCTGAGGATTTATGCCCTGTGTCATGCTCCCGTTGTTACCATATGACCAGCTTTGATATGTTCTAGGTTTATGTATATACCGGCTCCCGATATTCTATGCCCAATGCTATGCTCCTATTGTTACAATATTACCGACTGTTTTGTAATGTAAAGGTTCTTATAGATACACTAAGCCAATATTCATGAGCCCGGCCCATCTGAGATCAATGTTTGTGCTTTGGCAAATCAACTGGGCCCGACAAGGCCCAAGGGAATTCATTTGGTCTCAGAAGGGCCCACAAATCAAATTATACGGCATAGACTTTGCATTTGATTTCGGAAGGGCCAGCTGGTTATTTCTCTGGCCCAAGATAGGCTCATATGATTTCGGAAGGGCCCAGCTGGATGTTTCTTGGGCCCAGCACATATGCAAGTTATCTCGGAGGGGCTTCTAGATAAGCCCAGCAGGTTATTTCTTCGGCCCAGTGCTAGTGTTGGATCTCAGAAGAACTTAGGGAAGGACTCGGCCAGGTATTGTAGGCCTAGTCGGTTGCTATTAATTGTTCAACCCAGAACGTACATAAGCGGCTGGGGAAGGGGCATCTACAGAGTGTTGGTAATGATCTCGGAATGAGTGACAGATGGCCCCGGTAAATGAGTTTGTAAAGGACCTACGGATATGCCCAGCAAGTCAATGTTCATTGCTGTTTCAGGAAGGTCTGGTGAGAAAATTTTCAGGCTGTACAGTATCTTACCGATCTCCCCAAAGAGTAAAGCATTTGGTCTCGGAAACACTGCTGAGTGCACGGTACATGCGCATGTCATCTCGGAAGGGCCAATTGACATTACTTTGACACGATATAGGATTTGGGCTCAGAAGGTAGTATAGCGAGGTGTAGTCAATAGGGATGCATCTTGATATAGATCTCAGAGGGATACACCATACATGTAGCATCCGCAATGATGTGCCCTCTACCGCATGAACTATCTATACTGGAGTATCATGGCATCGACTGTCACAGGTTCATGTGATCATCATGAAGTAAAGTACATTCTCACTAGGGAAAACAATATGTAGCAACCAACAATGTGGCTCATATATACAAATTACATGGACCAAGACCCAGCCTACAGGAACATCGACCAGGAACAGCATAGTCAGGACAAAGTGGCTGAGTAATTGTATATATATATGGTAATGGTGACTTGCGTAACAGATCCGGGCATCATGAGATGTACCGGAGATGCTGACATGCTCTCTATTGGGCATCCGATGTGTTCCACCTGCTCATTGGTGGCCAGGAGATCAGATCTCCTGCCGAGGTCCTTGATGCCCTGCAGAATGTCCCTTGCAGTTGGTTCGGGACCGGCAAGGTTGGTCGGCGCAAGCTGATCATCCGGTTCCGGTCATTGGCTTCTGAGAAGAATTGGGAACATTTGCATGGGCACATCATCTGGCAGGCCAGGCTGTTGCTCCGCATCTGAGAGTCATCTCAATGAGTTCAACTTCTTCCGATTTGACGGCAAACTCACCTGCAACGAGGTTAAGTTTAACCCCAGAAGAACGGGAGGATTGCGCAAGTGTGTTCTGAGCCGGCATCTTGGAGATCACGCCAGATGTCGGAAAGCGCATTCCAGAATGTTCGGCAGAACTCGAGGAAGCCGCGGATGCCTTTGCCTGCATTCTATATTCCATTTATGTATGGTAGAATCCTCCTTACTGAGACATGTGAGAAGGCGTGTGCCATGGGCAATAATCGAATTGGCGAGCTACATTACAACAGATATTAATCTATGTCACCGTTCTCCAAAAAATACAGACTGGTATCAAGCAAAGTGGACTTTTGGTGCTACAACAAATTATACATGAATCAAATGACCGTTAGCGACCCTTCACCAAATATACGGCAGTGCTTTGCAGCTGGCTCCCGAACATCTTGCTCAGGATGAAATAGATAATTCAGCATATCCAAATCATGCTCCGCCACAATCTTCTGCCCATCCCACGCACCGTCAGGCCGTTGAATATCCTCCCGATTGACATACATAGGATAATGTGTCTTCTGGATCGGTCCGGCCCAATCGAAATCGAGCAGCATGAAGTGTTTGTCGTCCCGCTGTAGAGACTCGTGCATCTCATAGTGTGATATGGCACTTTACACTAGGGAGTATACAGCACCAACTCGCAGCATCACTCTGTGTACCATCCACAGTGATTCCTATATGACGCGCAGCTTTCCCGCGCAACGCGCGCCATGCGCGCACCATTCCCGCGCTTCACGATGTATACGCGCGCGCGCGTTCCCGCGCTTGCGCGCCCTATAGCGCCAGCCATCCAGATGCATCCATCCACTGTCCACCAAGCTCCCTAGTGCGTATATTTCCATTTCCTTTATTAGCATAGTTCCACCTTTATTTTTATCATAGTTTCTCACTCATATATATTTTTACATACCTACTCGGTAGCGCTTCGGCTCTGCATGAGCGCGCTTAGGCGCGCTATATAAGCGCCAGCAGTACATACTATTATTTACCTTACTTTTCACCCAACTTTACCTAGTACTTACTACTTAGAAAGTCGCAGTAGAAATCTATTCATTAGCACAACACATCTCACATCCTTTATCTTGCTTATATCTTCACATAAGTTTAGTCTCTCTTATTTCCGCTTACACGCGCGCGCTTTCCCGCGCTTCGCGCTAATACACGCGCGCGTTCCCGCGCCTTCGTACCTTGCGCGCACCTGCGCTTTCTCACGCTTCGCTGAAGCGCGTACCTCTAGATCTCCGCTGCATCTGCTTCCCCTTTAGGGTCGAATGCACTTGCCATCTCAAGTATCGCAGACTAGGCAACGCACGACCTACAACTTTTTAGATACAGTCAGGAGCATTTCTTTGTTCCTCTCAGTATTGTTGTTTCTACACCGCACAACAAAATTGGTATCTCAGAGGTCGCCATGAACGTAGCCGTCATTGTGATTGTGTAACTCCCGGATGAGAGTGGTGATGGTCTCCTTCAGCGGCTGACGGTCCGACACACTTATCTCACTGAGTAGTCGATATGAGCCAGGTCGTTGCGGAAAGCAATCATTATCAATATCAAGGGCATCCATAACCACCAGATTCCAGCCGCCGGGTAAAGAATTGTAGGCGATAATTTTCGGGGCGTTCCCCTTGCTGGCACAGAATTCATGGGCCTGAGGGGAATAGTGCCTGACAAACTTCATGCATATCTTGCTCCCAGCCACACCGCCGACAGTTTCCCCGAAGAAGATAAGTCGATCCTTGAGGATTTGAATCTCATCATATGAGAATTGCTGAATGAAACCGGTGGAAGTGGTATAACTCTGAGGGTAAGGACATTTAAGATATGGATCTTCGGGTGCGAGGGACGGGATTGGACGGGAGTATAGTTTGGTAAGTTTCTCGACGGCAATTTTGAGAGCCCCGAAAGTATGAGCTGCCATCACTTGCATGTGGAGGTCTGTTGAATGCCAAAACAAAGGAATGATAGGGACCAGGACATCGGACTGGACTTTTTCAGTGAAAACAGAGCCTGAAAAGCCGATGCATGCCCCTAGTTGTGATCAATAAACAGCTTTAGCAATTAATCTGGTGAAATGAACTAACCGAAGACGATGATATGGATGCATGGAATGAAAGACCGGAGCCTCGCCATCTCAATCTTCGAGTCTTCCATAAACTTGCGGTAGTACAGCATCGCCTCCATAAATGGTTCAGCAGCGCCGCTTCCAATCTCGTTCTTCCCCTCAATAATCATCAGCACAAACTGTCCGTTGGTAGACAAAAGATGTCCGTCCGTCGTACATCCGGTCGAGCCAACCATAGAAGCATTCAGTATAATACCGTAGTCCCGGAGTACTTGCCGGAATGTATTCATCCGCGCGAGTTCATTGGGATAGAAGGAGGCCATCTTTTCCGACAGTTGCAAAACAATGTCGTTATCACGGACGGTTGGTTGATGATTTTGACAATCATCCACGAACTCGGCAAAGATAGGCTCAAGAAGAGTAATGGGAACAGGGTCCGCGGCTCTGCGAGGACGATTGCAAAGGTACTCTTGCTGGTCCTGCTTCATAGAGAATGCGGATGGTTTTGCTCCGGCCGACGGACTACCCGCGCCCTTCTTGAGATAAGCGATTCGCCGATCAACAGCTGGAATTTGTCGTGCAACGGCAGGATGTTGTACGACGATATGAATGCATCCGCGCTCTATTCCATCCGCAAACACATCGGACAGTTCGGTTAATGGGTGCAGCTCGACGCCTCCGTCTATGATCGCGTTCCGTAAATCTATATTGTTCCAATCGATCTTGACCTTCGAAAACATCAGATTATTAACATTCAACCGTAGGCATCAGATCTCTCACCTTCCATAGCTCAAGACGGTCGGCGGCAACATGGTCAAACTCTGGCTTCTTAGCGACCTTGATAACATTTTTGAGGTCACTGACAGTCTTCGTCCGCTCAATGTCGACTGGGAAAATATGGCGAGGATCATCGCCGAAGACAATACAGTTGAGTTTCAGGCGGAGCGGTCCGGAAGACACTAAGTCGGACCACCATCAGTGAGGAAAGGGTGGCAATATCGAAGGACAACTCACCGGCAGGCGGGCATTGGATAATAATATGCAGATACTTGCGCGGAGGAGCATCGGGAAAAATCTCTACCATTTCATCCACAGGTGATAGGGATTTCATTGGGTCAAGTGTAAGATTGTTGAGATTTTGCTCAATCATCTCATTGATGGGCAGGTCGACCTTCCAAAATATCAGATTATCAATATCCGATCCTAGGCATCAGATCACTCACCTTCCATAGCTCAAGACGGTCAGTGGCAACATGGTCAAATTCCGGCCTTTTCTTGTCTTTGATGACCTCTTTGAGGTCACCAACAATCTCCGTCCGCTCAATGTCGACCGGGAAAATACGGCGAGGATTATCGCCCAAGACAATACAGTTGAGTTTCAGGTGGAACGGTCCAGACATCTGACGTTGACAACAAGAGTGATGGCATCTCCAGCGGTGACTGCAGTGAGCGCTCACTGCTGCAGCAAAAATGCACTTACAAAGCCAAGCAGCAACACCCTGTGACCGGGAAATTAATTTTCTGTGCGAATACACGGTGCCTGGGAAATTTCATCCCTTTCCGGGTGTCCGATGCACCATTTATAGGTGAGAAGTGGATTAAGGCCTGTTGCGGTGCATCTGTCGTCGCAATCAGAGGTAGTGTGATTTATCTTGCATGCACCGCAACAAGCCTTAATCCACTTCTCACCAATGAATGGTGCATCGGATACCCGGAAAAGGGTAAAACGGTCTATGACGAAATTTCCTAGGCAAAGTGGGCCTTAATCCACTTCTCACCCACAAATGGTGAGTCGGATACAGAGGTACTTTGATTTATCTTGCATGCACCGCAACAAGCCTTAATCCACTTCTCACCAATGAATGGTGCATCGGATACCCGGAAAAGGTTCAAACGGTATATGACGAAATTTCCTAGGCAAAGTAGGCCTTAATCCACTTCTCACCCATAAATGGCGAGTCGGATACCCGGACAGCCATACAGGATCTTCCAGAAGCAATGGTGGATAGGCCATTCCTGATGTAGATCAACTGCAGGTGCCAAGACGAAACCCGGAAATGCAGCACCGCACGTCGGCGACAGCACAAGAGGAAGGCAGGCGATGAAGATTTGGATGTGGCGGTTATCGCAGATGGACCCAAGTCACCTCCACTCTCGAGGTCCAGACAGAAGAGAAAGAAGAAGTTCCAATCGACTGACGAGGACAAAGTTCGCACCAGAACTATCTTGGTAAAGGTATGTTTGATTATGTGTGTATATGAATCCTGAACTCACACGCGCTCCCACCGCCTAAGGCAGCATCAGACAAGGATTTGAATCTGGCGGGTATAGACTCTGCGGCCGATGACAGAAATGTCCGGGAGGAAGAGACATGGGTGCGTTATCTGCTTCCCTGCTCAACATTAAGAATCAGCATTCATATTGAACTGTATCCGGTATTTTATTACCTCCGGGACATCTGTATATTCTCCCGGAAATATGCTACCGGACTAGTTGATCACCGTCCTTGGATTGAAAGCATTATCTAGGTTCGGACTCTTAGATATACTGCGCGGGTCGCCGATATTGCGGAGATTCTGTGATTTTACCCAGTTTGATGCTCCAGTACATATATTATTTCACCTATTCCTTTTTGAATGGTTTTTGTGCGTACTGCTTAGTCCCACCTAGTCACATACGCCTGGCTTCATGGTGATTGCATGAAGCTTGAACTTCCAATAGCATAATATACTGCAGTGTATATAGCTCATCTGGTTGTAGGCCGGGCGTGATACAAGTTCTGGCATGCTGAGCTACGGAAAAACGATCACGTCCAATTATAGCTCTGGGGGTGATAGGTAGCCAGCACGCTAACACATATATCATCTTTTTATCCGTATGCGCTCCTATATCAAACTGTTGGTATTGCTTCATCTTTGTAGTAACTAAGCCCATGTGAGTTGTGGCTACCGAATATAGTAGCCGACCGGATTACTTGGTACATACGTAGCCGCAGGTCATCATACCATCTTCCGATACCAGGCATCGCCACGACCTGATTGGATGTCTTGCGTATCATACGGAAGATGTTCATGATGACAATTGATAACCTGTTTGGCGATTCTGGGGAATGCTTGGGATGTAACTTCTAGATAATCATGTATGCTGATGTTTCCATGCATTTATCACATAACTGGATCCATTTGGCTCATGATCTACAAGGGTTTCCACATCATCCGTGAAATTGATTTCTTGAATTTCCGGAGAGGTCAATCTGCAAATGTCAATATATATATCTCTTCCGGTATCACATCAAAAGTTGCATTGCTCTGCTATTTGTATTGGCTCCAAGGCCCAATCACATCCTGGATCGCATCCATCTTCACCAGAGACCCATATCCGATGTTTTAAGCCAGCGTACAAGCCCTTCCGAGAGCAACAGTTCACTAGTAGGGCCCATCCGTAAGATAGTGTAAATACGTGCTGGGTCATCAAATGACCAACTGTGCTTTGCCAAAACCGCATTACGCACAGAATCAATTGCTTGGCATGTCAGTTTGCCCTTGTAATGTTCACCGACCTCACAATAAAGGGCTGAGCCCATCCATCAAATGTTCCGAGATTATCCATCTTAGCTTGGTCGCCTCTCAGAGAGTAACATGCTTATAACACAGGCCGAAACATCACTTCCTGGCCCTTCCGAGATGAAACTCATCCTTGTTGGTCAACTGGACCTTTGCTGATTGAGCCTCACTGGGCCTAACAATGATTAGCTGAGCCCTCCCGTCAGCATTACCGAGATCAAAGCATATGCTGATGGGCCCAAAAATAACTAGCTAAGCTCATCCGTAACCCTAGAGGAGCGATGAGCTGGCCCGCTCCCCACGGGTCCCTGTTGCGCAGCCCATCTGCCTGGGCAGATTTCCATGATTAATACATTCATACACAGCCGCCACAACCGAATTTTGTCTTGTCTTGCCCACCCGACGACACAAAACGCGACTTCTTGGGCCGAAAACAACATCCGTGACACCAGCTGGCCCATCCCGGAAGCACCCCTTTGATCATATGTTTGCCATATGATGCATCAATAAACATATCGTTCAGCAGAATCGTCTTGAAAGTAGGCTATTGTATGCCAAACATTCCCGACAAAGCAAACTTTCAATGTAGTGGAACATCTGATTCATCTATTGCAAACCTTCATACATCTCCTCACTGCTATCTTATAGAAATACAAGACAAATACAAGTACAGCATTAGGCTCCTTTAGTCATGAAATGCGCAGCCGGATGTGCCAACGATCTACTCGCCGGATGTGCCGGGAGGGGCGCTAGAGAATCGGGAGGATAAAGGAGAGGAGGCGAACGGAAGTGATGTTCCGGGTACAGCTGTAGATACAGATCTCCTGGCATTATCTAGCCGTCTGCTGTTGACACCAGGGGGCTGCCTCGCAATTTGCGAGGCAGCCTCCTCATCACCGCTGCCGGTATTGTGGAGTGACCACAATGGATATATGGCCTTATGTTGCTGCGATTGTGAGTCTCCGGCTATGCTCTCACGAGGACGGTGTATCATCCGATCGTCTTTGTGCTTCCGAAGAGCCATGGCCAAATTGCCCAGAGATGATGATGTCGCAGTCCAATGCTGATTCGAAGCGCTTAAACGTTTCTCCAGCACGGTCAACCTCACATCTAATCTCTCCTCCATCACACCTAACCTTGTGTCTAACGCGTCCACCCGTTCGTTTGTGGCAAGGAGATCAAACCGTCTACCGAGGTCATGTATACTATGCAGTATATCTCTGGCAGTTGGCTCGGGCTCGGGCTGATGTCTGAGTCTGCCTGACCCAACCGTAGGATCGGTGATCGGTTGGGCCGTTGCTGGGGGTAACACTGTCTCCAAAGGCTGCATGGCCGGGGATGCCAGTGGATCCGGATGTGGAGTCACACCCTCCATCGGTTGGTCCGCATGTGAGTCTGAAATTTGATTGATTTTCGCTAGCCCGAAGCGTGCTATAGATGTGCTTACCGCCCGATAAATCCAACGGAACATCCTTTTGTCCGGCATGGGTGAATACACGAGCAGGTTTTTTCTTTCTTTTTGTGGTGGCAGCTTTAGCTTGAGTTTTGGTGGGGCGCGATTTGGGGGTGCGGATTTGAGTATGTTTGGGAGGAAGCGCTTCATCTCCCTTCAACTTTGCTTGCAACCTCTCCCGGACGCCAACGCCGTCAATTGCGCAGGTTATCTTCATTTCATCGCAGTTGGCACAGGCAAGTCGCGTGAACCCATGTTTCTTGTCCGGCAGTACAATACAAGGTACATCCAATTTGACACATTTGTCACACTTTCGGGGGTGATAGCGAACGGAATACTGGGACGACATACATCACCTGATATTAGCATCCAGAGTATCAAGAACCCACCTCCGCCGCCGTTGCAATGGTGGAATCACGACCCCATCCAGTAGGCTAGAGAAATAAGCATTAAAATGAAATCACCGAGTAGATGACGACCTACCCAGGGTGTCTGCATCCCAGAAACCTTTATCGACCGTGTCCGAGGGCGTTGGATTGACCGGTCCTGCAACTGCATTTGCCGTCGATGCCAACGATTTGTGCTGCAACATTCATGCTAAAGTCAGAAGTACAAACAGCAAAAGAAGGATGTAGCACCTTCCGGGTGACGAGTATGCTTCCGGTCGGGTGGTTCTCATCATCATCCGACATGAACTTCTTCTTCCTTTTCGGAGCAGATTGCCGGGATAATGGGCGTGGTGCTGGTCTACGCGTCCCGTAAGTTTCATTTGTGGCATCGTCTTCCGCTTGTATGTTCTTCCGCTTGGCCGGTTGTCGAACGGTCTTCGTTTGTGTCTTCATGTTTCCCGTCACACTAGGATCGTCCTTGCTTGGCGCAGCTGCGGTGGAAGGGTACATAGGAGTCAGCGGTTCCAAAGGTGCCGTTACTGTTCGCGGAGGAGTCGGCGGGACCTGGTCAAACAAGGCTGCCAGGGGTAGATGCATGTGCATGTATGGCCGGGCTCAAGATATCCTTTGTGAGGGCAGGGTCTTGAACGTGAGCTATCGATCTGCCCTCCGGAGTGGCACCGAAGGGCAGTGTTGAGGAGGTAGCTTGCGCATCCGTCAAACCGGAAGCAACGGGTTCCGTGACCCCAAAACTAGTGACATGACGATAATTTACCGTCTTGTGGAATCTTGGATGATGCTTGATGCAGCGGATCATCGTCGACGACGGTTGTCCAGTCCGGCAATGCTTGAAAGACGCCAGCCTTGGAATACTGCCATACGACCGCCGCACATGACAGCAGCTGGGGGGAGAATGATGTCGCGTGGCCTGCAGTAGAGTTTTAAGTCTTTTGCCTGTAACCAATTGTGTTAGTACCAACATTAACACCACATAAACGGCAGCGGACGTACCACACGTCTAGCGATCTCATCCGATAATGCCAACCCCACCGCTGAATCGCCCTCCTTCAACTTCATACATCGCTTTATAAGCGATTGCACATCCTCTAATGTGTCATTCAGAGCAGCGTCTGCTTCGGAAGGTGTCATAGCACTAGATGCAAAATGTTGGTGAGTTGATAACAGCGCAACTCTCTGGGGAAGAGAAAAAGGAATGACTCAGAGAAATTTTACCCATATCGGGATCTATACCAATATGTCGGTGGTGGGTGTTTCCGAGAAACGCGTGGCCTACATAGAAGCACGGGTGTCTGGACCGATTTAATGTAATTATCACGTAATAGAAGGTTGTTATCGATCATTGTCCCATGTACTCAATTGCCGTACATATCACAGTATATCTTGGCGCATATTTATTATGATGTTCTCCGACTTCATTTTCACACATATGATCATGTCTGAGCTACATGTTCGTTGTGCCACTCCAACTATGTCAAATCCTGGCGACGAAGTGTCCTCATATGCTGATGACAAACTCTCCAGCATCGATTCTACCGAGTCTCAATATCGGTGTTCTACACCTACTGACTCCCGGTACAGGACCGCCGCGCATTGGAGGAGGATCCGATCGATTGGTGGGGCACCTATGTCCCTTTAGAGTCATGGATTCCCCCCAAATCGGAGAGCATTCCGACATTTCAAGGAATCATCGGACTGGAATCATATCCGGTGTATAAATGCAAGTTCAACATAACCCCTATTCGGCCCGGTATTCTGAAAACATCCCCATTAAAGTATATAAGTTCCGTGCCGAGCTTCCCCATTATTATGAATATCGAAGTGATTCCATGGGAAAGAAAGAGAAAAGTAAGTCGTTTGCTGGATTGCTGGCGTGGTTGAACAAACCTGGTCCGCAGAATACGAACTTTGTTTCAACGGTGACTTTGATGAAGTCACAAGCATGCTGTCCGGTGAGCGTGGAAAATGCCTCATCCATTTATCTAACAAATTGAATTAGACATGTATGTAACTGAATTGCTTCGGACCCCAAACTTTTTAAGAGGCCAACATTCCCGAACAATCGAAGGTCCTGTCGGTCAGTTATCTGCACAAACTGGATTTTCCAGTGACTGAACTTATGAATAGAATTAGGAGGTGCAACATCGGAAGGTTAGCACGCTGGCAGCCAGGATCAAGCGAACTTATGTTGATCAATCGGAAGATTCAGCTAAATCGCAGACATCACCAAACACCATCAGTCCGGTGATGGATTCAACAATTCTCCAAGATCCTTATGATTGCGGATGGGACGATCCGACTGTCGATGGAGCTGCTGCCGTTCACGAGTTTTCCGCACCCGATTCATACGATTGCAGATGGGAGGATGGCACCACAGCGCCGGAAGAAGCTGCGAAGCCTGGAGATGGTGCGTTTGTTCAATAACTCATGAGAATAGACCATATTAATATGATTAGGAAATGCAATATCCGAAGGTTGGCACAACCTGGCTGCCAGGAATACGCTAACTTGTGTTGATGAAATAGAATGTATGCCAAATTCACAGACATCACCGCATCCCATGGATCCAGTGCCGGATTCCATGACTCTCATCGATGATCCCTATGATTGCAGATGGGATGGTGCTATTGCACCCTCAAATCAGTTATCGATGCCTGATCCTTATGATTGTGGATGGGAGGACCAAACTGCAGCTCCGAATGAAGTCATAATGCCGGGAGAAAGTTTGTCGGTTATGTACTTCTTCACACTTCTACTAACCAGGTTATAGGATCAGATAATGATGAACCGGAGGAAGGCGAGTACTATCTTGGCAGCCAACATTTGATTACTCAACCGCAAAGCAGACTGGGCTGCATTGTCAAATCCGATGAGAAATGAAGTTTTGCAGGAACCTATACCCGCAGATGATGTATACCAGTCCGAATGGGATGATCCGATGGTGAACAGGGCGGTATCGCTAAATGAGTCTGCCGCTGCAGACCCATACGATTGCGGATGGGAGGATAGTGTAGATACCGAAGCCTCAGCAATGAATGTCTCATCGGAAGAAAGTTAGTGGGCATTTTGTTGTTTCAATCCCAACTGACAGGTTCACAGGATTGAATCCAAGCCAGGATGAAGGTATAAATCAACCTTCCTGCCAGGAAGGCCGTGATTCAACGGATGATACAGGCTCATTTGTCACACTCTATTGACAATGTTAGTCAACTGAGACATGCGGGAAATCGTTCATACGAGTCCGGGTGGGATGATCTGGTTGTCCAGGAGACGGCTCTCTCAAAGTCATCGACGGCCGATCCTTACGACTGCGATGGGAGGATGATGCTTCGTTGCCAGAAAAAACAACAACAACGGGAGATAGCACCGATGATACATATGGATGCGGGCGGCAGGACTTTGCGATGATCCACAACTGCCGAGATATTTCAGGATCCTTCCGATGAACATGGGGACTATAGTGCAAATCGGCACATTGTTCCCACCTGATCGGTCTAGGTCGGATTCAATAAATTCATTCAAAGTGGATGACGTTGATATGGAAAACACACTTCCGGACATTCAAAAGGACAGCACCGAGGATCTTTACGATTGTGGGTGGGACGATCCAATGGATAACACAACTATCAAGGAGCAACCGGAAGTGTCTGAGATGAGAGAGGAAATTGATGTCATTGACCTGACATCGCCAGAGGGGAGAGAAGTTATAGACCTTACATCTTTACCTGCCACCTCAAGTAAGTCATATGTGACTTGCTGCATTCTTTGCTAATGTCCGATATATACAGGGCGGTCCTCTTCACCAGCCGATCCCAATGTGTTTGAGGAGGCCGAAGAGTCCATGCGTCGAGCTATCCAACGACTAAATAGCATAGGACATAATGACTGTGAGTATGTTGATCTTGCAGCTCCATCACGCCTGACCTACACGTGAGGCAGTCGATCAATATATACACAGCATTGTCACACCAGCGGTCGCACGTGTGCCTGACCCTCGGCCGGCAATCACATTCATGGCAAATCGAAGTTTGTTTGGTGCATACGCAGATGCCAAAGATCGGGTGACCGAACTCGGTGCAGATGTCATTAATATTCACCGTTTGCTCAACATTCACCGCCGGATAATGGACCCACTAGATGCCATGATCACCGGTATAGAGCAGCGGCAGCCTCGCATGCATTGACTCAATTGCAGTATATAATTAGTCCAAATAACTTTCAATGTTGGTGTAAAATGAGCTAGTGAGCAATACAAGGGGGCCGGACATACAAAGAACTCGACCATCTAAGGCGCGGGTGTCATAACACTCCGAAATGCCTTAGGGCTTCACATAATCGTTGTACCGAGAGTTCGGCTTCCGGGAGCGCTTGCCTGCAGCAAGTTGTGAAGTCTTACTCCTCGTCCGTTTGGAGGGTGACCCATCGGTAGCTTCTTCAACCCGTTTCTTCCTTGGCTTCTCCTTAGCCTCTATTGAAGCCACTTTATCCTGTTGAACTCCTTGACATCTTTTCCGTTTAGCAGGAGATCCTTCCAAACATTCTTCGGCAGTCCTTTTCTGCCCTCGAGCTTTTGCGCCGACCACAGCATCTTTGCGCTCACGAGACGATCTACCGGCTTCCGTTGGTAGATCTGCCATCCGCTGCCTTGGTGCAATGGCTTTGCGTGTCACGGCGGATGCCGAACGGTCAGGGTCAGGGCCCTTTTGCACATGCTTCGGAGGGCCGTCTCTTGGCTTCTCAACCGCTGCACCCTTCTTTGATGATCTCATATCAATAGCAGCGGCCTGGATCGGAAATGCACCCTTTTTGCCTCGTGCGGGTTCAACAGACTTTTCACGAATATTTTCCTCAACCTCGCTGTCGGAGTCGTTGCTACCGCGGATCAGGACTGGACGACCTCTAAGGCGTTTTGGCACAATCGCCGTTTGGCCACTAGGAATATCATCCTCCGATCCATTGGATTGTTCAGCAAGGGACTCGTCGCTGATTGTTTGTGCGTCGTCAGATTCTTTGTTTGATGGCCTCTTCACCTTATGATTCTTTTGTGCACGACCTGAAGCGGCGGTTCCATGTCGGATGTTCGTTTCCGGCTCTTGTCCAGCCCTTTTTGTCTTCGCATTGATACCGGATTGCGATCGTCCTGCTGGAGACTGCTGCCGTGGACGTGCCTGCTTCCTTGGCGGATCTGACATCTCCTTGAGCTTTCTCTTATTCTTTCTCGCTGTTGTCACTGGTACTTCCATGTCTGCAGCTAGCACCATATCCTCTTTATCATTGTCCCACCAACCGATAAATTCCAATACTGCGCTCTTCGCCCTCTTCCTGTCGGTTATACCAGAACTGTAGCAGTTCCGTGGCATGGATCTGCCTTAACTTTGAAGGCTCCGCGAGATTGTGTCCTTCCGGAAGGCACTCTGTTGGAATGATCTCGCCGCATCTAGGAATGACATACTTCCATGGGATTGAAATTTTTGGATCCCCACAACATTTTCCTTTTTAACAGTGAGATTACTTCCGAGAGGCAAACAGCGACCTACTGTAATGCCAAGTCAAAAATGCGCGCACGACTGCTTTCTTTGTGTCCAGATCCATAGAATCACATGCAGGGAGCACGGGATATCCGTCGTCTCCAACATCAAGGATGTAAGTCTTGTCCTGTCGACCTTTTTTGCGAGTTGCAACTGCATCGCCATCCAAGTTACCATCTAATTTTCGTCAGTCTCCGCTACACAGAAGCCGGTTTAGGACTCTACCAAATGCGCTCTCTGCATATGAATCCCATTCCGGGAGGATGGCATCCCATTTGCGAGTCTTCATGAAAGAGTCGGCACCACCATATTCATTGTTATAGTCGTGACTGCCGGAAATGTGAGAAGCTACTGATTGCATCCATCGGATCACTCACCCGGCCACATGAATCTTACCCTCTTCATTTTTCCAAGCTGACACAACAAAGACCCTCATTCCCGCCCGGTTCCACATCTCGGTTGCGAAATGATGAATCATGTCATCACTTTTTTTCCTGGCAATGTCGGACTTGACGTCGTCCGGAACACCCTGACGGTTCCATATATCAGCCGTCTCTTTGGCTTCTTTGAGTTCTTCTGGGGACAAGGATGCAATGAGGAGGTTGAGCTGCTTGGTGTAATGGTTGATCATTTCTTTCGTCCCTGGCTTAGCTCCAGTCTCGTCTTGTATTGTTTTTAATAGTTCTTTCTTCCGGAGGGTGTCTATAACACTTCTTTCGGTCCATCTCTGCCCCATCTTGATAGGGGGTTTAGCCGGCTTCTTCTTCATTCCTTGGTTTCGGAACCATGTCTCGTAGACCTACCGAACATCAAAGCTTATTTGGTGCTGAAAATGATACAATACTCACCGCTTTGCGATCTTTCAGCAGTCGTATACCCATCACTGGAGCCTTTGTCCGAGCCTCGGTTGCAGCTGCTTTCAAGACCTTGTTGCGGTCCGATACCTCAGCCGAGTCCCATTGCTCAATGTAGGACTGCAGGATAGCGACCTCATCTTCATTTAACGCAGGCTGTTTGTTAGATTCAGATTCAGAGCCAGAGTCGTGATCAGACATTATATACTACAGAGGATAGTGATAGGATGTACTGGGGTGTGATGGTGAGTGTGTGTTTGTTAAATGTTTGTAATAAGAGCGTTTATGTGCCCTCCCTTCATTTCGGCTATTAAGCGAGCAGAGGTTGCTGCTGTAATTCTACTGTCCTATATTTCACACAACTTCATACCACGTTCATGGGTAAATCTAGGGTAAGGATATTGAGTCCTCCCAGAACAGTTCAGCTGGTCGAATGGAAAGTAAAAAAGACCAGTCGGGGCCGGAAAGGCAAATGGTGTCCGGTGAAACGACACCAGCCAAGTCAATCCGCACAGTCATCTCCAACAAAGTCTCCCACAAAACAAAGCTCCAGTACGACGCTCCCTCAGTACACACCCGACTTCACTTTCCATAATGCAGACTGGAGTGATCATGGCCCTATTGGTTCGCTTAACGTGTTGTTAGCGAAAAAAAAGACCAAGGTATGATACTCTGCGTTCTTCACCCGTTCAAAGCTGACCAGGATCTCAGAGCCCAAATGATTATCTCCAGGAATGGATGGCTCGGAAGGACGATTACCTTCGAGTCCTTCTAGAACGGGAGGCTCCGCCTTCGAACAAGTGTTGTTCGTTATGCAATGCAGATTCGGTGGTGTACCGGTGCCACGATTGCCTCGGTGATCCCATGTTTTGCATCAAATGCTGTCAAGATGAGCATAGACGATTGCCATTTCACAAAATAAGCAAATGGAACGGGAGCTTTTTCGAAGCGACATCATTGACGAAGATCGATATGGAATTTCATCTGGGGCATAGTGGGCTTCCGTGTCCGTGTCTCAAGGATATCCATGAATGGGAGGACTTAGAAGAGCCCACTTGCGAACTGTCCTCTGACTACTCAGCAATACCGGAGCTGCCATTTCTACATGCAAAAGAATGCACAACAGTTATTGACAAATCCGGAGTCCATTCGCTCCTCATCAGGTATTGTAAATGCCCAAATGCCGCTTCCCCGGACAGGCAGCTGTTTGCAATGGGCATGTTTCCGGCATCATTCAGTCGGCCCAAATCGGCATTCACGTTTTCTGTACTGGATAGTTTTCTCCTCGACAACTTGAATGCGGGACGTCTGCTATGAATTACTACTCTAAATTAAGGCGAATGACATCTAGCACATTTCCGCATCTAGTCCCTGTATGTCTGAGGTGCCGGTTGGTCATCATCGTATTAACTGACCTCCGGACAGGACCGGTATAGGGAATTAATGCGGGTTGGAAGGCAATGGCGTCAACTGAAACTTCTGAAATGGAACGGCTTTGCTCACGAGAGAAGACTTCCGGATCCAGGTGAACTTGCCCTATTTTGCCCCACCTGTCCGCAACCCGGTATCAATGCACCACAGCTGGCCGAAAGAGACAGCAACCATCCGGATTGGATATACGCCAGATCACTAGTGATGGATGGTAATTTTAAAGCAGAACATCTCCATCCTACTCGTCCGGAAGATGAAGTATGGTTGACCGATGGAAGGTGTTTCATGGTGACCAGAGAACAATACAAGATGCATCTTGCTGGTGCCAAAGAAAATGCGCACATGTCGGAATGTAACAACCATCGGGCTGTAAATCAAGCAAATGCTTCCCGACACAAACTGGAAGCTACAGGAATAGGTGGTTGCGCATGTGCTCGACATGGCTGTTTCGTCCCCCATTCTATTGTCGATTTTCAGAAAGGCGAAAGGTAAGATCACGCATGTCACTCATTATCATAAAACCTCACATCGGAGATTAGACACATGAACATGGACTACGCTCTATGTCACGCTTTGAGCCATAATACCGATGGACTCAGTCGAGCTTTGACATTTTATGACGTTAATTGCCAATATAACAAATTTTTGCGGCGCAGGGTAAATGACAGTTCACACTTGAGCATTCCGGCCGGTATGGAGATAGTTCCGGGAATAGGACTTTGGCATGTCCATGGTCATCAGGACAAATGCTATGTCCGGTATGCATCCACCTTCATCACAGGGGCAGCCAGGATCGACGGGGAGATCATGGAGACATTGTGGGCGCCCCTGAATATCATATCTCCCTCTGCGAGAGGGATGTCCACTCCCCATCGACAGGAATGTCTTGACTACCAAATGAACGACTCAAATTTTATGAAAATGATCAGAATGAGTTGAGATATATTCTTCCTTACATATCTAATACTAATGCTCTCCAGGTGGTTTCCTATGTCGGAAATATCGAGAAGCAGTGAAGGGAGTGTCCGAAAGCATGACGGCATTTGAGAAGCTGAATGAAACCGCGGATTCTGCCATGGTCGAAGCTTGGGTGGAACAAGATCGAGAAGCACAATTGCATCGAAGCACGGATCCATCGGCAATGGACATATTCGACGTCCAGCTGCAAAAGGGTGAGTCACGGCCGATATACGTCCGATCTGCACCATCAGTGATCAAATGTTCATAGCACCGACCAGGAAACAGCAAGAGTTGGCTTTACTGTCTTCTCGGACCGGTAACGGAGGAGGGCACGCAAAACGCGGTGCTGCTACGTGGATCGCATCCGGTATCACTATAGAAGAGCTGCAAATATCTCTCTTGATCGACATCCGGAGGTTGGGAAAACACTCCACCGAAACGCAGCACCTGGAGATAGTGAGACGTCGTACAAAGCTGCAAAGTAGGATAGATGAATTTACAACCATGGCAGTCAATCATTTCGGAGAAGACTTTGATCTGGATGACGATATCAGAGATCTCGAGGTTGAATTTATAGATGACTCAGAGGGCGAAGGAGACGTGTTTACCGAGAGTGACCATGATTCCGACCATGTCCCTCAATGCAATTTCTTCCGTCCCGAGAAGGTGGTTATACCTCTCCCATCGAATATTGGCATCAAAAGGTGTACTGAGCTGGGCGTCATCCACCTTGTGGGTCAGGAAGTTGCACTTCGGGAAGGGCAGGCCAATGACACCCTGCAAGCAATCCGAGTTCTGCTAGCTGATAAGGCTGTGCTCTTCCGCACCACAGTTCGTCCGGCCAAATCCCAGGCAAAGTCAACCAGGGCGTGGACTCAGGTACATTCGGTGGAAAGGGTCATCAGACAGCAAACAATGATTTATTCGAAATGCCGGGCGCAACTCGGCAATCTACAAGCTCACAACCTCTTAGAGAAATATCTCCGGATGGAGAGAAGTCATCTCAAAGCTACTGCCGCTGTAGCCGATCCCAATGCTCGGGGACAAAGAAACTCCACGCTTCCGTGGTTCTGGTCTCTTGATGTTCAGGGAGATTCTGTCAGCAGCGATTGGATGAATGAATGTCTGTAACGGTTCACTTATTATGTTAACCCATCAATGACAGGGCACAGTTTACAGGGTTCATTGGCTTCGCACGAAAGCATTGCGTGATCGGTGGTCGGAAGAACTGCTACTGGTTGGCCATGAAATGGGTTGGACTGTGCAGTTCTTCCTGCACAAGGCACGCTCATGGTTATCACGCATCACCCACAACGGCGATCCACTCCCAGAAGGGCACAAATGTTATGCAATTCGGCAGGCCCACATGTACCACGACTTGGCCGAACATGCACGTGCAAGTTTTCTAAAGGCAAATCCAAAGTTCACGATAAATGCTTGATTGTTGAATGTATAGTATTATTAGTTGATCGTAGCATAAATAATATATGTCATTCAGGATGCATTAGATCTACCGGTCCGGGCACAATCATTTGAACAATGGAAATTGTTCATTGTGAATTACATTACCGGATGTGGATTTTGAATCTCCGACAACACATATAAACCAGGAGGTCAGGCCCGGTTGTATCTCCCTACTGTTGTTATCATATCAGAAATCATGACCGACCAGATTCCTGCACTCTCCGAGTCTCGCGTCGGCGCGTTGTCCATTTGGGATGCAGCCCATGTGTTCGAATACGCCACCTCCAGATTCACTGCGATCCATATCGCCCAGATGACAAAGCAGAACCCATCAAGCGCTTACCGGCATTCATTTATTCAACACCTGATTTGGGAAGTGGATGTAAGTTCATTTCCAATCCTGTGCGGACCGCTTGACTAATCTGGAGTTCCAGCGGTTTGTGACGCCGTTTGTCGGCATGTGCGCAGCTATGAATATCAATACAAGTATGCCGACATATCTCAGAAATGTTCTCCGGCTTGCTGCTACCTACCAAACAGAAGGTGATCGCGTCAATCTCTTTGAGAACTTCCGGAACTGTCCACATGACGATGCTGGCGATGCAATATCTGGCCATCGCGTTGTTCCAAGATACCGGCACTGTTGGTGGACGGCCGCATTCCATTATTTGCCTATGCAAATGCCTCTGCGGTTCTCGGTAGCCGAGGTGAAGGACCTAACGGCTGAGCACTTCAAACAGCGGGTAAGTGATCCTGAATATACTTCAGTATAGATGCTGATTGTTATGCACAAATAATCAGCCTGCCTTGGGGTTGATGATGCCTGAACCGATCATCCACCCGCGCAGTGAGGACCCGCTGCTTCAACAACTTCAAGTGCTCCGGACTGAAGTCGCCCGACTCGGTCTCGACCTTGGCCACCTCCTTGTCAGTAAGCTCGAGGCCACCGGAGCAGCTGTGATGCAATGAATCGGCTGGAGCAGCCGGTAGACGAGGTCCGTGATGCAATGGCAGCGTCCCATGCGGCCGTGGCCTTATTGGAGCAGGATTACAACAATGGTCGGATAGGAACATCCCCTCGTGGAGATCCATTCCCTGAGTTACATCCCTTTGTACGCTGACGCAGAGCCATTATGTAAATAGTCACGGAAGCGAATTTTATGTGTAGTAAAGTGATTCGTTTGTATGTAAATATTATGTAGCCTATCTCCGGCATCTATGAAAATGTTACAACTGGGATGACACGCGCCGTTCCTATACCCCGGATGCCTCGTGTTTGCTATTAATAATATTGAGGAGTGTGATATTTTACATCATAAAGACAACTGCAGGTTGGACATTATCCGTATAAGATGCTAGCTGTGCTTGCAGGACTTACCGTGCCTCCACCATGATATCCGATGAGTATTGGACTACCTACCATGAAAAACTGGCTGAGAGTGATCTACATACGCACACAACGTCATTCATTCCACGGGATTGGGCTCTGAATGCCGTCGACATAGCAAGCGAATGGGTAGAGCAGCAGTTCGCCGCGCATGTTGCCGGGAGACCTCTTGTTCCTACGCCTCCGGAACTCGATCCTGAAACTGCGCTTGCTTGCGGACACCTAGCCTTTGTGCTGGCGGAAGCATATCAACATCCCAGTGAGTTGAGGCATTGATTATTGCTACTCTGCTCTGACAGATGTAGTCAAATTGGATATCGATATCATTAGGTACAACGAGGCCTTGGCCAAACGGGAGTCAGGGTTGAATGACGCTCGTGAAGAAGCATTGTTGGCAAAGTTTCCTCCTGCCGAATGCATGTTCTTAGATAGCCCATCGGTGGTGATTGACGCTGGTTACCGGATCATTCTATGGTATCTCCCGGGTGCGTTGAATTGGTCTCTGCAGGTGGGCGGAGATTCATTCAAAGATGACATGACACTGACCAAAGCACGTAAAGCGAGATATGTTCATTGCCACAGTCGGTATGGGGGACTTGTTGAGAAAAAGCATCACCACCGGAAATGAGTCAACCGGCAGGACAAGCAAATGGCGGACCAACAATTCCAACTTCCGCGCAGCCATGGAACCTGGTTTGATTCCCGGGTGCATCAATATTTCTCCCTGCTGGTTCCAACAGGGGCGGGAGGTGAGCACAAGTTTCGCTGTAATCACGTCATCCTGAACGACAGTAGTGTCAAGGCCCACCATCTCGGGATCCCGGGAAAAGGTTCATACCTGGAAGTTTCGGGTACCCTTAAAGGCGATAGCAATCTCTCTTCAATTATGGATATGCAGCGGCCGGCTCTCCTGTCATCTGCTGCCCTTCGGGTGATGCATCCGCAATTATACCGGGCCTCGATGTCCACTCATGTTAAACTTGGGCTTTGGGCAGCGGAGCAAGGGCAAGATGAGATGTACCGCTGTTTGCAACATTGGGCGTTGGCATATACCAGTGCCGCTGTTGTATGCAACAGAGACACGCCGGATCATTGTGATCCCAAATGCCCCCCGGAAGTATTCGACATTCTTACTTCGATCGGAAGCTATGACAATGCAGTCATGAATCTGACAAATTTAGGAATTGATCTAGCTTATAATCCGGGCGTCATGGTCAGCTATTCTGGCCGACTTGTGAGGCACGGTGTCCAGGTTAGTGAGGGCGATAGAATTGTATGGGCCTGGTTTATGCGGGATAGCGTGCACAACCATGCTCGAACTCCCCGTACAGAGTATGCAAAGTACAATTTGGCCGACTTCGCTATGTACCACCTTGCCAGATACAATCAGGCTGATTTTGTTCAGTACCGGACATAATCGTACTGAATGTTTATGAATCCCTTTCATGTACCCGCTATATCCGTATATTTTACAAATGTATAAATTTGAGGATATCACAACGTTGCCGACCATACAATTTCATCATCGGTTGGAATTCCGACATTGCCGTTGTCATAGCTTCCGAGATGGTGCGGTCGGTATGCTTGGTTTGTCAAGCCAAGTTTGCCTCTGATTTATTTGAAATCATTACACCTCCTTCCTGTAATACATATATATATATCCGAGATCGTGATGATCTGCTTACACATGAGGGAACTTGAGTGGTTATTTGGCCCTCTCGGCCTTCATACATACATATGTACACACATGGTGATATAAATATATACTACATTTATTTGTTTCTCGGGATATGATATATTATCTATATGGGCAGGTCACTTTGCACAGTTTGCTATCAGGACATCCAGCTGCATCATAATGCGGCGGTGGACGTTGAGTAAATGGTGGACAGTTGCAATGTCCTCACCCAGTTCCGCCACTCTGTTTCTTGCCTCCGTGTGAGCCCCGATACTGCCTTGAGTCCCGAAAGGAGGTCGGTATCAACATGGGGTTGAGGACATGCTCGGCAGTTGTTGCAATGCCATTTGCATTGTGATGAACTACCGAAGATGTCAATGGCAGTCACTCTACAATCTGAACACTTACTATTGTTAGGCCGAATGTCATGCAAGATTCGGATCGCAGACCTCATAGAGTGTTCTGCATGCTCGAAGACATTTGTTTCATTGTCTTCTAGCAACCTCAGGCCAATGCTCTACAGAAAATCAGGCATTATGATACAATACATGTATGGAAGCATTTACCTGCTTGCTCACCGGAAGAGGCAAATGCATTCACTGCGTTACTGCCGGTGGCAGTTTGTCTGCTGACTTCCGGGGCAGCCCATCCACAGTCATACGGATCATCCCCTGCCGATCCTCCATCTTCGGATGCTACTATGCCAACATATTCCTCCATCACATTTGAAGAGGCTTCTGTCGCATTCATATGGTTGTCCCATCCACAGTCGTAGGGATCCGCTGCCGGCTCACCCGATTGCAGGATGGCCTGGTCATCCATCAGATGATCCCACCCACAATCATAGGCATCCGCTGCCGGCTCACCCGATTGCAGGATGGCCTGATCATCCATCGGATGATCCCATCCGCAATCAGTAGGCATCTTCTGCCGACTCACTCGATTGCAGGATGGCTTGATCATCCATAAGATGATCCCAACCGCAGTCATAAGCATCTTCCGCCGACCCACATGATTGCGGGATGCCTTGATCATCCGTATGACGATCCCACCCACAGTCGTAGGGATCTTCCGCTGACTCGGCCGAACTAGGATCATCCCATCCGCAGTCGTAGGAATCGCCATACCTTGTTCTGGGTGCTGTCTCCGCGTAGGTGGAACATTCCCCTCCGGGTAAAGTTACTTACGGAGTCCGGGCAACATTTCCGGATGTTTGCCGGCATTCCATAGCATACATGTCTTGCACCACTTGTTGAGTGATGAAAGAACCTTTGGGCTAATGGGAGACTCACCGGCCAGCATACTCCCTATCTCGTCGAAGTGGCCGTTGAAACAAAGGTCGTATACTATGATGCATTGTCCGGTGAGTGAAAATCATTGCTCTCGAATGAACGAACTCACCTTGATCCCTTTGTGCGAACAAATCATTAAGCTTTTCGTGGTCGGTAAGAAACTCTTTTGTCAAGTCGTATTCTGTTGTTGCACCGTTGTTAGTATTCCGGCAGAGACAAAGCCGTTCTTACTTTTAAACTTCGGATAGTGTTCCAATCTGACAACTCCTTTCATCCTGGGTTTCCTCGACAATGCAGGAGGAGTCCACAACTCCAATGGGACATAAGAGCCCAACCAGTCGATCAGACCCTTATCAGAAGCACGCCCTAGCGCTACCGGACCGTCTTCGCTGGCATCACTGCTGTAGGTAGAGCAGGTGGAGGCGATATCGCCAAGATATGGCTCTTCGGGAGTAAGAAACCTAACTTTTTTGAAGGTCATGATGGTCTGGTTCGATGAAGGGAGTCGATGATGATTGCAATACAAATCGACCGGTGCCACTGTGGTAACTCAATGTAGTGGAACAATGGTAGATGTGGCATACTATTACGTCATAATGAAATCCATGGGTCGTGCATCAACAGCACTCAGAAAGAGCCACAACCGACTCATGAATATAAATCCCGACCCGTGTGCAAGTTTTTCAAAGTCCACTTTTTGTTCCTTCTGTTATACCATAACACCCGTTAACCTACAACATTTTATTTTTTTAATTTCATCATGACACCCGCTGATACAGCTAATGAAGTGCTGGATACTACGCTGGCGGCCGTGCAATTGCTGATCAAGCGGTGCACGTTGTTGGAGTCTGGCTATCCAGAGGCCCTCAGAATCTCGGATGAGATTGCCAGACGCGTGGTGAGTACTTTTTCTTGCTCGCACTTCATTATCTCATCGATATTAACACATTCGCCGTAGGCGAAAGACTTAAAACTTCATGGAGGGAATGCGACATCCTTTTCCCCGCAGCTACTGTCATGTGCTGCCGTTGTGCGAGAGTGCTCAAAGGCTGGCACTTTTCAGACAATGCCGGATTGGACATCCGTGATAGACAATGATCCGAGAATCAAGGGTCACCCGCGGTTCAACAAGACGCTAAACTACCGCTCTCGCGCAGCAGATGAGATTCCCATTCTTTTGGATTCTGAACCGGTGACATCATCCGGAACTCATGCGGCCGTCCATTTTGCACCGTTGGCCATAGCGCCTCCACCCACCTTGTCTCCTCTTCCCATAGATAGGGCCTTTGTCAATAGTCCTTCGCAGGCAATTGCACCGCCGTCGCCTTCTCCCACCTCAATGGCGCTGGAACCTCTGACCCCGCTTCCCGTGTCCGCAGTTTCTATCCCCTCCAAATATAACCTATTTGTGCCAGGGACAAAGAATGCTAAGACAGCACCAAAGGCCGGAAACAGGAAGAAGAGGAAGGCGGAAGATAATGGCGCGGAAGAGGTGAAATTGGGGAACATACCGAATGCTCCATCTCGGTTTGGCAAGTCGAGTCAGAAGAGAAGCAAGCATGTATCGGGTGACAACCGGAATGAGCATACTGACATCGCCTCTGTCATAGAGGTAAGTCCCGTTATCCTAGCTCAGGCACTGGTGACCCACCATTCTTATTGTTCCCTCCGATAAGAACGTGGCACTGGAACGTTCAGATTCGACCGAGATGGCCAATGAGAGAGGTTTCTGGGATGCAGAGACCAGGGTGTGTTAACTCCATTCCACCTACCACCGATTCTGACTTTGATATTGACAGCCCGTTGAATGGGGTAGGGATTCTGCTATCGCCATGGCAGCAGAGGTAAGCCAGTGAGTTTGTGCATACCAATCTTAGCTAAAACATGCAAAGTTTTCCGTTCGTCACCACCCACAGAAGTGTGATAAGTGTAGCAAATCGGGGGTGGCCTGTCTTGTCCTTCCGGACAAGAAATTCGGATGCATTCGACTTGCCTGCGCTAATTGTGATGAAATGAAGGTCACATGTGCAATCAACGGAGTTGGTGTCCGAAGAGAATGCAAGCGAAAGCCAAGGCCATGGCAGCCGAGGCAGTTGCCAATCCTACCAGACGCTCCAAGTCGCGTGCTCCGAAGTCCCGAGTTATTAACAAGACGGTGGTTAATACTAGGTCCCGGAAGACGCCCATGCCGCCCAATCGGTCATTGTCTGTAGTTGAGGACGATATAGTAGAACATGAAGGTGAGTGTTACCGTGGCATCGATGGTACAGAAAACTTAAGCAGCTTCAGATTTGGCCTTGGCGGGTGAGCCGAAGTACATGGATGTCGCGCCGGCTCAAGCAGAGGTTCTGCCAATCCCAACAATGGGCTCATCCGTGTCCGTCGAGCCCCAAGGACAATCAGTAGCACTCGTGAATCCTGCGGAATATGAGCCGACTGCAAGGGACATCCTGCAGAGCATTCAAGACCTGGGCAGGCGACTTGATGGTCTCGCTACTAATGACAGGGTCAATAATTTGGAAGAACGACTCGATTCGGTGGAAGAGGTGGTTGGGCGGCGGTTGGACGTACTGGAGCGAAAACTCATATACTCGGATTCGGAATGGAAAGCAACATCGTCATCGCTCGGACATTTAACCATGTCCCTTCGGGATCATATGGATGATCTGACCGCACACCGTCCTCGGATCGACACCACTGCGTATGCTCCCCCTCACCATGGGAATGTGCACCTTCCGGCTTGGCTAGCTAATCACGACGACAATCCTAACATCTCTGCCATTGGTAGGTAGACAGTGGACTCACGCATGGGATGCATCCATTTTGACTGGTGTCCATGGCCATGTCAGGACTTCTGCATCTGCTGCACACATCGCCGAAACTCCGGATCCTGCAGTTTTGCCGGTCGATGCGGATGCATGCGTTGAGCTCTGCAGTGAACTTTCAACTATATCCGATTGATAGGTATCGGATCCTGACACTCATAATCGTATTACTGTCTTTACTTGTTTTCATTACATACCGTTGTTGCACCTGGCAACGCTCACCTTTTTAATATTGAAGTCAAGCGCCACTGGAAAGTGTCAAGGATATCATGCCGCAGAAAGATATGAGTTCTTAATAAGCACAGTATTGAATGGCACACGAGTGTTCCCTGGTCACCTTGTGCGAGTCCAGGAGATACATAGATACACCGGAATGTGTTACGAATGGGTATATACCATTCCTGCTTTATATTACACTTCGGCCATTCATGCACTCACCAGGCCCCGTATCAGCAACCGTTCATCACTACTTCCTGCTCCGAATGATAGTTATGCGTAACATGTTCTCACTCGAATAGTACACAGGTTGAAGGATGTTTACCCCATCCACTACCCTTCCGCCACACTCTGGAAGAGGCGAGCTCGACGCAATTAGATTTACACTCATGTCCTGAATAACTGCTTTCAGCTGCCGCTCACCATATCTGATCGGCCCAACTGTTATTTTCTACCGGACCGATTGGACATCCGATGTGCCCATTTGTAACACCTTCCGGTATCAGATTTATCGATTTGTGTTCTATCCGTTACCTTATCCTAAACTATCGCAGATATATCCGGCCCCAAAATCGAGTTCCGTTATTCCTAACCCCTCCGGGAATCGTAGGTATGTTCATTTGAGCTACAAGATAACAAGCTGGCCCTTCTGTATGATCTTCTGGCCATACAACACTACCTGAACCCAATAGTGATCCCTTCTGTAATCAAATCTATATTTCCTTCGGCCAATTATAACTAGCTAGGCCATCCTTCAACCTTCCGAGATTCGAGATTCTCCTGTATCCTACATCACATGATAATGCACCTATATATATTCATCTGACGCTGAGCCCTGCCGTCAGGTCTGCCGGTGCTGAATACATATTTCTTGCCCCCAACATCACTCCATAAGTCTTTCCGAGCTTAATTGGGTATTCTACTGTGAGTATGAATAACTGGGATTAACTGTCAGCCATTCCGAGATCCGCATTCATACTGCCGCGTACAACTCACTGGGCCGGACTGGCAGTCCTGAAAATGCACATGAAACTGCCCTGCTGAGATCACCTTTGCATCAAGTTGGGTCGAAATAACTATAGGCCAACCGCATTCTTCCTATATTTCCTTGGGCCGAAAATAGTCAGCCGGTTGTTCCGAAATCATACACCCCATTGCCTTGGGCTGACACATGGCTGGCCCTTCCGACATGAAATATGCTCAACCGTTGGCCCATAGCAAGACTATATTGGCCGGAACATGATATGCTGGCCCTTCCGAGATTAAATGCGCCCACCTATTGCCTCGGCCTGATGTATGGCTGGCCCTTCCGACATGAAATATGCTCAACCGTCGGCCCATAGCAAGACTATATTGGCCGGAACATTATATGCTGGCCCTTCCGAGATTAAATGCACCCACCTATTGCCTCGGCCTGATGTATGGCTGGCCCTTCCGACATGAAATATGCTCAACCGTCGGCCCATAGCAAGACTATATTGGCCGGAACATGATATGCTGGCCCTTCTGAGATTAAATGCACCCACCTATTGCCTCGGCCTGATGTATGGCTGGCCCTTCCGACATGAAATACGCTCAACCGTCGGCCCATAGCAAGACCATATTGGGCGAAACATGATCGGCTGGCCCTTTCGAGCTTAAATGAGCCCACCTATTCCCTTGGGCCGACATGTGGCCGGCCCTCCCGAGATTCAATACATGCACCTAACTGTCGGCCTGTAGCAAAATCATATAGGCCGAAAAATGATCGGCTGGCCCATCCGAGATCAAATGCGCCCATCGCCTTGGGCCGACGTTACTGACCCGAAATCATATGCATGCAACCGTCGGCCCCTGCGAGATCATATATGTATATATTATTTTGGGCCGAAAACAATTAGCCGACCTTTCCGAGATGACATGTGTGGGCCGAAGAAAAACTTGTTGGGCCTATCTGTCAGGCCTGGTACCTGTGTCCCATGATAACCGGCCCACTCATCCTATCAATCTCACCTGGCCCACCCGCCAACATGGGTGCTGAATTATGTGTGGGCTCATCCGTGCTCAGTCATGCATGGGCCCACGCTGGATGGTCCGCCTAACTGGGTTGATTCTCAACCTTTGGCTGTCCGACTAAGTCGGGAAATGTTACTGAAGGGGCTCGGATTTTCACAGATTCCGGGTGTCGATTTCGGCAAGACCTTTGCGCCTGTGGCCAAGCCAGCTTCGATTCATATCATTTGGGCGCTGGCAGCTAAGTTGGACTGGGAACTTGATTGTTTCGATGCAAAACGAGCGTTTCTGTGGGGAAAACTCAAGGAAGACGTCTATATGCGTCAAGCGCCTGGCTTTGAGCGCTTCGACGCATCGGGTGGTCGCCTGGTCTGTCATCTATTATCCTCTCTCTACGGCTTGAAGCAAGCTGCATACGATTGGTACGAGTTGTTGAGGGAAGTGCTGACTCGTCTGGGATTCCTGCGTTGTGGAGCGGATTACGCTGTTTTTGTCTATGATACCGTGGACAGCAATGGGACACGCACAGTCTGTATCATAGCCTGGCATGTGGATGATGGTCTGGCAGCAGCGAATCAACGCGCCTTCCTGGACTGGGTGAAGAAGCAGATAGGTGAACATTTCGGCATCGCGGATTTGGGTGCGGTGACGAAATACCTTGGTATACAATTCGAACGCAACCGCACGTCTCGCGACCTTTGGATGCACCAGACGGAATACATCACCTACCTTCTTGACGAGCATGGTATGCTCGACTGCAACTCCGTTGTTCTACCTATGGACCCAAAGTTTCCATTCGGACGAGATACTGATGTTCACCCTTATGTTGAAGACTTGGCGTCAGAGTATTGCAAACTAGTGGGCGAATTACTCTATCTGGCCCTCTATACCAGGCCCGACATAGCGCTGGCGGTCATGCGCCTTGTGCAGTTCAATGCATCACCCGAGCCTCATCACTATACAGCGGCAAAACATCTCCTTCGTTATCTTGCCGGTACCCTCAATATGCGCGTTCACTATGGAGGTGTCAACATAAGCACAGACCTTCACGGCTACAGTGACTCAGACTGGGCATCGTGTCCTGAGGACCACGTTTCGATCAGTGGATATGTCTGGTTTTTCAATGGTGGTCCGATTTCACACTCGTCGAAAAAGCAGCTTACACACACGTTATCATCGACCGAGGCCGAATACATGGCACTCACTGCAGCTATCCAGGATGGAATCTGGATTCAATCCTTCTTCGACAGTCTGAAGATCCCTTTTCCTGTACCTATTCGTCTCTTCGCAGATAACGCTGGCGCCATTGCCCTTTCGAAAGAAGCCGCTAATCACACGCGAACAAAACATATCGATTTACGTTACCACTTCATTCGCGCACATATCGAGGCCGGAACGTTCTTACCTGAATGGCTTTCCACGCATCAAAACACAGCCGACATCTTTACAAAGTGTCTCCCGCGTCCATTGTTTGTTCGCCACCAAGCCGGTCTATCACTCGTCACTCGTTGAAATTGTCTCGTTTATGGGGGTGTGTTGGAATGTAAACTCGTCTATTTCCTTTTTTAGTTTTAACATGTGATTCTTTCGGTTTATATTCTCGCGTCGTTCGTCTTCTGATACCTCAGTTGTTGATCTCCAACACTGAGGTATGTCTGTCTTCATCTTATCTCGCCAACTTTGTCTTATACTATTTTCTCTCATAGCGTGTTATACTCTTAGGTACTATCAATGTTTAGTTGTTGATCTCCAACACTGAGCGTGTTATACTCTTAGCTTCTAACAGTGAGGGCCTACGATATGTCTAGGTAAGAGCAGTTGGAGCTCGGTTACCCAGTCTCCCTCACCAATGAGAGTGAGCAGCGCCTTTTGCGACTTCGTATACTTGATTCCTGCCAGTCGGACTTTGTCGTCGATATGGTCGATAAGCGCACATGCTCGAGTATTAGCCCGTTGACCGCGGATGTCTAAATTCCGTTGTTTCACAAAGTGAGTTTTGGTGCATAGGAGGTTTTGCATCTTGTCAAGGGCATCTCTGCATTGTCCTTTGAGAAGCACTGACTCGATGATTTCAATGTCATACCTGCACATTGAAGATCTAGACTGAGTGTTCAACACAGATGGCAACCACAGCTCAACGTCCTCTGGATGGGGGGATTGATTGACACTATGCTGCTCGACCCACTCATTGATCCCCAGCATGTAAACATTTTGGATCTTGCGGAAGCGGCAAATTTGCCTGTGCAAGCCTGCACGACAGTGGTGTAAATCACTCTCTTGGTCAGAGCTCAAGGATGAAGTCTGTTCTGCATCATTTTTCACATGTCGTCTAGATAATTTGGTGAGACATTGGGAAAACACGGTAAATATGTACTAACTGTATGTCCTCAATTGAAAACCCAAGATGTATGAAAGCGCTTGGTGATGTCTCGTGTGGGAGGACTCTGCCAGACACAATAGCATCTTTCTCCTCTTCTGCCATTGCAGCGCGCATTTGAGCCTCTGTTAGATCTGTAATACATTCAGTGATACTTGATAGGCAGATTACAAAATCGGTCTTACTGGTGTTCGGAATGAGATAAGGATTACTTTGTGCCTTATCAGACTCCCATGCTAATATCATGGCAAGCCACTTGTCACGTTGGGGAGCATCGATTCCGGCATCAAACTCAGCAAACATTTCTTTCTGCCGTCTGTTCTCTTTGAGGGCAAGCAGCAGCTTCTTACAAAGAGAAAGACCTAATATGAAGTTAGTTGAATGCCAGCTAGGGCGACTGAGGACTTACCAAGACCAGTAAGTTTACGCCAATTGTGATGCCCGAAGTGATCGTCGAGTGTATCATGCCGTGAACCTGGTCTCATCTCTTTTGTACTATTTGCCACACAATTCATCTCAGTCCAATTTCGTTTGATTCCTTCACCGTCCGTGCAGCCCACTCCTGGCATTAGATTGAGTGAATGGGGGGTCAAACATTTCTCCTCATGTGCTGGTGCATGGAACTTTGGGACAGCAAATAGGAACACAGCAACGGCAGTAACCACAGGTATTTGAATGTCCTCCGGAAGTGCCAACCTACGTTTCAAGAGATTCAACTTCCATTGGCATGCAATATCGTAAGATATGACCACTGAAAGAAACAACAGCGGCATAATTGTCGAGAAAAAAATGTAATTTATATTTGCATATCTATTCAATGACATGAGTTCAACCAATGTGTGAAATCAATTAATTGCCTACCGTTCACCCTTCTGCAAGTCCCCAACGCCAACAGGTCGAACAAATTTGTGACGTGCACACAGGCAAAGCCCAACACCAGTGGCCCGAAGGCCATTGGAAAAATTGGTTTCAGCATGCGCCAGTGTCTTGAAACTGCTACATGAACTTATCTGTTTAAGATGTCAGACACTGATGACTACTAAGGAAGATCATCTTACATCATTCTGGCTAGCATTATTTAAAATATGTGCCCTGTAAGGCTCATTGGGCATGAAGTATGCGAGACCAGTATGCAACCCAGGATCACCAGCTTCGGATGACCGCAAACAGTTCTTGAGGCAAAAATTGGCATCTAGAGCTAGGAATATAGCATACAGGAACCTTGTTTGCCAATGTCAGTAGATGGAAAGAGACATGCGAACAACTTGAACTCACTTTAGGGAGACGTCTATCTGTTCCCAGTCTCCTGGTAAATTGATTCCAGGGTGCGGACAGGCAGGACACTGTACTGCAAGTGCGCCTGGTTCCATTGAAGCGATTCCTCCTCCAACATTTCCTCAACCCACTTGCTTCATCATTCTAATATGCCTGAACTGTCAGATTGTCCTCATGAAGGCCCTGTATCAGCTCTAGGTCATGTTAGTACTTTAGTTGAGAGTTGAACAACAGAGTACATAAGAGACTCACATTGGGAATATTCAATCCCACATTGTCTGTCAAACGCTCAAGTGTCGTATAAAATTCATGCCCCGAGACCTTGCTTGACCATGTCATAACAAGAAAATATTTGAGTACATGCCTTGTGCATGCAGTTTGTGGGAAATGGATTGTCGCAGGATACCAGTCACAACAAAGCAGCTGTTGACGATGGGAAACACATTGGTCACAGCCACAGAAATCAATGTTGATGCAATGGATTCCGTTCACATGTATAACTATGAAATCCACGTGTCCACGCTCAGGACACACACATTTCAAATCACTGTGCCCCAGTTGCACTCTCAATCCTATCTCTTTTAAGCTGCTTTGTTCAAATGATGACCCATTCCATTTCTGAAACATAGTAAGTAAGAACAACATGACATTTAGCTGCATGCACTCACGAACATTGATAACATGCAAAGGCAATCATCGATGTGACGCCGCACAACATGCTGTGCACATCATTTCCAAGCTGAAGCAGTCCTCACACCGGTAAGAGCTGTAGTTGTGAGATATGGCCATCATTGTATGGTAATAGCCATTGACAGACATTCCAAAACTGACAGTTATTACCATTTCCATTTTTGGGCAAAGCTTACACAACCTCGTCCAGTGTTCGGACTTTGAGTTCCTCATGCTTGCCATCCAAAATGAGCATACCGATGATCCGCATGTAAGATATACTGGATACCTGGATATTTCCCTGCATTCACTATTTTATTTACCTAGATAGAAACCTAATCGCGCGCCAGGCATGAATAGGACAGGTATACATATTTGTCAGCATTTTTATTTTCCTCTGGCCGGGCCTCGCCACTGGTACCACTTGCATTTCTCTCTATATTGGCTATGGGGACACATGGGGTGAGTAATAATACTATGTCCACATATTTATTTTCCATCCATTTACAGTGATTTGAATATGCCATCGAGCGGACCCTCAGATAAATCCCCCCCTCCTCAAACAGTGGATATACCACCAGCTGGATCTGACCAGCTGCCTGGTGATGCTAACGCCTATGTAGAAACACTGAGAAAATGCTGGGCGACAGGATCGCGACTGGAACTCCTCACATTGCATATCCCGAAGTATGCGAGCAGCCTCGCTGAAAGTCGAACCTGTGCAAACAACTACCTGGACGTCATTGTGAATGACTATTTCATGCATTTCCATTGGAAACTCAAGGTCTCAGAGGAACCGCCAACTGATGTGTCTCCCATATCTCACTGTTCCGAGGCGCTCACCCCATTGGAATCCCTTCAAAAGCAGCGCAAAATTGCATCCATAAGCAAGGTATGTTTTTATTTCAATTCTTACATTTCAAAACAAAATTGACGCTAGTACGCTACAGACTATACATAACTGGTTTGAGAACCATTCCAAAGCTGTGCGCAAGCTCGGCGTCAGCGCAAAACCCAAGAACGATCCATGGACACGTCTTCTTTCCCAGTTGTCCGGTGTCTCACCACACAAGCCCAGAATGCTACAAGCTCACCAGCGGTGGTCCAAGGATTTCTACAAAAGTATGGTGAAAGAAAGATTTGAGGCACAGTGGGAACTGTCATCTTGCTCTCCAAAAGAGAAAACCTCATTCCGTGACCGTGTCACATGGACTATTTTTGAGGAGCAAGAACCATCAGTCATCAAAAAATACGAAGTACTTGCTCAGACAGAAGGTAAAGAGGCAATCAAGGAATGGAAGGCCATGTTGGACGCTCCTCCTCGTACTGACCCAGTTTCTCGTCAAGCGTACGTACAAACACAATATTATGCTCAACAATGGTGACTTAATTGTTTCCAGTGCACTCAATAGACTTGCCTCATTTGCAGGACCCCTGCTATCTGGAATTTCACTTGCGCTGGGCATGCATGTCACCCTGATGGTTGGCGGACCTGAACCGCGCAAGCAAGGCAAAATTAGTGTAATCAGGTTAGTTGCATGCTAATTTCCCTCGATTTATTCTCAACATGTTTCATAAGCATGCACAAGGGTGTCGATCTTCGCCCACAGCCTCAAAATTGGCAGACGGCTAACAAGGGAAAATTCAAGACTGTCACCAAGCTTTTTCAGGAATATCTCAATGGCTGCTACAGTAAGTGACATCTACATTACCATTATGCAATTCAAATGACAGTATCATAGCCGAAGAGGATCACTGTGATCGGAAGCTTCCAGACACTCCCGCCAAAGACATGGAGGGTCCTGACAGTTCCCTAGCATATCCCAACTCTGACACCGGCATGGAAGAAGAAATGACATTGAACACATCGACGACGCAGAAGTCCATGCCCAATGACAAAGCAAAGGCAGTCAAACTAGGGTTCTGCATGGGTACAGGTTACCCGCGTGGGTCACGGGTATGGGTGCCATTGGGGTACGGGTATGGGTTGCCTTTTGTGGTACCCATACCCTCACCTGTACCCATACCATGAGTTGACAACCAAAAATGAGATATATTGCTACCTACTACAGTGCAGGGAGAACTCTGAGTCTGAAACTATACAGCTGTCAAACCCTAACTAAACAACCCCATATCGCAACTGAAACCTTGTCACGCGAACTAATACTCAACATGTTTGAGACAGCAGCAAAATGGGTCATGAAAATGACAGAGAAGGCTAAGGCAGCACTGCAGACTTCCAGCAAAAAACAGAAGAATGACACAAGCAGCATCAGTGGCGGCCCTAATGAGCCCAAGAAGGCAAAACCTAACCCGCTCAGTGGAAATTCTAAAGATAGATCCACAGAGCCACTCTCACCTTCACCGCTGACATCGGATGTCATCCAAGTCCCCAAGCCCCAGGTCGTGCAGTCACATCGGGCCATCATTCAAACTGAAGAAGAGGAGGCTGCGATGTATGAGGATGCCATTGATATCAGCGACCAGGGAAGCAGTGACGGAGATGAGCCTTTGCACAAAGAGGAGAGTGCGAAGGACGAACTCAGTGAGCTATATTGATTTAAAGATTAATCAGTGTTAAGCATATAATAGCGAGATTAATGAAAGATTGGGTCTCACCTGTGTACGCATTCTTCTACCCAAAACCATGCATTGTTGTCATCAGTGGACGGCATGCACATGAGTTCAAGTGCTGTGCAAAAGGCTGCCAAGCAACCACTCGGAGATTTCTCGACAAAAAGGATGCACGATCCACTGGAAACATGCGCAAGCATGTGAGGGCATGCTGGGGTGAAGATGTCCTTGCAGCCGCCGACGATGCAAAGGATGCAAATGAGGCCCGCACAAAGATAGTTGGAGGTATCCTGCACAATGGGTCAATCACTGCGTCATTCGAGCGCAAGGGGAAAGGAAAGATTACATACTCTCACCGTCAACATACGAGGGCTGAAACAAGGTAGTTTGGTCTTCATATTAGCGCATAGCAGCTGGTTTGACATCAATGACAGGGCAGAAATAGTTAAGTGGGTAGCGGAGAGCCTGCGACCATTCGAAGTCGTGCAAGACAAGGGTTTTCAGTCCCTTATGAAGACTGGAAGACCGGAATACTACATACCATCGCCAGCAACTGTATCTCGAGATGTTCGACAAGTCTTTGTACGCACGCGTGAACATATCGCTAAGATGACAAAGGTTAGATTAATAATTACAATGATATCCAAAAAAATAACAACGCACCAGGAATATCCGGGGAAACTCAACTTTACAACAGATGGTTGGACTGCCACGAACCATCGGGCATTTGTGGCTGTTTCAGCACACTTGGAACACAATGGGAAGACACTAAGTCTTCCATTAGATACTGTCGAAGTACCAAAGGTTTGAATCACTCACGGATCATATAAAAACCATCTTGCTGATCCAGGTGCAGTCTCACACTGGCGAAGAACTCGCAGCAACATTTGCAAAGGTCCTAGAAGATTTTGGTATTTTAGACAAGGTGAGTAAATGGCCTGGGGGACATGATTCAGATAGACTCACCAGTCATCCACAGATCCTCTGCATTACATGCGACAATGCCGCCAATAACACTGTAATGGTGGACGACCTCGCAGATATTCTTCCCTCCTTCCCTGGCACAGCGAATCATACGAGATTCTTCCTGCACACAATCAACCTGGTGGCGAAGTCATTGATCAAGGAGTTTGATACGACCAAGAAAGATGCGACTCGGGCACTCGACGATTATGGCAATGACACCAGTGAAGATCCTGGGACTCCACAAGTTCAAGCTGACAGATGAGGAGTGGGAAATTGCTGGCCAGCTGAGAGATGTGCTAAAGGTGCGTAAACAAACCAAACAAATCATGGTCGCTGAATGACTAATCATGGATGACTCAAGATTCTGAAGGACGCCACACTTTTCTTCTCGCACTCTACGCCAAGTCTCACCACTGTAATCCCGGCAATGGACCTCATTGACGACAAACTAACAAGCTACTCGCAGGACCACAAATATCTGCCAGCAATTTGTGCTGCTGTCTGCCTAGCTAAGAAGACTCTTAACAGGTACTATGAACTAACCGATACATCTGAAGTCTACCGCATCGCTATGGGTGAGTTCTTTTGCATGATATACTCGGTCAATTACTAATCATTAGAATAATAGTCCTACATCCTCATCACAAGCTATCTTACTTCAAGAATGCAGGTTAGGAGGACGAGTGGGTGGACACAGCAGAGGCCCTTGTACATGACGAATTCGAGCGATCCTATGAGCACACAATTGTCAACAATGACTCGACGGACAATGAGGATAATGGACTCGGAGTTCCCGAGAAGCTGATGAAGGGAGATTCATCCATGGTATGTTTTTTATCAATTTCTTTGCCGGTACTGATGCTATCATAGAGCAAGAACATATTTGATCATTTACCAGCCCTCGCACCACAAAGAGTGACTGATCTCCGCAATGAGATAGACCGTTATCTCAGTGCTGATGTGGAACATGTCACTGATGCCATCGCATGGTGGCACGAACACTGTGGATCTTTCCCTTGTCTGTCGCGAATGACCCTTGATTATTTAACAATCCCTGGTACGTCTCATTTCTCGATGCATTACCCACCAGTACATTAACCAGGCGTCTGAGTCAGCTACTTCAGTTGACATTGAACACTTGTTTAGCCAGGGCCAACTTTTACTCTCACATGTTTGGTCACGACTTTCTGCGCAGTCAACACGTGCCCTGCTTTGCCTCGGATTGTGGAGCCACCTTAATCTCGTGAAGAGTGAGGATATCATGAATGCCAGCTTGTTGCCTGATCTCAAGGGGGAGGAGGAGGACTTGAAGGATGGGTGGGACTGTATTGAGATCAAGTAGCTAGTCCTTTCGTGTTGTAGTATATTATATCAATTTTGCAAGATATCTGTGGGTATACCCTCCGCGGGTACGGGTACGGGTCTGGGAGTTTGATACCCACAAAAAACCCGTACCCTCACAGAGGGTACGGGTTTTTGGCGGGTATCTGTATGGGTATGACCTCTGGTACCCCAGGGTTTACCCATGCAGATCCCTAAGTCAAACAGCCTGCCAAGAACAAACACCGTAAATATTCGGCAGTTCGCGATGACAATGGTGAAGTAACCACTGATACAGACTCTCTGAATGAATCGGATCCCGATGATGATGAGCTATCTACAGCCAAAGGGAGATGGGAGTATCGCCATTCTCGTCTCCCCTACTCGGCACCCCGCCTCACCTACGTCGACCATCACACTGGCAGCCCTATCAAAACCAAGAAGGGCCCTTCCAATATCAATTGTAGGCCCTTCGTTCCTTCCAATGATGCACACACCAATGGAACTTTCATCCCAGCTGGGGACAAATCCAGTGGCTCTCCACCACCATTAAATTCAGAGCCTGTTCCTGAATTAATAAGTTCACAGCCCACAGACACACCTGCATGCCCCTCCGATGCACACCCCAACCAAATTCCTATTTTGGTTGGGACAGAACACAGTAGATCGGCACTGCCCTCAGATTCCGAACCTCTTCCTGAAGTGGCAAGTTCACAGCCCACTCCTGTGTGCCCATCAGAACCTCCTATGCAAGTTGTGGAGCTTCGTCTATCCCCTCGTGTAGATAACACCATCTGCTCACTCACTCAGGACAGTCAAAATGATGACATTGGTGAGTCGTCTATTATGATATGAGTGTGAACATGATTTAAATCGTATATCAGTGCTTCCCACCAATTGCCCTGCCTGGATTTGGGAAGCAATCAAATATCTCACCACCCCCCAACTTCCCTCTCAACATCATGCTCTACTCACAACTTTTTTAGAGCTCGAGAAGTCTTCTGGATTTTCGTCCGGGAAGGATACTACCTCTCTCAGTAGCAAAGATCGCCCATCTGCAATTCACTGGTGGATTTCAGCCGTCTATCCCCGAGAACTTTGGTATGGCATTCTGGAGTTGGTGGTGTGGGATTCAGCCCACGTGGAGGAACATATCGTCATCATCCGATGAAGTCCCTTGCTATAATGGCAATGATTGGAGTCTTCTCGACAGACCTGGGATAAATGGCTTCTGGAGTGTATTGGCCGCACTAAAATGGTGGGGTTGTGCTAATAGTACTGAATGTGACGACCCCCTTTGGCATACAGCTGTAGATGATGTCAAATGGGTGATGGAATGTATCATAGAACTTCGCTGTTTGGCCGTTTCCAGGTAAGCTAGCATGTCCTGATCAAGTCAATTCAATTGACATCATTTCCAGCCCGGTCAAGAAATGTTCGGCACCAGAACCAAGAAGTCCACGTTTGTCGAAGCGTCTCAAATCCAACAGCTGTAAATGTCATTAAAGTCTGCAACATCACTGAAGCTCTCTCTAATCCCGATAGATCTGCACCCTGACATGCATTGAGCTTAGATATATTGTAATTTTTTGTTCGAATCAATAGATTGCACCTGCTCATTTATGTCACGGATCTCGTCAGTTTTACTATCATAGTACATGAGGCAGCATAACTAGTAAAACAATCCCCTAATAATCATTTTGCTGATACATCAACTCGCCCAACTCATAAGCTATCGCAATCTCTGTAACCCCCGACATACTAGCGTGACACAAAATGTCATCTAGTAGGGTTACCACCAACCTCATAGACTGACAGATGCAGTTACCTGCTTTCCACTCATCGCAAACACCACACATCTGCAGGATCGTATCCAGTCCTCGGTGAACCTCGCAATGTAGATCCTTGATAGAATTGATAGTGTCTTGGATAATGGTGATGTCACCTTTTTGGATTGATGTTCCTGCAGCATCCGAGTCATCAGGCATAGTGTCGAGAAACTTCTTCAAAACATCCTGCACGAATTCAGTAGGCAACTTGACGAGTAAGACAAATGCGTCTTTGGCTTCCTTTAAGATGGCAAGACACTCCGCAAGTGTTTGCCTGAAAATCGTTTTGTAAAAATGCGGAATACAACTGGAAAACTAAAATTTAAACTTACGGCGCATCCACCCCCTCTGTCTCGTCGTCCGAGTGAGAGTCATGTGGCTCAAAGCATTTTGCGACTCGCGCAATGAGTGGGAGGTCGCTTGCGGGTGGATCATTGGTCCTTTGGCATCTAGTCTTCGCTGTACAAGGCTGATGCCTTTGAGCATTGATGGCCCCCCTGTGCCTAATAGTATCAAAAACAAGATAATTAATAGTTAGAAACACTAGAAACACTTGTTTGAGAACTCACCTGGCATAATATTTTCTGCTTTCCTCGCATATAGCATGAAGCCTCACTTCAAGAGTAGTGTAGCGAGGAGAAGGGATTATCATCATGATCATGTGTCTGTGATTGATGAATGGTGAATTGGACGACAGTTGAGGTGAAATGACCTAAAACTTAAAATTAAATACTATTACTTGGTCACGCAAATGGCAGGACTAGAACCGATTACGGCTTGATGGCCATTATGATAGTAGTCCTTGAACGACAGCAAGACCTGTCAAATCTTATCAGCCTAGTATGTGATCGTCGACGGTTTGAGAGATTTAAACTTACATGGTTGAGTGGATCTGACGAGTAGAATCTAATAGAATCTGTTGTGAGTTGTGAAATCATTGCAGGGAGTAGATCTGACTATACACTGGTAGAGCAAGTTGCCAGAGTCATGTTCCACAATCGGATTTGAACTTGCAAAGTGGAGTAGATCAGACTACTACTATGCAGCGCCGACAGTGGGACTATTCCGTCATGAGAAGTAATAGTGAATAGATTGTAGCGCCTTAATGTTGTGTTGTGTTGTACAGTAAGAACTTGAAGCAGTGTAGACCTAGTAGTAGTAGTAGCTCAGACTATTAATGATAGCGCAGTGATTTAAAGCTACCAATGTTCAGTACTCAAGTGTTTGAATTCGACATTTAATATTCAATCATCAATGTTACTTGATGGCTTTAGGGATGAGCCATAAGATTATAAAACTACTGACTTACACTCCAGGATCAGTTGTGATACACTAGTGAGTTAATATAAGACAACTCTAAGTTATAGCTAGAGTATTGACAGACCAGACTTTTTGACGTCATCAAGTGCTCCGAGCCATACTTCAATAAATGTTACTCTAGAGCCTCAGGAATCCTCTGCATTAACATCTAAGTCATCGGTTGGGACTGTGATATATGAAACACCACCTCTTTCCTCAATGTGTGTCTTAGACAAATCCGACTCTCTTTGTCCAACATACAACTCCTCGAATATGATACTATGGATCATATCACAGATTGCAGCAGATTGGTGATGGTCTTGCAGGAGGCGGAGTACTGCACGGGCAACCAAATCGACTAGCCCGACATCAGGAATTGGCATTGAAGAAGATGTTAAACATACCGCAGCACAGTGGCATACACACTTTTCTTGTGGTACCGCAAGCCTTCACTTCATCCACGATAAACGAGGTATGGCCACAGTGTATCTCATCTAGGGCAAGAGTCAATAGAAGGCGTGAAATAAAGGGAGAGACATACCACAACAGTCACCATTAGTATAGCAAGGTGTAGTTTCCACATCTGCTTCAGTGGGGAGATTTGCAGGTTGACTGGCGGGGGAATGTTGGGTCATTGATGGATAAGGACAAGAGTGAATATTTAGAGCCGAAAGTGAATACGAGATGCCTGACAAATATGTAAGTGATATCGATGACTCAATAGTGATGGCACGGTTACCATCACCAAGGAAGTCAGATGCCTAAGCTGGACCAGGCGATAGTGTCATTATGATGTATTATATTCCTCTCATAGTAGAAGAGAGGTGTTATATCCCGGTCTATGACACAATGTGTGGGAAAGTGATACATCAATCACAGTGCCATGATATATCATGTACTTACTGAGGATTTAGCAGCCGAAGATGATACATCAATCATACTAGCGCCATGATATATCATACTTACAGAGGATATACTACCAGCCATAGAGCCTTGATATATCAGGTACCTTCAAGTTTTGCAGCTGCAGTTACTGTATATTTTAATGATATATCACCCACTGAAAACGAGCTGAATGATCCTCTGAACTACTGGATGGGTGATGCTTCCTTCATTAGTAGCCAGGTGTCACCCACCTCAGTGGGTCACACACAAGCACAGCTGCAATACATATGATGTATTCTATACACCCTCCTCCCGGTCTCGCCACACTTGAAAATAGTGATATATCACTATTTCACGCGGTGGCTGCAATAACTGATATATCACTATTTTCAAGTGTGGCAGCAATACCTATAGGCTATGATGTATCATATATTCCCTCCCCCCGCGTACGGCTACAGTAATTGTATATTTTTATGATACATCACCTACCTTGATACCTCAGAACATAATATATCATGCATTTTCAAGCGCGGCAGCAATACCTATGATGTATCATATATTCCTGCCTCCCACAGCTGCAGTAATTGCATGTTCAAGTTTTGATGATATATCACCTACCTTAATGCCCTCAGTAGGATACATCCTCTCGAGGGGCTGCACTAACAGGACGGCGCTGGACCGTTGCACAATCACATCAATTTTCTCTTCTGGTCATCATTGACATGATTTCGCATCTAGGATTATTCAACTTCATCTAAATTTTCAGGACATGATGTTATCTAGCTAGGTACATTGAAAACACAACAGAACTACTTCCGAGACCTTTTCTTCGACCCTCCAACACCACGCTGGACTTCGGTCAGCTTCCTCTTTGGTGCGAGCTTTGTTTCACGTTGTGAGTTATGGCCACTAATTTTATTTGCTCCATCAGCTCGCGTAGAAGGACGTGGTGCGCGTCCCGAGCATCTGCCAGAGGCAGCGGTAGGTAATGAAGACACTGTCCTCACCTCCAAATTGGGTTGAGGATGATCATCAGCAGAAACACCTACAATGTCATGAGGCGTCGGCCGGTGAGAAGCTGGCGAAGATTGACAGTCAATGGACACTGTCATCGCCTCCAAATTAGGTTGATGAGTTGGCTGGTGAGACGCCGGTGAAGGTTGATGTTCAACAGACGTGGAATGCGGTGACTTGGAGGCTGTGGATACAAGCAGGGACAAAGGTAACGGAATTGGTTGGTCTGGAGGTGAGCATGGCCCTGAATTCAACATGGGCTGGTTAAATGCTAATGGATCATGGTGTTGGAGCATGGGCAGCGCGTCGACCTCCTCGAGTGCAGGAAACACAAAGAACGAAGAAGGCTGGGGCAAGAGGGTGGTATGAAGCGGTGACAATGGATGAGGTAGGAAAGGAGGGACTGCTTTGGCTGATGGATCCACTGCGCTCGAACCTCGTTGTTGAATGCGATTAAAGGTGGGGGAAGCGAGCGGGTCTTCATTGAGCGCCATTGACTTTCTCCAAGCAGTGATTGGCGTGTCTGTCATGTTACGGGGAGATGGGAGGTTTGGGTCACTGCTACTAGCGTGCATCAATCAGTCACCATGTTCGTTCGCTCCCACAGACCCACCGAAGTCCAGGTTGATGTAAGGATTCAACACTAAGTCCCCCAGTTCTTGCAACAGAGAAGGACCAACCACAGGCCCGGATATCACATTCTCTCCAAGTGAGGACTCGTTCGGAAATTCATCCAGTGAGATGAGGCCAACGGGCGCAAGATGAGACGAGGTTGGGGTAGATGAGGGTGCTGATATACACTTCGAAGATGGACCTATGGTATTTTTCATTAATAATAAATTTTGAGTCGTGTAGCCTGGAATTTCACTTACCATGGATGTATCCAAGGTGTCGTTCAAATGGTAATAGATACTGTTCATGGAAGTTTGGGGTAGATGCCTTGAAGCTCAGACCATCTGCGGTTTTACCATGGTGGTAACTGTTGATGAATCAACAAACGGTCACAAAGAGGGAATTTGAAATACCTCAATGTCATGATGTCACCTTCACACAATGGATCAGCTCCGCCCATGACAACGGTGTAGTGCCATCCACCTGTCAACGCTGAGAGTTCCTCGAAAACTTGACCTAGAATCAAAGGCAGCTCTTGAATTGTCCTTTACATAAATGGTGAGTGATCAGTACCAGTACTTAGTAATATGAATCAAATATGTTTACTTACCGATAAACTTCTTCCTTTGTTCTTGGATGCTGACCCTCAACATCGCCCAATCTTCTGGAAGCATTGAGACATACAGTCTCCTCCCGAATTTCCTTCTTAACTTCTTCTGACTCTTCTGCAAAGCATTCAGTGGTGTGTAGCTGAACCGTACTAAGCCTTTGGGTAGGTTGCACAATATTATTTTTAAGAGTGTCTTCAACCAACGGTTTGACTTTTGACTCATAGTGCAGTTTGGAATACACTTCAATCTCTTTGAGGTCTCGAGTACCTCGTGCGCGCTGGCCAAGTAGTACAGACAGGGCTCTACCAGTTGAGCTGCCACCAGGTGTTGTCTTTCCCTTTGAGTTATTTCGGAACCATTCCCACAATTTCTAACAAGGTTATATTCTATAATTAGGTCAATGTGAACACCACATACTTTGCATCGTTCTGCCGCTCCCATTGGAGGTGAGTTGGACTGGCTGTCTTCTTGTTTGACTAAATCGGGTGCATTTATAGAATTGAGCTGGGCTGTGTCGATAACGGACTTGATGCCTGCACTGCTGGGCTCATTTATGCCAGCGTTCTCATCACAAGGTGGGCTGCCATTTAGTTCTGTCTCTTCTGGAAAGTTGCTAAACCACCTTGGGAACAATGAATCGAAGAATCAAGGCAATTTCTTCTCTTTTTGCATCTGCAAGTATCCGGGCATCTCATTCTGCAGCCAGAGTAACTGCTCTGCGCTTGTCCATCTGGGGGGCGCCATCTGGATGTAAGGTGAGTATCTGTTATTTATGCTTGGTATCTCACTCACTCACCACTTGTTTTTTTTCACTTGGTTTTGTACAGAGCCAAACAGGGAGGTGTGGTGCCGACTTGACCCACTGATGTTTATTTTTCCTACTCAGCCGCAAAGTTTTTTTCCTCAATGAATCTGGTCATATTTACAACCAAGCAATACCAATCAGTGAGTGAGTGGTACAAATACATTTTTGCACTCAAACTGACACTATAATTCTCTCTACCTCCACCCACAACATGGACCACAGCAGCTCCGACGTCAGATGCCCCCACAACCAACCCGTACAAATGCTCCGCCACCCGTGTTTCACGATGGAGCAACTCATCGAGGCCATATGTATGGTACAGAACGGTCATGGTAAGTTTTCGTTATGATATCACCAAAGTGCTTGCTCACCATCGCATCTCACACAGTTCCCCCATCATCACCGAAACCATATGGATGGCCTTACTGACCTGAAGATGAGGTGTGCTCAGTCCATACACAAACAGGTACTGTGAACTTGCATACATTTTCCTCTTTCATTTTACTCATAAATTGCGCAGTCTCTCATAGCCCAGAAGACCGCTCCCCGGCAAAAGAGGAGGACACTTCCTCAGAAGTCTCTATTGACGATATTTGTATTGGCCCCGCGGCTGCTGCTGCTGACAACAGTCTTGATAGTTCCTCTTCCGAAAATGGGGGAGAGTCCAGTATGAGCGGTACTGAAACACTCGCTGACCTCGACCCTGCTCTTGAATTTAACTGGTTCGTGACCACTAGTCATTTTGGTGTGGGGCTATACAGTGAAATATCAGTCGCTTTTTATTGCTCTTGATCTGAACCGCATCTAATTATTCATAGATCTACCACCCAGACGCTTCATGCCCCAGGCACAACTGTCCATTACTTCACCACACTCCATGAAGCTAAGGAGTATTTCAGGCTTGCCTTGGCGGTGTGGTGTAGTGAGACGGTCTAACGTGAAAGTACTGTTTGTCACTGCAAACTCAAAATATCATGGGGTGTCCCCAATGAATAGGTTCCGCAGGGATTAACTGTTTCATTCTTACATATGCTAGATACTCAATCATGATAAATATTTACGTTTGAATCAGACATGCGAGTCTTGTATGACCCAGGCCTCACAAGCAACATCATCTGATAAGCTTTAAGCTCGGTTCAGCATGCCAACAGTGATTCTTGCATGGCTGATAATATATCACAGGCCCATCAGAAAGTCCAGGTCTGCCGTTGAGTCACATCAGAGAACCTGTGAGAAGAAGATATCGTCATATATCGTCATATATTGTAATATACAGTTGTACAACATTTGGTGTGCTTGCGCAAGAAAATGCTTTCGCCAATATATTTTAACACAAGTGGCACTGAACAAAAAAAAACAAAAAAAAAAAACATTACTGAAGACATCCTGAAATCAGGCACATGATGATGTTGATAAACAGCGCAACTTGATTTCAGGATGTCTTCAGTAATGTTTTTTTTTTTTTTTGTTCAGTGCCACTTGTGTTAAAATATATTGTCGAAAGCATTTTCTTGCGCAAGCACACCAAATGCTGTACAACTGTATATTACTTTGTGACACTTACCTACCAGCTCGCCACCATCTGGCCAGTATCCAGCAAGACACCAAGTCATCTGCATTGCAAAAATTGAATTTTATATTGTCTATCATAGTACAGGTCTGTCCCGAAGTGTGGCTCATATGCCACCAAACAATACAGTGAGTTGTTTGCACTAATTACTGGTATGTTACTACATACACCTTGTCCCTCAAATCATTACCGCAATGGCACCAAAATATGGAACTGCAGAAGAATGCCGCAGAGCTCGATTGCAGAGCAAACGACAACATTATCAACAGTCAATTTCAATTTCAATCACTCAGAGTCTATCAAGATACTTAATGAATTTTATTTGTTTTCTTGTAGCAATAAGACTACAGAGCAGGCAAAGTCTCGAACTCATTGGCGGGTGCGAAGTTGTCATTTTAATGATGTATGTATTTCCTTGATATACAGTGCTATATGTATCTACACTTTCACAAACAGGATGTTGTTGCATTGTTTCGCACCTTAGACCAACTGAGCACTGAACTTGGGTACAAGTCTGGTGTTCCTGAGGCACGCATTATGCAATCTCGTGTTATCGCAGTGCTCCGGAGAGTGAGTGACGAGGGTTGGAGTGTGCTACGCCCTGAGTTGAATGATGTATGTATTACTCTGCTGGGTCTGCAGGTGCGTGCTACCAAGTTACATGATGCCGTGCAACAACTTGAATGTACATCTGGGACTGGATATCACCTCTTGTTGAAGCAGAGCCAGGAACTGGTGGACTTGATGGAGAGACGGCTTGCAATAGAGAAGGAAGTCATATCAATAATAGACGAAGGAGGTGTTGAAGCTTATGATGAGGCAATGTTCGCCAACTTACTCATTTGGCAGACTGTGGTTGATATATCAGACAAGTCTTAATATAAACCAGCCGAATTTGTGAACCGCATCTCACTAACACCGACGACAAATGGTTGGAGGCCAGAGATGGCGAGCCCTGAAGCATTATCAGTGTGATTTCTATGTGCACAGTGCTGCTGCTTCAAAAGCAGTGAATAACGATACCAATGATGCGCCTCAACACACACATGATGTTCAACAACGCAAGCACAGCAGTTTTGAAACAGGACAAAGTGGGCGGTTGAACGTCTCTTCAACCTACTACACCATTCCAAATTCTCCAGGGAAACGCCGTCATGGAGATTCAGAAGTCCTACTGGAGACTACAGAGTTTAACTTCACAACTCTCAATGACTTTCCTGATAACCTTCAAAATGACATGCCAGAGTTTGTAGAATTCGCGAGGCAAAAACGCACTGTGGTTCATGGTGAGGCCTTGCACTTATGGGAATCTGATGCCAACTTGTTCTTGGAGGAATTCCTCCGTCTGGAGGGTCAGGGCAACTATTCGCAAGACATTTGTGTTTGTGGTGAGGAAGCTGCGATATATCGTTGTCAGGATTGTCACGGTTCTGAGATGTTCTGTCATTTGTGTATGGTCCGTGTACATGCAAGACAGCCGTTTCATAAAATGGAGGTATGTGCATAGATACTCACATTCCTTACATCAACTGACTCTTGTGTTTTAAACTTAGCGTTGGGATGGCATCTCATTCGACGATATTACCTCGAAGTCCATGGGGATACATTTGCAACTTGGACACACCTCTGGCGTTTGTTGTGACCACCCACTCCCTGCTTTCAACGACGACTTCGTTATCATCCACTACAACGGTATCTACGAAGTGGGGTTAGATTTCTGCGGATGCGCTTCTGCTCAGCCACACATCATTCAACTACTACGTGTTCGTCTCTTTCCTGCAACAACAGTCGATCCCAAAACAGCCGCGACATTTCGGGCACTGGAATACTTTCAAATGTTGTCTTTTGAGTCCAAAGTTTCCACGTTTGAATTTTACAAACAGCTGCCCGTTTGATGGACAATACAGGAATTCATGTACCAAAGGTATGTGCTAATGTTAATTCTAATTCTCGTCTGATTTGTCATATTACAATCTAGGACCGTTATGAATCTATGTTGTGCATGATGCGAGAGTGGCGGTTCATCAAGCAGATGCAACGCGCTGGTCAAGGTCATCACCCCAAAGGTATCGCAGCAACTGAACCAGGCGCATGTGCTGTATTATGTCCTTCATGTCCCCATGTAGGAAAAAATCTGCCAGATGGATGGGAAAACGCACCATCTGAAATACGGTATGTACATTTAGCATCTTTTCCCTCCGACTTTGCTCTCACACAGATCCAGATTCCTATATGCCTTATTTCTGGGCATTGACGCCAATTTTCGTCTGGCTCACTGTAACGTCTCTTCGGCCACGGCCGATCCTGGTCTCAATCACAGATATGCTTTTTTTGTAGAGGAACATGCCTACAAAAGTTTTATCAGTTCACAAGAACGAGCTGCCCAGGAGGTAAGTCCAGCATTCTATTCGTCCTGGGCACTAAGTATAACTCTGTGCAGATGAGTTCGTGCTCCAGTCACAATGCGGTAAATCTCGCAGATACAAGAGTCTCGCGTGGGCTTGCGGCCACTGGCGCCGGTACCATCAATTGTGCACGACACAATTTCAAACAGCCCTGCTCCGTCGGTGACTTACAAAAGGGCGAACGGTGCATAATGTTCACTTTTTAGTCATATTATTATTAACAGCACAATACAGGTACCTTAATATGGATTACTTATTTTTCTCTAGCATGCAGTCTTCATCGGACATAGTGGCATTAAATATATCATATGATATCGCTTGCCAATGGAGCAAGCATATCTGGACACGTATGTCCACCTTCCTGCACCAGTACCACATCAAACACCATGAAAAGTCCATTGTGTTTCTCATACCGAAATTTCACCTGCCAGCCCACATCGCCAAATGCCAGACATCCTTCTCCTTCAATCTGATCAAGAGTGTTGGTCGCATGGACGGTGAAGCTCCAGAGCGCGGGTGGGCAGACATAAACCCCATTGCTACAAGTACATGTGAAATGGGTCCCGGTTCAAGGTGTGATACCTTAGACGACCACTTCAATGATTGGAATTGGAAGAAGATATGCGCAATGGGTGAGTTTTTGGCCTCTCACTGAATATCTGAACTTACAGTTGCTGTCTCGCAGGTTTAATTTTCCGCCAAAAGTACAACTTCGCATTAATTGAGGTCCAAGAACATGTCAATGATCTCACCAATTTCGAGGCTTCTCTTGCCACAGATGAGCTAGCCGAATGGAGGAAGGACATTGAGGCATGGGAGGAAGACCATTCACGACCGAACCCATTTGAAGACAGAGCTACGACAAGTACGTGTACTCTATTCAATGCATTTTGAGAAGCTGATGGTGTTTTCAACAGCAATGACTCAGGCTGCCATGCGTCTGGCCTTATCAACGGCAGAGGCCACAGAGATTGAGCGTGGTAACGATGTGTCCCTACATGATGATATCTTGCCATCAGTACTGATTTCATCGGGATTAGAACTTGAAGATCAACAGTTGCGTCGACATTTCTGAACTTCACTGGATCACAAACTGACTCTATTCTAGGCGCCGTCTTGAATTTGATGCCAAGGTGGTTGGACAACACACTACAGATGTTCAGAAGGGCAAGCTCTTACAGCGGGTGAATGCTCTTCGCCGACGCATTGACACATGGAGCCGGGTACAGTTGTTGTATATGCCTGGCGTCTCCCGCCTGCGGTTGCCGGATGACGTTGCAACTGAAGCCAAGGTTCACAACATTAACCTGTTCCTGCCATCCTCTCTACCCCATTGAGTACCGTGTGACGACCACTTGCTCGAACATGAGTGGGAGTTGCGTGAAGCTCAAGCGTATGACACACTGAATGACCTCCGCACTGTGCTCAACCTGCGATACCATCTTTACAAGTATAAGGATACATTTATCCGAGGACAGCAAGCAAATACCTGAGCAAACGGAATCATCAATAACGCTGAACGTCGCATCGACACCTTATCACTTAAGTATTCCACCTCTAGAAGCGCACTTCTGAATCTGGCATCAAGGCTGGGCAAGAACGACAACTGGGAGAGGAGCCTGAAGCCACTCGACAAGCAAAAGGATGCAGTACCACTCAAACACGACGATGGCCAAACGATGGGGCAGCAAAATATATCGTGGATATGGAAGACTTCAGGCTCCAACAGCAATGAGCTAGGGCTGCAGGACTGTAAGTACGCTCTAACCACTGGTGCTTCTCACTGACCTGGCCATTTTATAGCACTACGTGTTGAATGGTGCAAGGCACGAGCGTGAGCTCATCGCTGGGAGGAAGAAGTGCAGTTACTGCGTGAGGAAATGTGCCGCGTCATTGCATTTCTCGACTGGCACGCTGGCTGGTGGGACACGCAAGGTTCACAATGTACTTTTAGCTCACTGCAAGCCGGAGAGGGTGCACTTGCTTATGCCCAACGCCAGGCCAATCTACGCCGAAAAATGGCTGTCCACTTCAAATCCATGTGGGCAGCCAACTCTTCATGGCAAGCTCCCCTCGCAGTTGATCTTCATTCCTAGTTAAACCCCAATTCCCCTCCTTTTGACGAGGGCGAGTATATAATATACTATGTATTTACAAGTGATATATCATGCAAGCTTTGAAGGTGATATGATGTGCAAACTCCGTTCGCAAGTAATATATCACGCGAGCCTCGTGTAGAGCTTCCAAGGTGATGGCATCACAGAAACCAGTGATATGATGTGCAAACTCCATTCACAAGCAATATATCACGCGAGCCTCGTGTAGAGCTTCCAAGGTGATGCATCACAGAAACCGGTGATGTATCACGCAGACTAATGAAAGTGATATATCATGCAAGCCTCACAAGCTTTTAAGGTGATGTATCACACAAACTAATGATATATCATGCGGGCCTCACAAGCTTTGAAGGTGATACATCACGCAAACTAATGATATATCACGCAAGTGTTTGAAGGGATACATCACGCAAACTGGTGACATATCACGTTGAAGGTACAACAATTCAGATGGTGAGTCTGAACAATGTTGGGTCTTGCAGAACCTAGCTGCTATTTGACCCTAAAGGGTTTCTGGACCAGGCTCAAGGCTCAGAGGAGAGGAAATATCATAGAAAACTACTGAGCACTCAGACTCATACTGGTAACTGGTGAAAAGATTGCTTGCTTATGTAAGCTACGAAAGTGCCAACATAAGGTAAGGTAAAAACAGTCTCTACAAGCCCAGCCAGAAATGAATCCCTACAACGTGATGCAGGACATCGGACTTGATGTATCACTGTCTACGTGATACATCACAGCACAGCCTGCAGGAAAGGTGAGCGAGTTGATACATCATGGTCTATGGACCACAGGCTCTGATATAACATCAGCCTTCTACAATACTAGATATTAATATATCATACCTACAGGGTATTGTGGCTGGACAGGAGGTAACTGAGGCTTCTTTCTTAGTATTTTGCTTGTCATTGAAGAGAAAATCACCTACACAATGGCTCCAGCTGCTCGCACCGTCATCAACAATGAACACCAAATGAAAGTATCACATCTACCGGGCTGATTCAAGTGACGATGAAAGTCCAAATATTGCTCACTCATGTATGGTATTGTTGATGGCTGATCAGCGCAGACAGCTAATAATGCCAACCTCTCCAACGAAGCTACAGTCAAAATGTATTCAGGATGATGAGCAAACAGCATTCTTCATGGAGGACTGGGAGCCTACTTTGGACATTGGGGCTGGCTGGAGTGAAGATGAACGCGGGGAGCACAACGGCCAAGAAATCATCGTCAAACCCTTGGTCAAGCATTACACAACTTCAGCAAGTCATTCGGGCAAGATTATAAATGATGGACTTACCATATCCTGTATAGGATGCTACGTTACAAGAGTGGATGTGATATGATGGGCGTGCCGGTTATCGAGAGGAGTTTCTCCTTGAAGACCTGCGACTAGAGGGTCGTGGTGGTGCAGGGCTGCTTGGCTGCTCATGCAGAAGATTGGATGACAATAACCACCCAGTACCAAGCTTATTCTGATGCGAGGAATGCTTTGGGTGTGACGTACTTTGCCAGGAATGCTGCCTTGATCGCCACAAGTGCTTGCCATTGCATGTCATTAACATCAGTAATTCAGGTTATAGTGAGCTCAACTGATCTTACCTGACAGAAATGGAATGGTCAACATTTTGAACGTACATCATTGAAGGACATCGGCCTGCATGTGCAGTTAGGACACTCAAATATGACATGTGCATGTCCTGTACACGGACATAGAGAATTTCTTGTTTTGCACATTAACGGAATTCACCGCGTGAATGTTGACTTCTGTGGATGCGACCAACAAATTTCTCACCATCAACAGCTCATGCACTGCAATTGGTTTCCCTCGACAGTCCATCAATCTCAAACAGCGTGCACCTGTCGACTTCTTGAGCACTTCTTACTACTTACATGGTCTAGTAAAGTCTCCACTTTTGAGTACTACCAAACTTTAGAGTGTCTGACAGATAATACAGGTATCTCTGTTCCAAAGGTGAGCCGTCATTTACCTTTTGGCAGCCAAATACTTAACTGTTTCATTTAGAGTCGCTATTCAGCATTTATGCGGATGGTTCGGGAATATCGTCACATTTTACTCTTGAAGCGAGGTGGGTGAGGTCATATAGAAAACGGAATCGCCAATTTACAGCCAGGCAAACTCGTGTTACATTGTCCAGCATGCCCACAACCTGGAATCAACCTACCGAGAGGTTGGGAGACTGTAGACCCCTCCCTAAAGTGTGTATTTCTTTCTTTAGAGTATGTGATAATAATGTTTCACTTTGATAGGTTCCTCTACTACTTAATTATCGCCATGGACGCCAACTTTCATCTCAAGAACAGAACTCAATCGTCGGATTTGTTGGACCCCGGCATGCATACCGGTGTAGAGACTCATGCCTCTCATGGTGTGATATGGCACTTTTCACTAGGGAGTACATAGCACGAACTTGCAGCACCATTCTGTGTGCTATCTGCAGCTATTCCTATATGAGGCGCAGCTTTCCCGCGCACCATTCCCGCGCTTCACGATGTATATGCACGCGCACGCGCTTTCCCGTGCTTGAGCGCCCTATAGCGCCAGCCATCCAGATGCATCCATTCACTGTCCACCAAGTTCTCTAGTGCGTATATTTCCATTTCTCTCAACTGCATATTGTTCCACCTTTATTTTTATCATGGACCCTTACTTATATATATCTTTACATACCTACTCGGTAGCGCTTCGGCTCCGCATGACCGCACTTAGGCGTGCTATATAAGCGCCAGCAGTACAGACTTTTGACTTACTTTACCTCCCAATTACCTGTTACTACTTACTTACTACCTAGCAGAATATAGTAGAGCTCTATTTGTTTACACCTTGCATCATATTATCACTTAACTAAGTCTCTCTCATTTCCGCACAGCTGCGCGCACTTTCCCGCGCTTCGCGCTAATACGCGCGCGCATTCCCGTGCCTTCGTGCCTTGCACACACCTGCGCTTTCTCACGCTTCGCTTCAGTGCGTACCTCTAGATCTTCGCTGCACTCGCTTTCCCTTTAGGGTCGAATGCACTTGCCATCTCAAGTATAGCAGACTAGGCAACGTGCGACCTACAACATTTTTAGATACAGTTAGGAGCATCATTGTTCCTCACAGTATTGTAGTTTCTACACCGGTCTTGCATATTTTGTTGCAACTAAGCCCTACGGTGCCCATGTGTTAAAATTTGCCTCCCAGAAAGATGTACATCAACACTGAATTTCATTTGCTATTCCTCTAACTCTAACATACACAGGTCAGTACATGCAGCGGATTCAGTGCTCTAGCACATGCCGAGTCAAAATTCTCGAACAGACTACGGGCCACAGGTGTCGGGCTCTGCCCATGTGCACATCATGAATTTGTGCATCCCAAAGGGGTGGGTTATCTGCAAAAGGGCGAACGGTGAGGTTCTAATTGACTCGTGTGGGTTCTGTTTATTTATGTGCAACTAGCTTCTGCAACATGGATTTCATTTTTTTTTCAACTATCATCCCCCTTCTTCTTCTAAATGTTGTCATCTCCTACAATATTGCTTGCCAATGGAAAATCAACCTCCTTGACAGGATGAACAAACTTCCTGAAAATATGTGTATACCCGTCGCAGTCGCAATGTCAGTGTTCATGTTCGGAATCCCAAAGTTTCATGCCAGTGCTCATGACGACGGCTGCTCTATCCCACATTCGCTCAACCTCATGCCAGGAGTAGGGCAAACAGATGGAGAAGGCATTGAACGGAATTGGGCGGAGGTGAACCAGGTTGCAAATAGCACCAAGGAAATGGGACCTGGTGCACGACATGATACCCTGGATGATCATTTTGGTCATCATAATTGGCGTAAATTTGTTGGCCTTGGTAAGCCCTTAGTAGCGCCACCTCATTGGGTCAAATACTGATATAATCTTAATAGGTCTTTCATTGTGAAGGAAACTCATAACTGCGGTCAAGGAATGTGATCGTCAACAGGCTGCCTTTCAAGAGTTCAATCTTGCAGTTGGCGCATCATATCAGAACCAGTTGACTGCGATGGTCGAGAGCTGGGAGGTGGACAAGACACAGCCAAACCCATTCACAAACAAAGAATGTGGTGCGCCCCTTTGTTTTTTTCACATAATTGTTTAGGTATATCTGAAGCTGATGTATGTGCCCACTTCGCTGAACAGGAGAAGGCTGCTGCTATGGATGGAAGGTTTCACCATCATGACATAAGCCCGAGTGTATTTATTACATTGGGTTTATCATTAGAAGACTTGCAGTACGTATCCCTACATCCTCAAATGTCATATTCCTGATGATCTATGTAGAAGACGTCTACGCTTTGAAATAACTGATGGGGTGCTGTCCTCACATCAGCAAACAGAGTTGCACAAGCGCCAGACTTCACTTCTTAAGCAGATCCATCGATTTTGGTCCGTGCAGGCCATCTACATGGTCAATTTAGATAATTTTATTGAGGAGAACGATGACGGCTCTTGGATAGAAGCTGAAAATACCATTCTCTTGCTGCCATCCAGTGTTAGTGCTTCGATTCAAACGTCGACTTGCCGTGATGATATTGCCTGCATCGAAGAGAAACTTCGTGATGCTCAATGTCACGACTGTCTCTACAAACTCCAAAATGCCCTGCGTGCCAGAGTTCATCTCATCAAACACAGGAATAGGGAAACCTGTGGTCAAAGGGCCAACACTTGTGCAGCATCCATAATTAGTCGCTTGGATGGCAAGATCAAGATGATAGCTGACAAGTATCGCACCGCTCATGAGTGTTTGATCGTGTTGTGAGGCCGTGGTTCATGGGAGGACGATCTGCGGCCTCTCAATGCTCATGATGTTTGGGGCCCGAGTGAGGATGTTGGATCAATAGAGAATCCCTCTGATATCATTGGACCCAGTGGACGTAAACGGACCAAGAAGCAGTTGGCTGCTTCCAACAGATGTCGTGGACAAGGCTTCATGCTGTTGATCTAGACAACGTTAGTCCTCAGTCAGATGTAACGGACTGATATTGACAAATACCTAGACAACATTAGTCTAGGAATGACAAGTAAGTTATGTATGTATGGCGTGATAACGAAGAGCGGCTTACCCTCAGTCAGATGTAACGGACTGAGGGAAAGAGGGAATGAGGCATGAGGTACATATATAGTCTGTGTTGGTATTCCAACTATTAACTCTGCCAAATGTGATTCATGTCGTACAGTGCACACTGGCGTCAACACTCCTCCTCGATGCGAATCACGAGAGAACTCCTCCTCAATTGCATTATCGGAGGCCAAGGCATGATCTCAGGCGCTCGAAGTCCTTGTGAGGTAAGGGCTTGGTAAAGATGTCGGCAATATTGTCTTTCGATTTAATGTAGTGCAGTTTGAGGCGACCTTGCTTGACGTGTTGTCGAATCGAGTGGTGTTTGATATCGATTTGTTTCACGTGTGCGTGGAAGGATGAGTCCTCAGTAAGGATGATACTGCCATTGTTGTTGCAAAGTAAAGGAGTCGCCGAAAGCTGTGGGAAATTGAGTTCACCGAGTAGAGTATGCAACCATTTGAGTTTGGACACTGCCTCGGACACGGCGATGTACTCCGCTTCACAGGTGGAGAGAGAGACAGTCTTCTGCTGACGTGCGCTCCAGGTGATCATACCACTGCCTAGGGTGCAGCAGTAACCACTGACTGATCGGCGTGTGTCAACACAGCTGGCCAGATCACTGTCAGTGTAGCCGAGCAAGTGTGCTGTGTGCTCCCCTCCAAGAACAAGTGCAGTATTGCGAGAACCCTTCAAATAACGTACAACATGTTTCGCAGCTTCCCAATGGACGCAACCATAGCAGTCCAAGAATTTGCATAGTTGCTGGACTGCGTAAGCGATATCCGGACGAGTGCAGATAGCCAAATACATCAATGAGCCAACAAGGGAGCGATAGTGAGTTCGAGCCATAAGCTCACGTTCTGCATCGGTGGAAGGTGCGTGATATTTGCATGACAACTGGAGACCGGGTTCCATGGGCGTGGAGACAGGTATGGCATCTTTCAAACCAAATTGTTTGACGATGCGATCGACAAGGGCACCTTGAGAGAGACTGACTGTGCGAGCAGCGCGGTCACGTTCAATAGTGATGCCGAGGCAGAAATGTGCGGCGCCGAGGTCAGATACGGTCCACTTCGTACGGAGTTGTTCCTTAAAGCTTGAGATTATTGCCTTGGAACTGCCGATAGTGAAGAAATTGTCCACGTGAATTGCAACGAGTAGGATGCCAGTGTCGGTCCATCAGTAATAGATGCAGTGTTCACATTTAAGCCGAGTGAATCCCCACGAGAGCATAGCCTGATTCATTGTTCGATTCCAGACCAGTCTGCCCTGTTTCATACCGTAAAGGCCCCGCTGAAGCTCCCAGATGTAGTCTTCAAAGCCAGGCTCGATGAAACCTTCCGGTTGTTCCATATAGCACACTTCGTCCGGATCAAGGAGGCCATAGAGGAAGGCTGTTTTAATGTCGAGTTGATCGATCTCCCAATCGAGCACGGCTCCTAAGTGTGCGAGGACACGAAAAGATTCAAGTCGAGCGGTGGGAGCAGATGTCTTCGTATAGTCCTGACCCCAGATGGCGGAGTATCCACGACAGACATACCTAGCCTTAAAATGGGCAGGTGCACCATGCTGATCACATTTGAGTTTAAAGACAGGGCGCCCCTTCATAATTTTTCGTCCACAAGGCATGGATACCCAGGGCACGAGTTTGTACACTCCAAGGTCGCGAAGTGAGGAGAACTCCTCCTGCAGGGCTGAAGTCCATGTGGCAGAGTTGGCAGATGCCATAGCCTCGGAATAGGTCAACGGGTCGTCAGAGTGCTCGTTGTCGAGATGATCTGGCATGGCTGCAAATAGGTCAGCAAGGTGTGTCAGTTCACCCTCTGATACCATTGCTGCAAGAGTGTCCTTGTCGGGTAGGCAAGAAGGCATAGGCTTGAGCGCGTGTAGACGATCGGTTGCAGCCATGGAGGCAAGAACGGTGCATTGAGTTGCGGAGGCGTATGGCAAATCATTGGCGGCCTGCAGATGTTCGGATGGGACAGGAACACGGGAAGATCGACAAGGTGAGATGGGAGGGGGGTCATTGATGTCAGCTGTGTCAGTAATGGTTGCCCGATGGGAGGGAACTGTGCCGGGTGAGGGAGAGTGGGACACATCAACTGGGCTGTCAGAGGAGGATGGTCCAGGCGCGGCAGCTGAGTCACTGCTGGTGGGTGGGCCAATGTTAGTGTCAACAGGTGTACCCAGAGTGATTCCCGGATGCAAGGGAACATCACTAGCTTGGTGAGATTCGATGAAGAAAACATGGTAAGAGACAAACACTTTATGAGTTGTGCGGTGATAGCAGCGATAAGTCTTTGAGTCGAGGGAGTAGCCGATAAGGACACATTCGAGGGAACAATCAAAAATCTTAGGATTGTGTCAATTTTGGATGAGGACGAAGGCACGACAGCTGATTTCGCGGAGATGGGAAAGGTCTGGTTTACGGCCAAACCAGCATTCAAATGGGGTGTGTCCTGACTGCGAGACTACAGGTGTACGGTTAGTTAAGTAGCAAGCAGTGAGGACAAACTTGTCCCAGCGATTGGGAGGCAAATCACATGCAGAACACATAGCGTGGGCCTTGCACATAAGAGTACGATGAAGGTGTTCAACTCGGCCGTTCTGAGCGGACGTGTGAGGTGCTGTAAATTGATGTTGTGTGCCGCGGGTAAGGAGCCAGTTGGGCATAGATGCAGATTTGAGCTCACCATTATCAGATCGATAAATCCCAACCTTAAGTCCGGTCTCAAGTTTGCGAGCGCACTCCCAGGCAAGGAGAGAAGGGAAGGTGTCACTCTTAGCTGCGAGGGGAATAGCCCAGGAGTAGGAAGAAAAGTCATCAATAATGTCCATTATGTACCTATTTCCTGCAGCGGACACTGTATCTGGGTGATCCATCAAGTCAACATACACGATGCCAAGCTTCCTGCCAGCGCGATCCCCCACCTGAACTTTGGGAACATTAGACTTGGTCTGTTTACCAAGAACACATGCGTCACAAATGGGTGGTTGGGTAGAAAGATCGATGGGCATACCGGTTGCATTGCCTGAACGTGCAAGATCGTATACTGCACGGTAGTGCGCATGACCTAGGTGACGGTGCCAGGATTGCAAGGTGGGTTGGCATTAAGCAAGGTAGGCATGGTCCGCGGACAACTGACCACTGGACAGCGCATACAGATGGCGCGAAGTAAGATTCCCGGTAAGCATGCGCGTCCCATTGCGGGCCCTGGATCCAACAGGATGATGCGTCGAAAGACGCAATGCACCTGTGGGCAGTGCAAATGGCAGACATGGAGACGAGGCACACGGTTGCAGCGGGGATGAAAAGTACATGGTTGAGTGTGAGATGAATGCCTTTTGTGATGATAAGGTGGATGGAGCCAATACCAACAGCTTGAATGGAGGACCCACCAACTCCGCTGACCGATCTGGGAGGTACAGGTCGCAGGGAGTAGAAATCGGACTCGACATTGCTAATGTGCACGGAGGCACCGCTGTCGAGGAAGAAAGGAACAATGGATGGGTCGACGACAGTGCATAAGCGTTGGTTGGGGGCCTTGTAAGTGATGCCAGCGAAGTCAACAGTCTGCGAGTTGACGCGCCAATCCATGCTTGTTTGTAAGTCACCGACAGCAGCGAATAGTGCATTGTACTCCTCATCATCAGAGCCGGGGAGCTCGTTGATATACACTGATGGGGTGGGATCAAACGCCAGACCTGCAAATTCCTGTGAGGTAGAAGGCGCGGCGGATGGCATAGTTGAAGACGCAGCCATGTAGAATGCTTCGCCAGTTTCCCCATCAAGCAGGTAAGCACGTCCCCCTTGATCATAGCGCAGTGTACCAGGTTTACCAGTGGCAGCAGCTTTGGGAGTAGGCTTAGTAGTAAAAGAACCTCCCTTGGCAGTCACAGCGTCATGGGCAGCACATTTTTGCGCTAGCACTTCATCGTGTGTGCCCTCCATGGCCCCACCTTTGCCAAAACAATCTTTGGCGAGATAACCCCAGCTACTGCAAGTGGTACAGCAAGAAGAGTGATCGGCAATGTGGCATTCCGAACAGACTTTCCCTGGGCGCGCATTGCGACCCTTAGTGTTGGGAACAGCCATAGCCAAGTCTGCAGATCCCTTCATCTTCTCCGTGTCGAGGAGTTGCTGCTCGACATCAAGACAGAAACGGATGTTTGAAGGCCCGTAGATGGAGGTGGAGGTGCTGGTGGAAAGTGAGTCTGCAATGTGGTTCCGGACATGAGGCAAATCGTCGGTCATCACGTTCAACATCATAATGGTGAGAAAATCGTCTTCTTTTGGTATCCCGATAGCATATATGCGCCTGACTAGGTCGCTAATCTGAGTACTGGTGGTGGAGAGCCGTTCGGAATGACGATAACGAACTGCCAGGGCTTGTTGGATGAGGAGGATCTGAGCAATCAGTCCGACTTTCTTATGACGCGCTTTGAGCGCAGTCCATGTGAGGAATGCATTAGTGAAGGGACGGAGAAACTCTTGCTCTTCAGCGCTAGAACGAGTGCAGAGAGCAGCGATAACACAGAGGTTATTGAGGTCCCAGGTGCCTGTGCCTGAAAAATCGGTGACAGGATCTGGACGGAAATGATGCCTAGAAGGTACCCTCCGCCGTGCTTGTTACGCACTCAAATAGATCTGTTATGCGGAGCCCTAAGAGGGGCATCGTCCGCTAACGTTCGTGACGTAACCGGAAGGGTCCGGTGTAGCGACTGAGACTGGCGACGTCGAGTCGGCAGATATCAGAGACGCGCGTGTCACGTGACTTCTAAGACGGATGTCTTCAGAGTCACTGACGTTCTCAAAGTAAGGACAGTCTTGTCCGAACGATGAGGTAGTCGATCGAGGTAGACTTAGGCGCGATGAGCACCTAAGAAAAGATACTAGAGACTGAAGCTGAGGGGGCTTCAGAGGGAAGTATGTTTGAGGGAAGATTGAGTAGATTCAAGTTAGGGAATCTAGTACAGAGTGACCGACTACTTATACTAAGTGGAAAGGGTTAAGGGCAAGGCTACCGTACTGTAGGTAAGGGCGAAGGGGAATCGGAAAGGGTATAGGTACGCTGGTAGCAGAGCCTGATTAGTGATGTGAGGTCGAATGCGGAATGAGACCGAGAAACGTTGGAACGAGCCAACGGTAAATGATACAATGCGCAGCACGCATGAGTCAGAGGAAAGATAAGACAAGATAAGGAAAGCCACATTGGTGGCATGAGTCAGAACGAGTCATAGCCCGAAGGCACGTGCGCACGTTGGTGCGATAGGAGGGGGATGGGGGACGGGAACGGTCCCGAGGATCCGGTCAACGGATAGTTGGTAGAGAAGTATGAGCCGGAGGCATACGAGGGCGAGGACGAAGGGGAAAAATGATAGGGGGGCCATGTAGCCGATGTTACTTGTAACAGTGCTTGAGGAGTAGGTAGTTCTGTAATTTGTCAGACCAAACCCCCCAGTTGTTCTGACTACGATCGAGAATCTCAATCTTCTCAAGATCCGTCTGACTAAGGGTGATGGCGGTAATTGAAGAAGGCATAGCCATAGTATTGGGTGTTGTAGTTAAGGAACTCTTGGATCGAGTATGGGGCTGCGGCTTATTGGCTCTTGACATTACCAGTGGTGATGGTTTGAGAATAAGGGGCGAGAGAGACGTGAGGCGCCGGAATGGGGATTTATCCCTATATATATGGAGGGACGTGCGCGTGTACGCATCTGTGCGCATGTGAGCATCTTAGTTAGGAGTACTAGTCGCTCGAAAAGGGGAAGTGAAGAATGATAAATGAACTTCTCGAAGTGAATCGGTGAACGATGATGCATGCCAATGACGTGCACGTTCGTTATGTGCTTCTATTTAGAAGCAAGTGCGTCTAGAAGGTTCTGCTCGCTCATTTATGAGTGAGCAGGGCTCATAACCTGTTGATCTAGACAATGTCAGTCCTCAGTCAGATGTAACGGACTGAGGGAAAGAGGGAATGAGGCATGAGGTACATATATAGTCTGTGTTGGTATTCCAACTATTAACTCCGCCAAACGTGATTCGTGTCGTACAGTGCACACTGGCGTCAACACATGCAAGTCTCGTGGATATGGACTTCGGTTGGCATGTTAGGGGACGGCGATAATGCTGGTTTGAATGACGGTGAGTGTTTATATATATATATATTCAATCATTCCTCGTTATCTGATTCATTCAACCATGGCAGCACTCCGCGTGGAATGGGTGAAAGCCCGTGCACACACCCTATGCTGGAATGAAGAAGTTTTACTCCTGAGGGAAGAGATGCGGCGCACACGTACTTTTCTTGAGTGGAAAGCCAGGTGGTGGGAGAATCACGCAAAATTCACAGTGGACGACAGCCTATCATCGGAAGGGATGGCAGTGTATGCTTTTCGGCAAGCAGTGCTGCAGCGTAGGCTTTCTAATTCATTTCTACAGCTCTGGTCTGCTTCATTAACAACAAACCAGGTTCATGCTTCCCAGTCGAATGTTGACGAGGACGAGGACATTGTCATTCATGGCGAGACCTATGAGGATGATGCGGAGGATGATCTGGAGGATTAAAAATTTTCAAGACTGAATTTGGATATGTTGTGCTTAAATAGTATTTGTCGCCCGCTTCTAAATATTGATATGTCGCGCTTGATTTGTCGCCTGGCCCATTTTGACAATAAACACCAGTTTAGGGTTAAACCATAAAATATATTTGCAGTGTATAACAAGAAAAGGAGAATATAGAGCAATATAAAGCTGCAGTATGCCTTGACTAAGCCACCCAATATGGGTGGTGGTACAAGCCAGGGAAATGGGCATTGGTCTTGGGTGGTAGTAACCAAGAATTGTGGAAAGTCAAGATGTGGCTATTACCATATAACAAGGGCAAATACTACAACAAGGGGTAAAGCCACAGCAGCCACGCTTCTAGTCTGCTTCTTGGTCTTGGACTTTGCAGCTAAGGCATCCGCTTCCATCAGTGTCTTGTATGAGGAAGCTTCTGGAGCACTGTCTGTACATTCTTTCGAATGGTGCGATACATAGAATTTTCGGCATTTGAAGCATCCCTTGTGGTCCATCAGTAACGTCCGTTCGGTCTCCGTGAGACCCCCAAGGTGTGAGGAAGAGTTGTATGTTTTAGGGGAGGAAGGGTTCTTGGTGTGGTTCGAGGACGTGGTGCGTTTGGAGGATCTGTAAAGTTCTTCCGCAATCTTCTTATGCGAAGCCAAGTCCTTGAGCCGTTTGTCGTCGAGGTGTTTGACTTCCTCAATCCATTCTTTAAGGGTCAGATTATCAGCGAGCCTTGCTCTGAGTACCAGCATGGTGAGTTCATCACAGATATTCACCTCAAGCTGATTGTGTAGCTGAGCACCCGTTAAATGAGCGGTATTCCCGTAGAGCAGCGCATTTTGATTCTGTAGTTGTAGCGCCCATTCGTAGAATGGGTGAGAACCTTGTTGAGATCCCAAGACTTTCTTGCAAAGCTTGGTGTCCCAATGGGTCTCGAGCCAGGTGTTCTTGAGGGCGGTCATATATGCTGCGAAGGTACCTGCATCCAAGACAGCACATTGCGTCAAGTACCAAGTTTGCAAATGTGGGTCTAACATCCCGAACACTATCATTCTTACTTGGTCCTGCACTTTGATGCCTTTATGCATGAAGTACGTTGAGCATGCGTTATCCCAGTCTCGTGCTGCTTCGGGAGTAAGCTCGCCCACCAAGAGCTTTGGCAGCTTATTGGGGGTGGACTGTTCTACGATGGCCAATTTAGCCATTCTGCATGTCTGGGGTATATGTGTGGAATCGTCAGAATATATGATTCGAGGAACAGCGTGTCTAGCGAGCCCCTTCAGTGAATTCACTCCGTCTCAGACGGACAGCTGAGTGTGACAATGTACCATTGGGAATGGGCCATCCCATGTGGGCCCATGGACATAATTGTACCATGATATCCAAGTGGGCCAGGTGAATGTGTGTACCCAAGACACATGGATGGGCTGAGGGTACATTATATAGACAGTGGTATAGGAATGTATTAGTATATAGGACATTATAAATGCTAATTCCTGTTTACATTGGAGACGAGTGGGCTGGCCGGATGTGTGTACCCAAGGTAAACAGATGGGCCGACCATATGAGTGGGCTGAGTGAATCTGTGTACCCGAAGCATAAGGATGGGCCGAGACCATACAGTATAGATAGTGATATAGGAATTTACTAGTATACATGACATTATTAATACCAAATCCTGTTTACAATGGAGACGAGTGGGCTGGCTGGATGTGTACCCAAGGTAAACGGATGGGCCGGGGGTATATAGCAGACTTACAGGAATCTTATCGAATAGCGAATCTGGTGTAAAATTGAAACGACCGAGCTGGACGAATGATATACACCGGAGATCCGGTCATATTATCATCCGGCAGGTGCATTTTTAATCACTGGCCCATGATCCGGTAGCTACATTATCCGGTTGATGCATCATTTCACAAGCCCATCGGCCGGTATACTACATACATGAACCGGTCAATCTAATACACCATCTAGTACATTCTACCATGGCATTAGATTGTCCTTATCGACAAAACAAACTACATGTACTGGCATTACTTGGCCCTATTACCAGAAGGGTTCTTGTCATGCCTAGCACTCACTGACCGACCTTGTTGCCGTGATTGAGGTGCAAATGCCCGGTTCGGCAAAGGAGCCGAAATGGACTGACCATCTGCCAGCAGATGTGGTGGCCTGGTGAGCATGGTGCGAAGGGTACTAGTGGAGGGCATAGATGCCATTGGGACAGTAGGGGCTGGTACCGGAAGTGCACTAACCGGATGACTGTGTGGACCGGATTCCCCCATGGTGGGGACAGGGTTGATGGTAGAGGTGGAGGGTGTAGGTACCTGCTCATGCCTTGCGACTGGTGAGCCATCTCCGACAGGACGCGTGTTGGTCAAAAACACATCCGGAGTGAAGACATTGTTGGTGATGGAATGACCCAAGGCGCTGATTGAGCCAAAGTCAGGGAATGTGGGGGTATTGGGGATGACAATGGGTGGCGGATTGAATGCTGGTGGAGTTGAACCGGCTGCTGTGGTGGCCCTGTGGCTGTTGCTCAGGTACCGGGCAATACCGCTGACCTGAAAAGTCAACTGATCTACCACTCCCTTCTGGGAGGCTAATTCATTTGTAAAGCCGGCTTGCAGCCGGTCAATATGATGGGACAGCTCATCATGAATAATGTTGTCACATGTCCGGAGCTGATCCATGTCGATCTGAATTTGTGCCAGGAGGGCATCCATCTCGACATTGGTCAAAGAACGGGGTTGGGGAGTCTGACGAGGTACAGAAATGCATCCGGTGTCTCTATAAATGGTGCTGGGGGCAGGGTAGTTTCATCCACGGCTTCGATCCATCGATCCATCAAAAAATCATCGACAGATACCTCAGGGCCTGCATCAGTAGCAGTGCCAGGATGTTCGGTGCCGGTGAGTGCAGGGGCATCGGTCATATCAACATCGACATCCAGTTCCTCCGGAATAGGACTGGGATGCTGAGTTTGGACGACTAGAAGAATACAATTAGTAGATATACTACGGAAAATAAGATACTTGCCTTTACCTTTGCCTTTGTTTTTTGACTGCCCAACAGTCTTGGTTTTTCCGGTCGTCTTGGAGCGAGTGACTATGGCTGTGGCCGGTAGGACTGGATCATCCAGCTGGATGCATTTCATCCTCCACTTGCTGCAAAGAATGCAAGTATGGGCGACCTTGCCCCTTTTGGTCAACCAGCTTTTGCATTTGGCCTTCATAATTGTGCATCTCCTGCATGGTAGGATAGGTGTACCAATGGGTTTCTATGAAGAATTAGTATAGCACGACCGGTGGAGATTTACCAGATGTCTTACCAGCTGTGGACGCTTGCCCCTGGTCTTTGCCTTGTCCTTGGCTGTTCTGGTACGATCTGTACCGGACTTGGACTATTATCATGATTATATTAGCCATACTCACAATAGGTGCAATAATATGAAAACTTACTGGTAATCGTCCCTCACCCGGTTTGACCCGTGTCCCAGAAGGCTCAATTGCATCGTCTTCATCCGCCTCCTCCTCCTCCTCCTCCTCCTCCTCCTCCTCCTCTGGTTTGTATTCCTCCGAGTCAGCAGCCTTCTTCTTCTGGTCTGGAGGGGGCAGCATTGGCCGAGTGGTAATGACAATGGTTGGTAAATTCTGTACAAATCAATGACATTGCCGGTGTTGATATTGAAAAAATGAACGTACCTTTTTGATCATGGTTTGTTTTGGATTATGGAGCTGACCGCTATTGTCAGTTGCATTTAAAGTATGAAACGGAAACTCACAATGACTTCCGGATCATGATCGCCATCTTCCATCGTCATTTGCCGGTTATCGCGATCCGGTGAAGTTGCCCTTGCCTTCGCCTTCGCCTTTCCCTTTCCTTTTCCCTTCGCCTTGGGCTTATCTTTGCCAATGCAAACTGTATCGCCGTCAGTGTCCGTGTCTGTTAACAGTGGTTTCGACTTGGGGATAGCCTTCCGGGCCCTCTTGACCTGACATGGGGGACTCGCGCTGAATTGTCGTTTGCGTGGTCTCGATGGGCCTGCAATGGCACCAGATGTATTGCCAGGAATGCGGATTGTGTTGGGAGTCGGTAGTGCCGGAGCTGGTGGAGCAAATGCTGGTGGAGCAGGTGCCAGTGGAGCAGATGCCGGTGGAGGAGCAGGTGCCGGTACAGGAGCGGTGCCGGTACAGGAGCAGGTGCCGGTACAGGAGCAGGTGCCGGTACAGGAGCAGGTGCCGGTACAGGAGCAGGTGCTGGTGCAGGTTTGGCTACAGGTGCAAGTGCCGGTACCAGTGCCGGTGGAGGGCCAGATAGCAGTGTTGGTGCAGCGGTAGTGGTTGGTGGAGTGGGAGCAGGACCCAATGTCTTAGGGTATAACGGATGACCTCAGCAAATGTCCTCATTGTTGCCAACACGAGTCCAATCCGGTACTTGAACCAATCACGTGGTACCCCTCTGAGCTCTATGAATCTCAGCTACCATAGAGAACAGGCGAAGGGGGATGTAGGTAGCCGTTGTCCGGTAGGAGTGAATGGCATCATTCTAATGATATTAATGGATACAATACAAAAAAAATGACAAACGTACCATTTGAGATGCAATGGCTCTGCTCAACCTCATCCTCTCATCTTCTGACCGGGACCGGAGAACCTCTTCAACCATCTGATTCAACCTGGCGAGAAGGGCAATGAGTGCCTGGTTGGCAGTGGCGGCAGCAGCAGTACTAATGTTGGAAAACATATCAGCAGTAAGACAAAATGACGGTAGCAGGTTGGCTTGCAAAAGAGATCCAGAAGGGAACGAGGAAATTGAAAATTGCCAGATGTTCGGGTGATTTCGGATATTTCCGAAAGAACAATTAATGTACCGGTTCTCTTCTCCGAAGTTGCCATGTGTCCTTGTGCGAATGCCATTGTTGCCACGTCATCGCTATCAAATTGACGTGAGTAGAGCATCCACTGACAGGCTTTGGAACAACCCATGAAACATTCCGGATATCACACAAAATATACTGATTTAGACAAGTCATTCAGACTGAACAATAAAAATACTTACCATATACACGTATAACTACGTATATATCAAAATAAACGAAGTTGCAGAAAGAAACATTCAAAAATGGTTGAGTTTGAAGGGTATTTTGTGCTCATTGTGCCCGGCGATGAGCACGAAGGTTTGAAGGACGTGGGAAAAGGTGAGGAGGTGTCGGGAAGTAGCGACCATGCATTGCCGGCAGTTACTTCCACTCTCGGCTTTGTCCGATAACTAATATTCTACCCATACCTAAGTTACTGCCAAGTGCTGTGGAACTCGCTGAAGTACCGCAGCATAGACTTTCCCCCCTAGTTAGTAACAAACATCACATTACATGTTCGTTACTAATTAGTAACACTAATGGTGTCACACAGGTGGTTATTAGTTATTCAATCAATATTCACCACTTGTTCTAGTTTGTTTACTCGCTTGCACGGCAGCACTAACGGAGATAGCGTAGTACGCACGAGAACACATCCAACACATCGTCCGAGACTACACCAAACAGGGATCGTCAAATGATGCCATCAGCAATCTACAAACCAAAGGCACGGTATCCGATTAGTATCGAGCACTGAGAACGCATACGTCAGTGGAACGCATACGTCAGTGGAACGCATACGTCAGTGATATGCAGCGCCTACGTCATGATGCGGTCATGCGGCAAGCCATCCAACACATCGTCCGAGACTACACTAAACGAGTCAGGGATCGTCAAATGATGCTTGAGCTTAAACGTTGAACTCTAAATGTACCGCAGTAGACTGACCAGTTACCGGTTACTGATAGTATGGAAACTGACAAAGACACTCCTCCACTAGTATTAACCAAGGACTTATCGATTTACTGATACCGGACTGCAGGTGGGGCATTCCATAAACTTTTGTCCTCACATTTTGTATAAAAGGGACACTGCACGCCATTTATCCTCAGCCCCCCTGCAGGTCATAGGCTCTATCACTGTCCATCAGAAATAGGAGGCCATGGAAGCTCGCCCAAAGGTGTTTTACCTCCCAGATACCATGGCAAACTGGCCGTGGCCTCGCGCAATCAATCCTCATTATGAAGCTGTGAAAATTGAAACTGATGCTTGGTTTTGCAGTTTCAAATCTGTGGATTCTGAGTCATTGAAAGCATTCGACAAGTGTAACACAGGTTCGAGTCATCATGATGTTACTACCTCTGAAGATCGTTGACGCGTACTATTATTCCTGTAGCTCTCCTAGTAGCACTGGGTCATCCAACTGTGTCAAGAGGTCCGTATTCAACCCTTGGCATGTACTACCGACCCTTGACTTTATTCTTGCAATGTAGAACATCTGCGAGTTGGCTGTGACGTAATGGATATGCAGCTGATTATAGACGAGGTCACTGATAGACGCACTGGGTCAGGCGCCAAAGAAATAGTGGATATCGTCCTCGATGCCTTACACAATCCTCATAAGATCAGACCAGAAGGTGAACACATCATTGGAGAAATGATGCGACAGTAAGTACCTTCCGAGTCTACTTGTTTGATTATGCATCTGAATTTTGTGTAGATGTTCGGCTCGTGCGATGCAGACCATGAGCATGACTTGTCATCCCCGCTTCATTGATAAATTTACGATATACCTTCGTGCAGTAGCTGTCGAGGCTATCGACCGAGAACAAAAACATTGTCTCAGTATCGATGACAACTTTTTCAAGTACCGACGGGAATCATCTGGCATATTACCTTGGCTTGCACTATGTGCAATGGAGATCGATCTTCCTGATGAAGTATTCTACCATCCTGCTATCGTGGATATGTTTGAATGCACTGCAGATTTGGTTACAGTTGAAAATGTAAAGTCATGCAAAAGACTTGGTTTCCGGTATCCTAACGGCCTTTACAGGATATGCTGTCATACAATAGAGAACAAGCGAGCGGGACCCACTACAATTCACTGATAACTGTTGTCATGCTAGAACTTGGCCTCAACATAGGCAGTGCGATGGGTTGGGCGTCCGCCTATCACACTAAACTCAAGGAAAGATTTATCAACGGTCTTGCGAAAATCCCTTCATGGGGTCCTTCCACCGATATCCTAGTCAAGAAGTACCTTGATGGACTAGGAAACTGGGTGCGAGCAAGTTATTGTTGGAGTTTCGACATTGAAAGGTTCTAAGATTTTCCAACGGTATGGATCGTCACTTATGATGATTTATATTTTCCAGGTACTTGGGCCCAATGACTGCGGAGATACAGCAAAGTAGGCTTGTCCCATTATTGCCAAAGGTCTATTGCAAAGCCGGCATCTGCGGTGGCGAAGGACCACACTAGTAATTGCCGCCGCAGCCAGTAGCGGGGTCTCTCCTTTCGTTTATTATGTCCTTTGCCTACTATAAATAACTTCAGGAATGTATCATAACAGCACTTACACGCGAAGCCCCGAATTTTTCTGTCTTTGAGCTTGAAACGAACGTTGCCTTACACTGTGGGTAGTAGATACATGAAAATTCAGTGATTTGACTCACTGGGTTTCCTTAAAGAGTTTCTATTGAAATCTAGCGCATACTCACCGGAACTCCATGATTCTATCCAATCACTGAAAGGACCAACCTACTCCACGAGAATTTCAGTAGAGACTCTCTACTGGAATCGAGTGAGAACATCACTGGAATACGAGTGAGAAAATGACTGGAAAATGGTGAAAATACCATCGAAATCCAAGGCGACTCTGGTTGAAATTTCACGCACGAGCCTCCGGTCGAGGACGGATTTCTGATCAAGGAACTGAAGGAGTGCACTGTCACTCGACTTGGCTCTCGCGCGCTCATTTGCCCAAGCAATCGTATGAATGATTGCCATCACACAGAAAAGAAGGACCAGTGATAGGTGCCCGTACAGGTGTGTTCTGGCACGACCTCGGCCATTCTCAGAACGGCGGGTTTCCATTGGCTGAACCCCAGTAAGAATCGGTCGGACAAAACAAACTGGCCAGTAAAAAGGTATTCGTGCAATACACTATTCCTGATGGTTTCAAAATGTGAGTGATCTTCAATAGCCAAGTGATCGTGCATTTCTCGGCAGCCGCGAGCTCTCTGGCACAAGTCATGGTCTCAACTTCTTCTATGGGCCATTTGGCCTAGCTGACCACCAAGCTGCGTGCGTTGTTGATGAGTGGCACCTGTTCAAGGGAAAGGCGCTTTGAAACCTGCGGCTATCAAGGCTGCAAGCTGGACCGTCATTTACCACTGACAATGAATCGAACCTGGAATCGACGTGAAGCTCACAGTAGAGGAAATCATACATCTTGAGGAAGAGTACAAACACGCTTGGAGTAGTCTTGAACACGCCAAGCTTCAGGTCTAGTTTACATTCATGTGCGGAAGGACATCGTGTGCCTCATGGCTAGGGCAGTGTTATGCACCATCGTAAGCCGTTGCAGTGACAACTCTGGTCAATGCTTGCCCTCATGTACATTCCATGACAAGAAACATCGACATTCGACTCAGTGAAATTGCAAAGCAATAAGCACTACTGTATATTTCTCAATAACTGATCTCGAACGCCGTATAAAATGCATACCTAATTCAGGTACTCCCAGTGGCTTTCACCCTCGAACAACTCGAGATTCATGCACGACGGAAACCCTCATCCAGAGTGTCCTCTCCCGATTCGTACTCGTACTCGTATTCCTCAAGCTCTGCTCGCAGGAACCACTTCATCCTCTTCATCAGCAGGTCCGAATGCGCCCTTGGCATGATGTGAACGAGCTGTGCCTTACGCCTTTTGCATGGCTGCGAAAAGTACGGTTCTGGCAAAACTCCTAGCATTGCCAGGTCATCAAAGTATTCGATTATGAAAGCCGTCAACCCGTAGTAGCGTTGACTGATGGGACTGGTAGTGGGCCCAGCCATGCCATATACTTTTCGCAGAGAGTACGCCTTGTTATAGCTGGAAGAGAATCTTGACGGTGAAAATTTCGCAATGAATTCATCTGCCAGCGTGCCCTTCTTGAACAGTCTTGACAAGATCTTGGGTGCCTCCGGGCTGCTATGCGAGAGCGCATGCCACACTCCAGGGTTGCATGACGCATGTTGCAGAAAGCTCACCACGGCAACATCGCGTTGGAGCACTTTCAAAGTCTCTTCACCTCTAGACATCTTGGCACCCCGTTTGCGCATGTACGGTATCATCAATTCGAAGAGTTGAGAAGACAATTTGCTGGGAATGGAGGAGAGTAAAGGGGCGGGATTGACGCCCTCGGTGAAGGACATCCCATCTTCCATGTCTCCCTCGCACGCCCTGAAAGCCCTGCGGACTTTTCGGCCGATTTTGCGTGCGAATGAGGTGGGTTTTGCTTTTGCCATGATCTTCAGGACGAAATGTGCCCTATCATATGCCGAAGGGAACTGCCTGCGTCCCGAACATATCTGCATGAGAAGCACGTAGAGCACTAAATCGCCGAGTGAAAGGGGGTCGAAATCCTCGTCGGGGGAAGCTGCTGAAGGCGTTACTGATAAATGAAGGGCCGATGCTTCTTCTGACTTAAGGCTGGTGGTCAAATGTGCAATGAGCGGAATGACCAGATGGCTCGACGGGAAATTACTCCGAAATGCATACGCGGTGCGAAGCATCTTCGTCCCTGACCGGAAGGTCAAAGAGCCTGTCTTCTCCAGGTTGAGTAATACAACGGAATTGAGCTCCAATGTTTGGGATCGGGTTAGTTTTGTGATTTCAAACATAACATTATCGCTTTTTATCTCCCACGAGGACCTTTGATGTAAAAAGAACTGTATGCCACCTTCTCCAGCCGTGTAGTTTGGAAATGGTAGGGTTAGATTCACATCGAGCAAGGAGCTCTTGAGTGAACCTGACCTTCTGCGCCTTTTTGTTTCCGGCAGCAGCCGGACATTGCATAGGACAACAGCAATGCGAGGGCTGAGCACGAATATGCGGTGCAGGGCAGGGCAGCCAGCTGCAGAACCTTCCGATAAACCAAATGCATTGTGCGTGAGTATAAATTCTTCCTCTCGCGCGGCTTCCCAGATGCTGAGGAAATAGTCATCCACGTAAGTGCGATAAGCGATTGATGGGATATGCTCCGGAAGATCTTCTTCACCACTCTCTACAGCATATGCAGCATCTCGCATGAGGTCTGAATGCGAGAAATCTAGGTAGTATCTGAGGGTGTGCCGCCATATATCGTCAGCAGATCGAGTGCCATCTGCCTCCAGGATGCGTTCAACCCACTGACGGGCCTGTACGTTTTCTGGACGATCCACTTCAAAGGCTCGGCTGGTGTGTGATTTGGTGCGAAAATGCATGAGAAACAGGAACTTTTGCAGGAGCTCTAGAGAGCTGCACTTCAGAGCGAGATCACCCCAAGGAAGCGCTTCATGCAAATTCTTGATGATGAGGGCTGCCTGAGATTCGAGGTGCGCTAGCTTATGCTCTAGTTCGTTGATGTTTCCGGTATTATGGACATCCTGATAGATACCCAATACACCGTAAACCTTTCCGATGGGGCGAGCATCGAGGTTGCCCGTAGCAACATCATAGTAAAGGATGCATTCGGAATCAACATGAGTGCGTTCAAATTCTTCGTCTTGTTCTTTTCTGGACCTGCAAAGCAGTCATTCAAATTTCAGTCTATGCAAAGAGCTCGATTGGACCCTGAAAACGCACTTCGGAATTCCGAGTTGGAATCTTCGTAGTATGAACCGTGGAATGACATGTTGGTATTGGGATGTATGCGCACGTCGGGCACCTGCCATCTGAACTCCTGCGACCTTTGTGTTGGCTTGCCGTTTCGAGGTCGGGTAATTCCTACAACGCCGCGACTTCAAGATTGAAACATATGGGTGAGAGGGACTAAATGGTGAGCACTGAGCACGTATGTATAAGTACCTGTAGCGCACCTTGTGGCCAGGGCAACAGTACTTGTTCCTGGAGGCAAAAGATTTTCACTTGTCCGTCCATATACAGATATCCCTAAGCCGTCAAATTTAATTTCAGATCCAGAATTTACCTGTCAGCGTCCGAGTCAGTGTCACGGTTACACTTATCTCTCAACAAGACTCACCTACAACCAAGGACCTGCACTGCTAGTTTTCATGACAAGGCTAATACAACTCCTCAAATCCGTTCAGCGCACCATATGCATGGCACACTGAATATACTTGAGGGGTTGTGTTCAAGTTTTAGCTACCGTCATAGAAACACAAGCCTAACCACATGTTGGTTTGGACTCGGAGTCGCCCAATGATATCGATAAGATATCATAGATTGATCGATCAGTATCCAGTGCCTGTTGGTCGCAGGGGGTTTCATATCACAGGTCGGTTTGGACATGGAGATAGTAACGGTTGTTCGAACGGCAACATTCGGCTTGCTGCAAGGTGAGTCGGACTTTAAACCCAAATATAAACATTTTCAAATTCTTGGGCCAGAGCGGACAAAATTCGAAGTATCGTTCCCGGTCCTACTCAATCGCAGTGCTTCGAAGTTCGAGGTTGGTGGCTCGATGCTAAAACGTGAGTGTCATCTAAATGCGCTATGTATGAGTGGTAGATTTTGGGGAATTGACTCTAACACGTGTGGCTATAAGCTCTGTTTGATAACAAACCTCAGCGATATTGTGGAACAACACTGAGGGAGGTGCGATGACAAGACGTAGAATATGTATTGTCCGTTACGTGAATAGTGATATCAACTTCACAATACCAAGATATAGCACTAAGGCGATGAAGATGCCATAGATAGCAAAATACACGAGAGATGCTAACCCAGAGAACAACCAATAGAGCACTATACCAACAAGTGTAGGTGCGTCAACGTCCTGGTTGAGGACAGCCGCTGGCGACTGATCAATAAGTGTAGGTGCAACAGGTGTAGGTGTAACAAGTGTAGGTGTACGTGCAACAGGTGTAGGTGCAACAAGTGTAGGTGTACGTGCAACAGGTGTAGGTGCAACAAGTGTAGGTGCGTCAACGTCCTGGTCGAGGACAGCCGCTGGCGGCTGGCGAAGAGGCGACACTTCTGTCTTTATGGTATCCGTCAATTGTGCAATGAGCGGAATAAGCAGCTTGCCCGCAAGGAAATTGGCTGGAAAACTCCGGAACGCGCGCGCAGTGCGGAGCATACTCCCCCTTGACAGGAAGGTCAAAGAGCCCGTTTGCTTCACATTGACTAATAGAACGGAATTGAGTTCCGATGTCTGGCGTTGCGATAGTTTTGCGATCTTGAACACAAAACTGTCGTTCGCCCCTGTCTGGGAGGATCTGTAACGTGCAAGTGATATCGCAGAATTCGGATCTGCATGGCTGATGTGTGTACCGTCTTGTCCATTGGCGTAAATGGGAGTTGGTGGTGCTGGATTCACGTTGAGCAAGGAGCTCCTGAGCGAAACCCGCGTTATGTATGCTATCGCTTTCATCTCTGGACGTAATACAGCATTACACAGGATGAGAGCAATGCGAGGGCTGACTATGAATATGCGGTGCAAGTCGGGGTAGCCATCTGCCAAGCCTTCCCACAAGCCAAATGCGCTGTGTGTTAGGATAAATTCTTCTCCTTCCGCGGCTTCCCATATACTGAAGAAGTAGTTGCTCGCGTGAGTGTGGTAAGTGTAAGCTGGGAAGTGTTCGAGATCAGGTGGGATATGCGATTCAGTTATCATGTTTTGAAGTCTTTCTTCACCGTACTTCTCTACGACTTTTGCAGCATCTCGCATGATGTCTGAATGAGATGAGTCCAGGTAATATTCGAGGAAGTGTAGCCATACTCCGACAGCGGAATGAATGCCCTTTGCCTTCATGAAGGACTCAATCCACTGACGGCTGCTTGCATTATCCGGGTGATCCGCTTGAAAGTAAGTGCCGGAATAGGATGCATTGCGATAATGCATAATAAACAGGAATTTCCTCAGGAGCTCTAGCGACCTTCGCTTCAGAGTGAGGGCCATCAGTAAACCGGTGAGTTCTTGCTGGGGATTATGCTGATTATGGTGCTTTTACATGGTCATATATTGCTTTATATCACTTTATATTACAATGTGACGAAAACCTTTCCTATATATTACGATATATAACGATATATGACGATATCTTCTTCTCACAGGTTCTCTGATGGCCCGAAAGTACCCTGAGGGAGCGCTTTATGCAAGTCCGTGATAATGGAGGCCGCATGATGTTCGAGGTCCGCTAATTTCTCCTCTACTTTGTTGATATCATGGGTGTTGCGGACGTCCTGGTAGATATTCGGTACGCCGTACACCTTTCCAATAGAACGAATGTCAAGGCTACCTGTAGCAATATCATAGTAGTGGACGTATTCAGGATCAACACCAGTACGTCGAAATTCTTTTTGTCGTTCTGCTTTGGGCCTGCAAAAAAAATCATTCAGTGCTCTGGTCCAGTAGTATTACTCACGATAAGTTTTGAACACTTCAAAAAACTCGCTAAAGCTTCAAAAAACTCGCTAAAGTCTTTAACAAACTCGCTAAAGTCTTCAACAAACTCGGCCAGAAAGCCATCAAGACACACGGCACACGCGGCATCAGAGCGGACTTGGAAACACTTAGTCAAATTTTAAGGCATGTATACTACACAAAAATATATAGATGTAGCTAGGTATCTAATGAACGAGATATAACAAAAAAGAAATGTGTGATAGTGAGGGAAACACGAGATTCAGAACGGAAGTATGAGAGAGTGAGAGTGCGGGCGCATGAGCTGGGAGGTAGAGTTAGGGGATTCCGTTTGATCCGGCGTTCGAACGCTGAATGTGTGACAGCGAGGGAGACACAAGCAGTGTAAGAGGGCGGGAGCATGTGCTAGGAGATAACGAACATGTTGGGGGATTCTGTTTGATCCGGCATTCGAACGCTGGACGCGTGACAGCGAGGGACACAACAGCAGTGTGAAGGGCGGGAACATGGACACAGGTGTGTGGGGCTGGCCCGGCCGGGAGATACAACAACAGCCGTATGAGTGCGCAGGTGCAGGCATGTGGGCTGGGAGACACAACAGCAGTAGCATGAGATCAGAGGGCAGGAGCACAAATGAAGAAAAATTACTCACATTTACATCCTCAACCTCCCATCCAGCGCCATTGCATACCTCCCCATTATCCACCTGTAAGATCATGCTGGAAGGGGCAAGGGGATGGTGAGATTCGAGCTACGGAATGCACGGAGGATGCAGATGCTAGCGATGACATCTGGCGCTAATCGTGGTAAAAATTTAAACTCCGATTTAAACACCGCCTAATCAGTTGGATGATGGATCTCGAGTGTACTGATAAGAAAACACCCCGTTCCAAGTCACAACCATGCCTCCTCAGTCTACACGTGAAGACCTCCTTCGTGCCATTGATCAGGCTTCATTGGCATTAGCCAACTCACAGTATTTGAATATACTCCTGGATGACCAGGGCTCCAACTCTGACTCAGACTCTAATACCGACTCGGACTTAAACTCGCTTTATACCTCGGATGAGGAAGATCTGGCTTTTGCCTCCCCATCCCCTATATCCCCCATGTCCCCTATGTCCCCTATGTCCCACCTTTTGGGCCTCAGTTCAGATATTTCCAGCCACAGTGACCAATCTGACGACTCAGATGACGCTGCTGTGCGTTACGACCGGCTCCAGCACACAATTGCTGCTCTTCGTGATGAGGTAGAGAGGGCACGTGTATTCCACAAGCCTGATGAGCCTCCTCCTCGGGCACCTCAGCTGCATATGCTGGTTCACCATGAGGAACACCGGCCTCATTTGTTTCGCCAGAAACTGCGCGTCAATCCAGAAATATTTGACGATATCCTCGACCAGATCTCCGGTCATCCTATCTTCCGTAACCAGTCCAACAATCCTCAGCTCCCTGTCTCCATTCAGCTTGCTATTTTTCTAAATCGTGCAGGCCACTATGGCAATGCCATTTCACTCGAGGATGTCGCACAATGGGCGGGTGTGAGTGTTGGGTCGGTTGTCAACTGCACTAATCGTGTGATGGTTGCATTGCTTGAGGAGCACGATCAGTTTATCTTCTTCCCAGAAGATAACTCTGAGGATACTGAGCTGGCTCGGCGCTTTGCTGAGACACGAACCTGTCCAGAGTGGAGGGGTGGCTATCTAGCCATTGATGGCTCAACTATAGATCTTTTCACCAAACCTGCTTATTTTGGTGAGACATTTTATGATAGGAAATCTAAGTATTCCCTTGGCTGTCAAGTAATGTATTTTTATTTATTTTTCATGGGCAACAATTTAATTTAATTTTAGGCGGTTATCATGCCCCATAACCTCATGATTGTAGATTATTCTCTTGGTCAACCTGGGAGTGTCCATGATGCATATGCTTTTCGATCCACTCGCCTCTATGAAGAGCATGCCAATCTTCTCCCAGATGATCACTGGGTTTGGGCAGACAGTGCATACCCATTGGAGCCATGGTGTATCCCCCCTTTCAAGAAGCCTCGCAATGGACGACTGACAAAGGACCAGAGGACATTTAATTACCACCTTTCTAAGGTATTTTTATTTTCTGCTTTTTTATTATTATTAATGAATTTAAAGATCTGTGTGCGTGTTGAGCATACATTTGCAGTCTTGAAAGGGCGGTTCCAGTCTCTCAGAGAGCTCCGCATCAATATTCAGACAGAGAAGGACTTGCAGGTTGCTGTGCATTGGATTAAGTGTTGTCTTATCCTGCACAACATGATCATCTGCTTTGAAACTCGTCGTCGCAAGCAGGATAAAGACTATGATCAGTCTCTGGAGTGGGCTCGTACCGAGGGTGAAGCTTTTGTCCCTCAAGAGATTGAGGATCCAGAGGGTAATGAAACAGTGGGTGACAGGTCATATGAAGGAACCCCTGGCCAGGCTACTCGTGCAAGGCTCATGGATCAGCTCTTTGATAGCCCTAGATCAAAAGCACAGCGTAGGGAAGGATAAGCATCATGTTCACATTCACCAATGATACATGTACTACTAGTAGTACATCTTGTACAACACATGTAACATCAATCTTACAAGTACCAGCAGAAAAAAAAAGCACCATGTTCACATTCACCAATAGTACATGTACTACTAGTATTACAGCTTGTACAACATCAATCTAACAAGTAACAACAGACTACAAAAGAAATTCATAAGTCAGATAGCAACAGCAGCAAAAAAACGCGACAGCAGAAAGCAGCAATGATGATACAAAAATAAGCCGCTAGCGGACAGTATGATAGGAAGGGGAACAACAGCAGCAAACATGTCAGCTATCAGACGCAGAAGCGGTACTACCGCTCTGCGTCATCTGGTGAAATTGAATCTTCAGGCGCCACATCTCTGCCTCCTTGTCAAGCGCAAGGGCCTGGGCCTCGTGCACTCGGACATCTGTCTCGCGAAGGCAGATTTCCGCGTCCTTGGTCTCCTGCTCTCGTTGATGGCTGGCGGCAGCTTGCATGGCCTCATGTGCGCGCGCCTCGCGAAGATACTCGTACTTCTTCATCTCGCGATGGTAGTCCTTCTTCACATCAAGCTTCGCGAGGAAGCGCTCGTGCTTGAGGTTATGGCGTGATGTGACGTCCGATTGAATACTCCCAATCTCACCATTGACCCTCTCAACCTGCTCCTGAATGTCGGACTTTGCTTTCTTCTTCTTCGACCCTGTGGTCTTCGGTTGCGCTGATATTGAGGTCTGGAGGGTCGGAGACGCAGGAAAATCTGACGATGAAGTGTTGTGAGTCGTCGACGAAGGTGTCGACGAGCTACGAGTCATCCCTGGCGACGACGATGCAATAGACGAAGGTCTGCGTCGTGCGTCGTAGCCAGAGGGCCCCTGAGCGCCGAATGCTGCACGGCTGTCGTAGAAAGGAGTGGGTGACTTCTGCGTGATTGAAAAAGGGATGGGGTGGTTAGGAGGAGGAGACGGCGATGATGGGAGTTGTCGTTTTTTCCCGGCAACCTTTGGAGGGCTGTTAAGGTCATAAGTAGGGTGCGGGGCATCAGTGTCCATATCGTCGTCATCCAAGTGGTCTAGTGCATTGCCCAGAGGGGCACGGAAAGCAGCGGAATATAAGTCGTCATCGTCGTCGTCGTCGTCGTCAAGATCAGGAACATTGCCCATAGTGGTATCAAAGTCGGCATTTGGAGGTGCCGGAGGAGCAGGAGGAGCAGGAGGAATAGGAAGAGCAGGGAAATGAGGAAAAGCAGGAGTGGGAGCAGTGGGAGGAGCAGAAGGAAAGGGAGCAGGTGAAGGAATGGGAGCAGCGGGAGCAGGCGAAGGAATGGGAGCAGCGGGAGCAGGCGAAGGAATGGGAGCAGCGGGAGCAGGCGAAGGAACGAGAGCAGCGGGAGCAGCAGGTGCTAGCAGACGAGGATCAATTTGTGAATCAGTAAATGGGCGGCTATGAGGAGGCAGAACATGAGAGGGGGGCTGAGCCCTGGTAGCACCCCTGGTATGTGCGGAGGGGCCAGCCCTGCCACGCGGACGTACTAGCGCGTACATGTCACCAGCATGGTCAACGCCAGGCTTGGACGATGTAGTTTTTGCTGCAAAGGAGGGATTTGAGTGCCAGATGGCGTTGAGTTCCTTGTACCATGGAAATTCGCGACAGACTTCTTCTACAAATTTGAATCGGTCAAACCGCTAAACAAATAAATAAGAATGCTCACCTTGTAGATTTTTAGCGGAGGCGTCATCAAGAGGGACTACACCAGCACCGGTTGCGCTGAATTTAGCCTTAAGGGGCTTATATTTGTTTTTGAGACTAAGGATCTTATCAGCGCATAGTACAAAAAATATAAACATGACATACCTTGTGATACGGTTGTTGACAGAGTCACGAAATTTCTTCTGACTGTTTGCATATTCCAGCCCATATTTTGCGTGATGTTCGAAGATGACCTGAGCAATAACAGAGTAGATCTGAGACTTGTCCTTTCCCGAGGGACGAGCAGAAGAACTTGAATCCAGAGAGGGAGGTGGTTTCTTGCCATCAGAGTAGAATAAGATACGACAGTCGGGAGGGTGTTCGGTGAGCCAGGTGACCAAGACGTCAGTGAGAGTGTCATCACTCTGCCACTGAATCGTCAGCTTGGGTTTTGGATCGGGGGGAGGTGGTTGTATTTGAGATGTCGACGGCTCAGGATCCATCGCTCTAGAGCACACTGGAGGGTTGCCTCCAAGTCGTGCAGAACGACGGAGGCGTTGTTGGCGAACAGCAGGCATATTTCGAACTCAGCCATGGTGCCGAGCCTGACTTCCAAATTTGCCGCATGCGGCTGTGCTTGTTTTCAAGCTTTAGCGAGTTTTCTGAAGTGTTCAAAACCTATCGTGAGTAATACTAGTGTCTACATGCAGAGTGCTCGAGAGGACTCTCATAACACGCTTCACTGGTCCGACCTGGAATCTTCGCAATATGAACCGTGGAATGAAATGTTGGTATTGTGTCGTAATAGGTGCACGCGGACTCGGAGTCAGAGGGCCGCCTGTCTTCTGAGCTTCTCCTGTAAGCTCTATTCCGGCTTCTTGTTTTGGCGTATTCTTGCGACGTCGTGTCATGGTGCAGAGTTCAACGAATCTAAGAACTGAGCGTTGAGCGCTGAACGCATGTGGCGTTGTTATCGATTATCAAACACTTTACATAAGGCGTTACATGACTAGTGACACCGACTTCACAATACCAAGATATACAAGATACACCAATAAGGCGATGAAGATGCAATAGATAGCAAAATACATGAGAGATGGAGGCAACATCTCTGTCTCCATGGTATCCGTCAATTGCGCAATGAGCGGAACGAGCAGCTCGCTCGCAGGAAAGTTGGCTGGTGAACTCCGGAACGCACGCGCGGTGCGGAACATACTTCCCCTTGACAGGAAGGTCAAAGAGCCCGTTTCCTTCACGTTGACTAATAGAACGGAATTGAGCTCCAATGTCTGGCGTCGCGATAGTTTTGTGATCTTGAACAAAAAACTATCGTTAGCCCCTGTCTGGGAGGATCTGTAACGTGCAAGTGACGTCGCGGATTGGAAATTTACGTGCTCGATGTGTGGACCATGTCTTCCACTGGCGTAAATTGGAGTTGGTGGTGCTGGATTCACGTTGAGCAAGGAGCTCGCAAGCGAAACATGCTTTATGTATGCTTTCATCTCTGGACGCAATGCAATATGACGCAGGACGAGAGGCAATGCGAGGGCTAACTATGAATATGCGGTGCAAGTCGGGTTGGCCATCTGCCAAGCCTTCCCACAAGCCAAATCCGTTTTGTGTTAGGATGAATTCTTCTCCTTCTGCGGCTTCCCAGATACTGAAGAAGTAGTTGTTCGCGTGAGTGTGGTAAGTGTAAGCCGGAAAGTGTTCGAGATCAGGTGGGATATGCGATTCAGTTATCATGTATTGAAGACCTTCTTCACCGTACCTCTCTACCAGTTTTGCAGCATCTCGCATGATGTCTGAATGAGATGAATCCAGGTAGTATTTGAGGAAGTGTAGCCAAATCCCGACAGAAGAATGAATACCCTTCGCCTTCATGAAGGATTCGATCCACTGACGGCCTCCTGCGTTCTCTGGGTGATCCGCTTGAAAGTAAGTGCCAGAATATGATACATTGCGATAATGCATGATAAACAGGAACTTCCTCAGGAGCTCTAGCGACCTCCGCTTCAGAGTGAAAGTACCCTTAGGAAGCGCGTCATGCAAGTCCATGATAATGGAGGCCGCATGACGCTCGAGGTCCGCTAATTTCTCCTCTACTTTTTTTTTTTTTTTTTGTTGATATTCTGGGTGTCGCGGACATCCTGGTAGACATTCGGTACGCCGTACACTTTTCCAATAGGACGAATGTCAAGGCTACCCGTAGCCATATCATAGTAGTGGACGTATTCAGGATCAACACCGGTGCATCGAAATTCTTGTTGTCGTTCTGTTTTAGACCTGCAGAGAATATCATTCAGTGTTCTGGTCCAGTGTCTACCCGCAGAGTGCTCGAGAGGACGAAAACGCACTTCACAGGTCCGACTTGGAATCTTCGCAATATGAACCGTGGAATGAAATGTTGGTATTGTGTCGTAGGTGCACGTGGACTGAGAGGGCCATCTGTCTTCTGAGCTTCTCCTGCGAGCTCTGTTCTGGCTTTTTGTTTCGGTGTATTCTTGCGACGTCGTGTCATGGTGCAGAGTTCAACGAATCTAAGAACTCAGTGCAATGAGCGCTCAGCGCTGAATGCATGTGGCGTTGCCATCAAACACTTTACATAAAAGGCGCAGGGGCCAACAGCATATAGCACTATACCTTATCAAGTTATTATATATGATTGATAAAGTTCAAATTCAAACTTCGTTTCAAGCAGTGACCACGGGGTATCCATCTATCACATGCACAGACGAGAGCATTCAAGATCGTGAAATTCGTAATAGGTCATAGTCTCGGTATTGACCTGCTTCTGCTGCTAGCTTCAAACAAGTGATCAATGAATGACAAAATGAAACTCACAGTTGTTGAAAGGCAACCCAAATGACAACGCTAACGGTGACTAGCCTGCTACGTGCAGCATGATAAAGACCCCCTCAAATTCGGAGTACTCTTGGATGCGTCTACATTCACACGCGGAAGGAGACCGTGTGTGCCTCATGGCTAGGGCAGTATTACGCAGCCGTTGCGGTGACAACTCTGGTCAATTCTTGCCCCCGTGTCCCATGACAAGAAAGATCAACGCTCGACTCGGTGAAATTGCAAAGTAATGAAGTTATTATGCAATAGGCACTACTGTGTGTTTCCAATAACTGATCTCGAGCGCTGAATAAGATGCACACCTAATTCAGGTACTCCCGGTGGATTCATCTTCGACCAACTTGAGATTCATGCCCGATGGAAACGCATCCAGAACAAAGTCCACTACATTCCTCTCATGCTTCCATAGCCATGCGAGACAACCGACGATGGCCACCTCAACCACCTGTTCTTTTGCGGTCTCATAGAGTGTCCTCTCCCGACTTGTACTCTGAGAGCTCTGCTCGCAGGAACTTCTTCATTAGCAAGTCCTAATGTGCCTTTGGCCTCTTACGCTGCTGCGAAGGGTATGGTTCCCGCGAGAGTCCTAGTATTTCCAGGTTATCGAGGTTTTGGGTTATGAAAGTCATTGATCCGTAGTAGCGTCGATTGATGAGCCTGGTAGTCGGCCCAGCCATGCCGCATATTCTTCGCAGAGCGTACGCCCTATGACAGGAAGAGAATCCCAACGGTGAAAATTTCACAATAAGTTTATTTGCCAACGTACCTGTCCTGAACAATCCTTGGAGGCCTCTTAACTGCTATATGAGAGCACATGCCACACTCCAGGGCTGAATGATGCACGTTGCAGCGACGTCACGTTGGAGCACTTTCAAAGTCCCTCCACCTCCAGACATTACTGCACCCCGTTTGCTCATGTATGATATCATCAGCTGGAAGAGTTGAGAAGACGATTTAGAGAAAAGTAAAGGGACAGGATCGACGCCCTCAGCGAAGGACATCCCATCCTCCATATCTCTGTTGCATGCCTTCAAAGCCATGCAGACTTTTCGGTTGATTTCGCGTGCGAATGAGGTGGGTTTTGCTTTCGCCATGATCTTCAGGACTAAATGTGCCCTATCGTATGCATGCGTCGTGCGAAGCATCTTCGTCTCTGACAGGAAGGTCACAGAACCTGTCTCCTCCAGGTTGAATGGTACAACGGAATTGAGTTCCAATGATCGAGTTAGTTTTGTGATTTTTGAACACAAAGCCATCGATTTTCATCCTCCGTAAGGACCTTTGATGTGCAAAGAGCTGTATGCCGTCTGGGATACGCCATTAGCCATGTATGCGCGGATGCACCAGCGGCGAGCGCACACTGCTGAACGAAAGTGTGTCGAGTCGACAGAAACCAGATTACGGCGTGTTTGACAAGTTTTCGAGGCTCCAGATTCACGTCCGAATCGTGCACAAATCGACATCGAAATTCGACAATGAACTCGTCGTTAACGGCTACGAAACAAGTTGAACGAGTTGTTTGCGAAGGCTAGCGCCCTAGTACTTGTTAAGAACCAGTTACTAGCGCGTTAAAAGAGACCCGGTTATAACCGGTTAAGAGGTTCGTTATATGGGATTTTGGGAGGGAGGTGGCTATGTTTGGCAACGTACATATAAGAGCGTTGATGGCATATGTACGAGATGCCATTCAACCAACAACCTACTCATCAGCCATCGTATCGCCGTTCACTTCAGAATCAGTACTCACTTGAATATTCTTCTTAACTCATTCTCACTACTACAATGTCAATAATCAACACCGCGTCCACGACACGCGCAGATCTCCCATCCCTAGACCTTATGTTCCCTCAAGAGCTCATTTCACTTGAGGTTTCAGCACAGCTTCCCTCTGATCTCCAGGTAAGCTGATCTTCGGCTCCCTCACATTGCTTTTCGCATTAACCAAAACATAGATACGCCCGCTTGCGTCAACAGACTACAAACGCGGGCATCTCGATGTCCTTTCTGGGTTATCCGTCGTCAACGACCTCGGCGAGGTAGCGTGGGTCAATCAGTTCCACGCCATGCGCGCAACACCGGGCGCATACTTCTCCATCGTCATCCTCGACAAGGCGAGCGACAAGATCATCGGAGTCGGTACCGTCTTCATCGAGCGCAAGTTCCTCCGTGGTCTTGGCAGCGTCGGCCACGTCGAGGATATCGCCGTCGACAAAAACTACCAGGGCAAGAAGCTTGGCCTCCGTATCATTCAGGCTCTCACGCATATCAGTGAGAGCAGCGGCTGTTATAAAACCATCTTGAACTGTAATGATACTAACATTCGTAAGTTGCTTCGCTCCATGGACTTTCGCTTATACTGAGCAACATCCCACAGCCTTTTACGAAAAGTGTGGCTATGTCAAGAAGGAGAACGAGATGGTATTTTTCAAACACTTCTCATAGCCTTTTCTAACGGAATGCATAGGCAAAGTACGCCCCAGAGCGTGTCAATAACGCACCAAAACTTTGATTTGCCATCTCATCTATTGGACTACACTAGTATATACCATCGTCATCAATTGCCCGTATTCTAGATCTTCCTGCGGACATCCTGTACGGATACCTTGCACATACCTGTATCATTGGTTTTATTGCCAACATATTTGATTAACAGCTCTACCTCGAGAGCTAATTGAGCATCGAAATGCATGAGATCTACGTCACATCCTCAGAATTAGCAGGAGCGGATATACCATGTGGAAGCATGTAGCATAGATTTTGCGCGCGAGAAGTCATGACGAAAAGGATGTGCGATACATAGGCATATGCCAACAACAAAAGAACTGCTCATCGGCCACCCTTGCCACCCTTCATTTGCTGCTTTGATACCCTGGGTCCACTCGCAACAGGCGCACGTGCAGGCTACACCGGCGTAAGTCGTACGTACCCCTTGAACATTCGAGTACATACCTTGGCCTTTTTCGACTCCTTCTCTTTCTTCTCAGTCTTGGCCTTTGCAATGGCCGAAATTCTCTGCTGGTTGCGGACAGCAGCGGTCTGGTTGCGCCTGGCAGCGATAGTAGCAAGGTCAGCACCAACGATACCACGTTGGTGCTTCACAGTCCGGCGGGAACGTTTCTTAGCGACTTCCTCGGTGATACCCTTCTTGTGCATGCGGCGGTAGACCTGTGTCCATGCGATCTTACGTGGGTTCTTGCGCTGGAGGAACAGGGAAGAGTTCTTGGAACTAGCGAATCGGAAAACCTATATTGCAAGGGGTGTTCAGGCAGGAAGCTTGGAAGTGGAGGAGACGAGCTGACTTTGGAGTCTCCACGGACAAAGAGTTTGCCCTTGGAGGGGTACACACGGAAACCGGAGAACGCGTCGATTTCGACCTTCTACTCAATCACATCGAACGATTTAGATTTCAGCAATGGGTGTATATGCAGCAGAGACGCACCATCTATAGAACCAGCGCGCACGACGGGAGTAAGTCAGTCTGCATCCTTTCCAAAGCTCATGTGAATATGCGACAAGCCAGAAACGTCATCCGTTATCAATCTGATTCATCCACCACTCCTACAGCCTATCTTTGGCTGGAATTCGCTCCAACTTCGCGCATGAACAGAACGGATGCATTCCTGGTGTTTGGTGAAGAGAAATGGCATGGATTCCTGCTTACCTTGACGGAATTGCCGGGGCTTGCTGATTTGGTGGTGCCTTCGAGGACGGGGTAGATTCGATGGGTAGCGGGGATTCAACTTCGGCTTGTGCCGTGACCAAATTAGGTAATTCCGAAGATATCAATTACTACGGAAAACCACGCAGTCGAACCAAAGCTGGAGAGCCTCGGCTCTGTTGTGACGACGACCGAGCCTGCGATGCGAATTATCACTATCCAGGACTTACGATTAATATATGTAATATGGTGTCGAGTCTAAATTCGGAACACAGTACATAGTTCAAACGTCCATATAGATGGGCGTGAGTGCCTTGAATTTCGTTCTCTCGTACAGTACTGCTTGCCTTTGAAATAACACTTCTACATCCTACAGCTGCGAACATGAGGACCAAGTTGGAGGATTGGCATATTAAATTAAGTCCAAATATTGTGATCCAGTACTCAGAGCTTGAATTGATTGTCCTGTAAATATCATTGACGCAAGCGCGACAAGCCAGTACTCGTAGTGTGTTGGAAAGGGCGCACAGAGGGGTATAAAGCTAAAACAAGAAAGTGTCACAAAGCGGTTACACGTCACTTGTGCGTGCGAATACCGCTGCCTCCCCACTTGCCTCAGCAACGCCTCTACGCAGTCACTCCAGTCACTCTTCAAGTAGCTCCGCCCTCCAAATCTCACTTCCAACGTGTGTCCCATTTACCAAGACCACACTAATCCGCTGCTGATTCCACTACTGAACATCATCATTTCAGAGCCCTTTTAGCGTCCTTTTATAGTCATGTTCGTTTGTTCTCCGAAATGGCGCAGGCGCCGTAGTTCATCTGTATTTATCCCTATCATAGGTCCGAACCTTACGACCCTTACCTCCCCCGCAATGGCTCCTCATCCAATCCCGCTGGCGGGTCAAGTCAAGGTGGAAACCCTAAAACCGCAGCTATTCAGCAACAAATTGACGACACCGTCGGCATTATGAGGGAGAACATCACAAAGGTCGCAGAACGTGGAGAAAGATTGGACTCATTACAGGATAAGACAGGTGCTTGATTTCGCGCTCGTGTGTTTGAGCAAAGTTTCAAATCAAGCTATTACCCTAGACAACCTTGCTGTTTCGGCACAGGGCTTCCGTCGTGGTGCTAACCGAGTACGGAAGGTGAGTTTGATTTGACTTCTTTACGTTGATTTAATACTAAAGCATATTCAACAGAACATGTGGTGAGTGTGATATATTCTTTTTAGTGGGACCAAGATTCATCGAACTCTCAATTTCTCAGGTGGAAAGACATGAAGGTCCGTTGGACTCGCCGCTCAGCATCACGTTTAAAACTGACCTCATCTTTAGATGCGCATGATCATTGGCGTCGCAGTAGCAATCATCATAATCATCATCGTAGTCAGCATTGTGAAGGCAACACATCACTAGGCAGTACGTGGGTTCCACACCTACACTACTCATCCTTACTACCACTGGTCTATTGGTTGTTGTATCTATGCACCGTATCGTTAATTCTTCTGCTTGTTCTCTGTTTTACATTTTGTTGGCTGCCATTCACCTACATTCTTCAGTAGGGCCCTAGTGGGCGAATTGTGGACCCCGATACATAGCTTTCGCTTTGTTAAATTGTCATTCGTGTTGTGCTTTTGGATGATCCACGTAATGCTTGATCTGGGCTAGTGCACAGGCTCCATTCTGTTCTCCAGAGTCGAATTCCAAAATCAAGTTTCAAGACCCCTCGTGGGATATGTACACCACCCCCCGTAGGAGTTGAAGATACGATCAGGCACATGAAATAAACGCAACACTTATCTTTACCACATGCATAGTACCGCTAGCCATGGAGTTCTGTTATGAAGGCCTGAAGCTTAGCTTGGAGGCCTGACTCCGATACATGTATGGCTGTCACTGAGATAAGTGTGTTGTTGGAGTATCGTTATTTATTTATTTACTATTTTCTAGAACTGTAAGACGTGCCATAATCAGACTGAGCAGTGCAACATGTGTGGCATTGGCGGTTAGTGTATCTTCTACCAATCCCACGAAATGCTTCTCCCGCAGCCTTACTATTCTGTAAGTATTTCGACGTTTACATCTGTAACGTTAACATATTTTTACAGCTCAATCATCGTCGACTTAGGACCGAATCCGTAGCAGAACAGGCGGTCGAACCTCCGCCTTTTCTTCTGCTGTGCGATTATTTTTAACCTTTGGATTTGGATTGATAGCTCAAGACAGTGGTTGATCTCTAGAGCGTTTATGATGATCATGGAACTATGGAACTTCATTTTGGAATATCCAGATCAGATACATATGGTAGGCAAATCGACTGTTCGTCGCGCTCTTCACGCGTAGTACCGACCCGGCGGCCTGCCGAAGTGCTATATTTGCACAACAAGGAACGCCAAATTAACTGGATGGATGTCTACTGGATTTTTACAGGATTTATTTTGGCGATGCTAGGAACCTGGAAGCTTATAAGTGTACTCGACGTTGTAATTTCCCGTTCCCATACTTTCTACATTTCCTGTATAAGCCAGAAAGACACTGATGATATCGACACACAAGGGTACGTTCCATTTGTCTGCCTGCATCTTGCGCTTGACGTTATTATCATCAAGGTATCGTTGAACAGAAAGTACACATGACTCCGACGGATGAAGGCATAGGCCGAGTCACAATGTCAGCAGCACGTAACCATTAAATCGGCCTTCAGTGGCTGAGCATTCCTCGGAGGCAAAGGCCTCATAACGATGGCGGGTTTTGCTATGTTCTTTTCGGGCTCCCGAGGTTCCGATGGAAGGTTGCGATTGAATACTTTGGCCTCCTTATCACTGTTGTGGGCGCTAATTATATTATAAGCGTTGTTGATATACGCTTTATTCTCTCGCGCTCCCGTTTTCCTTTTCTGTCAGACACGGCTCGCCACATCGACCGGTTGGCCTCATTGATGGCTGTTTGCAACCAAGACAGATCAAAACATGATGTTCATGGTTAGAAGGTTATGGTCGAGCTTGCCAACCGCGTGGGAGTCGAGGCCAAGGCCAGAGCTAAACTTTGAAAAGTAGCTTCAAGCGTTACTCGGGGTTAGTCCAACATGACACCGCCGAAATGAATCTCATTTTTACAGTCAGTCTCTGGCCTTTTGTCGTCCGCGGTATTTTGTCATTCGCCGTTCCGCCCCAAAGGACTACTGGCGGGGTAGCTTTGATGATCAATTTTCATCTCTTTCTGTTCTTGTCCTAGCTGGCCTTGCATGCCACCGGTTCTTGGCCTGCGGACAACCTTTGGTTATTGGCCTACATGCCACATTTACTTGTCGGCCTTCATTGTCGTTTCTGCCAGTCTATTCCCCTACATAAGTACTATGTCCGCGACACTTCCTAAGTTTCGAAACCACATCCTCAAGTCCCTCTTACCCAGCGGATCGCAGAATGAATGATTATAACTTCTGGTGCGCTCGTACTCCTACGTTTCTTTTTGGTATTGATCCCCTGCATAGGCATGAGGATTCGGATCTATACAGGGCATTGCCTCCAGAATGGCTAAGATTGGTCGATAATGTGTGTTTCGTCTGTGCTTGTAAACAGTAGTGACCTAATATTTCGCTGTAGGACCTGTCATCATCTCAGCCTCAACAGGATTGCCTGCCTTCGGCTCCAGAGTATCCCCCGCCCGTGGTTACTCAGCACCACCAGCATCACATGAATGGCGGAGATTCAACGAGTAACGACCAGCGTATTCATATGTACGAATTTCTTCAAGTCCCCGTTTAAGTAAAAATTAACACCTTCATTGATAGTGCTACTCAACAGCCTTCGTACAACGCCTCTTTCAATCATCTCCGCTCTCCTTCCTCCAATGATCCGTTGGTGAACAATCCGGAGTCTTCTGGCAACATTTGCGAATCAAGCCCCAGTGGGGGTCAGCCTGACCCGGTCCATGACAACCCACCAACATCGCTCACATCTAGCAGCTTGTATGTCTGCAAGTGGAATGATGGTCACGGTCCATGCAACAAGGCCCTAAATAAACAAGAGATGAAGAAACACATACCATCCCATCTCCCACGTGGGAACTCTCATGTTATATGTCGGTGGGAGGGATGCACGTACCAACAGCCCATGCGCCGAGATACAATCATACGCCATATCCGTCAGATTGACCTCAAAATCGATCCCCGACGCGATCCCCCACACCAGTAGTAGGTTACTCCGAGTCGTATTTATGAGTAAACTCCGTCTACATCCATAGCCGTATTAATTACGATTACATCGACTGCCGTTCAATATTTGTTTTCCCTTGAGACCTTTGCTATGTTTCCCTTTTGTATTCATGTTACTTCATGCCTTCGTCCTTAACAACGTATCTTAATTGCGAAAGCTTGGTGCGGCACAGTTATCGTCCTGAAGTTCAATGGATCTCGGCGCCAGGGCTACTCTTGTTGAGAGCCGATGTGTCCGAGGGAAGTAAGGCCGAGAGAGAGAGAGCCGAGAAAGGAAAGGACGATACGGCCGAAGAATAGAGCACATCGAGTGCGAGCGTCTCCAAACGGAGAACGTCGACGACGTGTCAACGTCGGCAATCTTTTCGTTCTTTAAGTATATATTTTTCATCAAAGCTATTGCTGGCAGACTCACCGTATAAGAGGACGCTGTTTTCGTCGAAACGTCTCAGATTCGAAACGAATACTGAGACGTAAGTACAAGTCCCACTGTAACGTTCGAGCGCAAGCGCTGACGTACATCTAGTCGTACCTTTGTTCTAGGTACAAACAATTGTTAATAGAGATTCGAAACGGATACTGAGACTCGTACCTTTGTTCTAGCGTGTCGTAAAAACCTCCCGCGTGTATCGTTCCTCCACAACTCTGATGCAGGGTCGAATGATCTTCCCGCTCTCTCGGCCTATTTCTTGGCCTATAAGTAAACGCATAACGTGTTTGGTTCGTATGTAATGTGCTTGAAAAGTAGAATATAAGCCACATCATCCGGGAAAGGCGCATGCTTCTGACCTTTCCATTGCAGCATTAAATTCTCCTTGTCGTATATTATCGCACATATATATCGTTTGTTGCTTTGTTTCGATATCTTACTAGTGTCTGCTCTTAACTGTATTTCTCCCATACGCTGTCTCACTTCCAAACGTTCACACTGTGCCATCACTCCCCATCACCAATCTGTATCACAATGTACAAACAATCACTCGCCTACACGGAATCCCTGTCAAGAGGAACGCAAGTATGAATGTCAAAAGGCCTTCACTGGGCACACACAGGACCACCCACATGATACCTGCATAAGCCCAACGATTCCTGTACCTGCTCGCCATGGGCGACCGAGTACGCGTATATAGATGATAATTGTTAGCATCCCATCTTCACACACTGATACAAAGGTCTTATCTATAAACGGGTGGCGCGTCTAAAACGGCCGGCGGGAACGGCGGACTGGTGGAGGCACGCCTCACACCAGGGCATTCGCGCATCCGGTACTACATAAGGCCCAGTGAAAATCGACAAGAATGACGTAGATACGTGTAGATATAGATCGAAAAAAATATGAGGGAATGAAATTTTTCGTTATGTTTCGACCTCTTTAGAAAAGTGGGACTTTTCGAGACGAAAAACGATAGAGACCGAAACGAGCTTCGATACGATTTTAGTTGGTTTTAGATGGGTTTTAGATGCAAACATGTGCTGAAAATGTTCCAATTAGATGAGATGAATAGGTATCTAATGCCATTGAATGATGTATCTATAGGTATCGCTATGGTTAGGTAGTGGTATCGCTGCGCCCGCGCCCGCCTCCGCCATCCCGACATCCCGCCATCCCGCGCCCGCCATCCCGCCTCGTATCCATCCGCTACTCCTCGTCTGCATCATCGCCGGCGCCGTTCCTTTCAGTGGGTCCAGCCGAGCCGAGCTATAAGGCAAATCATTGTTAGTATGAAGATACTCGCGGATATCATGAAAACCACGCACCTGTAGAGCCGCTTTGTGCTTGTATACCTTCAATAATAGTGCTAGTCAGTAGATAAATGACATCAATACAAAAACGACATACCTCTTTGTCAGTCTTCGATAGACTGTTCCAGTAGGTTGCAAAGACGCTTGCCGGTTCTTTCTGATGGCCGTTCGATTGCCATTCGAGGGCACAAAGATTCCTATAATAATAATAGTGTTAGCCTTACTTGCTGTGACCGCAATAGATAAATCTTACTGCGCCGTGATCTTCGAGCTCACACGCATGGGCTTTGTGCTCGGCTGACGCTTCTTTGCAGGTTGGGCCTTCGAGTTGATTGCACCGGGAATGGGCTCCGTGGGGGTCGCTACCAGGAGTTCCATCTTGACAGCGAGGGAAGCTGCGTTGGTATCCGATGGGTCATTGGATGGAGGGGTGATGATAGTCGGCTCGGCGCTAGTCGTTCCAGAAGTGGCAGAGTCGATGGAGGCAGGAGCTTTCTTTGGGATTGGCTTGGGGCGAGGTTTGAAGACAAGATTAGAACTAAATTAATAGTATCAGTAGAATGTAATGAGCAATAGAGCGATCACTTACAGAGGATTGTTGACCTCCACAGTAATCACTTCCTTCTCTTTTCCTTTGTCGGTACGGGGAGGTGGGGTTGGTTCACGTTCTGGTGATGCGTGTCGTGGGATTTCGTTCTCAGTGCGGGGTGAGGCAGGTGGCATAATCTACAACAATTAATAAGTAAAACGGAAGGAAAATTTGACTTACCGGTGCAATATACAAATCATTATCAGGGCCAGTTAAAAGAGGTGAAGGTGAGAGGTCCTCCACTTCGACTCGTTGTCTTTTCAACGCTGGTTCTGCAACAGGGTCGATATCAACGTTAACTCGTTTATGAGAAGTTGAAGATGAGGAAGGAGGGGTAGCCGCAGGTGTTGAAGAAGATGAGGAAGGGGGGGTAACAGCAGGTGTCGCAGATGGTGAGGAAGAAGGAGGGGTAACAGCAGGTGTCGCAGATGGTGAGGAAGAAGGAGGGGTAATGTTGTTGTCATCGTCGGCAGTCTCTATGTCTTCGGACTTGACATGACCGCTAGTTTGTTTCTTGACAACGTGGTAGTTGTACCATTGGGAATAGTTGTCGATCATTAATTTCATAGCTTTCCAATTGTCAGCGCATAGACGGAGTTCAATGTAATGTTTGCGTAGCATGTGAATAAGCCAATGTAGGACTTTGAGCGATGCTTGGCCGATGGATTCGGGCGCGAGACCTTGAGATTCGAGTTGTCGAAAACATGACAGCATGAAAAGACGGATGGTTTTTGCCCGTTGTGCAGACACCGGCTGGCCAGCTTGGTCTTGCAGGTAGGTACATGCTACATTGATGCCTCGTGCCATGCGTGTGGCTCCTCGCTTTTTCCCAGAGGATCCAGGATTGGCTGATGTACTTGACGGCATGTTCTCCTGCCAGTCTTTCTTCGTCCATGATCTGACCAGTGGGTAATCAATTGCGTTGAGGTCATGATCAGAATCTTCACGAGCGACGTCCAGAAGAGTAGGTTTTCGATCCACAGTACTGTCACTTGCAACCGACAAAGAAGAACTTGATGCAGTTGAGCTGGCAGAACCTCGACTGTTAACAAGTATGGTCCTGAGAGAAGATATACCATGACATCATTGATCGCATCAGCAAACACGGTGTGCATATATGCGCATGATATGACTGGAACTTACTGCAATGTTTCGCATTTTGTGTTCAGACACAAGTTTTCATTGATGAGTTGTGTTTTCTCCGACTGGAGAAAGGCGACTGTGTGCTGGAGTTCCGATATCTCTCGCCTCAATTGTGAGATCATGTTGACGTCAGGATCATTGGGAGATAAACGACCCTGATCAAGAAGAGCCCAGAGCCCTTCGGGCAACATGGTAGACTAATGACACGTGTATCTCATTAATGTAACAAGTTCTCTATCATAGAACTCACGGTATTATTGGTATCGCAATCACGCCGGGTATTTTGAAAATTATGTGAGCCGCCGGAATTAAGTTGTGAATTAAAAGAATGTTGTGGAGAAATTTGAGACATGAGGAGATTGGCGTATCCTGTCGGTGAAGTCGTTGTGTCGGGCATAATGATGGTATGATGAGAAGGGGCGCTGCAGTACAAGTCAAGAAAGGAAACTTCGGACTAAGTCCAATTCATTCTATAGTATCATCAATTCATCCTACATCCACTCAACGAGTTTTAGATATGTCTTTTGATCAGGATAATGATGGCTACGATGCTGATACTAGGTATGTTCTCCATCACTTCTAACACTGTTATCACTAATGTATCTTAGCATATCTTTTTCAGACAGTCGTTCCAGCACACCAAAGATGACACCCTCGGATGATATGTTTGTCAACCCAGCATACTGGCATGCGCATCCAGAGAAAGAACACTTGATCAGACAGCAACTGTTGTGAGTCACTATTATATGATTATATCTCGGTTCAACAACTTATATTGAAGGCATCACCCAAATACTATGCCTCCCTGGCCTGACGAGCCCGAAAGCGACCCACCCGAGCCAACACTGCAGCAAGTCTTCACCCCTCCTCGTGTGGATGATCCTGAAAGTGTCACTGAGCCCGAAAGCGACCCACCCGAGCCAACACTGCAGAAAGTCATCACCCCTCCTCGTGTGGATGATCCTGAAAGCATCACCGAGCCCGAAAGCGACCCACCTGAGCCAACACCACAGCAAGTCATCACCCCTCCTCATGTGGACGATCCTGAAAGCATCACCGAGCCCGAAAGCGACCCACCTGAGCCAACACCACAGCAAGTCATCACCCCTCCTTGTGTGAACGATCCTGACAGCGTCACCGAGCCTGAAAGCGACCCACCTGAGCCAATGGCACACTCGTCCACTATCACCCGACCAGTTCTCTCCATGCCCAAAAGTAATATGAAGTCTATATTTGCAACGCCAAGCCCACCACCGCCTGGATCAATTTACTGGAAGTACGTGTCGAAGGAGGAGGATGAAGCATGGTACGATCGATCGCGTACAGACAAGAATTTTCTTGTGGTTCGTGCAATGAAACGAGAACTTGAAGAAGCTCTTTAGTGATGCAGTAGTCAGATAAATAAACATGCTTGCATCTCGTATAAAAAAGTAATTGAACTCATTCTTCGTCAAGAATACCCTCCTCTTCCACACCACTCATTCTTATAATGTCCAACCCTGGTCGTTCCACGAGGTAGAAAAGAACGCCATCAATACCCGGAAAATTATGAGGAATCATAGCCACCACAGACTGTATAGTATGAACCTCGACAAGTTTCAATGAAGCGTCTCCACGATAACGACAGGCAAAGACCGTTTGCGACGAGTTTTCAAATAGATCTGTGTGCGGCTGGCTGAATTCAGATACGAAAGCAAAGGTCTTCTCTTCGTCGTGAAGCATCATATTGAAATAAAATAAGACTTCGGCAACAGTGGTCTTGCCGTCAATCAATAACTTTAGTGTACGTGTCAATGTATAATACTAATAGAGTGACCATGAAAAACATACCTTCACATTGCGTGCCATTCTTGGTTGCTTGGACATAGCATTTTCCTTCCATGCAGACCGTGCAACTTGCCCATTTGGAAGGCGAAGACGAGCCCATCGAGTGATGAGAGGGGCGGAGGTAACATGAACATTGTTGTCGGACAGGTAGCGAAGTAGTACTTGGGCCTCACAGGGACGTACTGCGTGAGCTGTCCTCTCTCTTCGCCGCAGCAGTAAATATCCCTGGCCGATATCCAACGAGCCCTTCGGGGAAGCATTATCCAATGGTTCGATTGTTGGTATGATAGCCTTGATGGCATTGACTTGACAACGACGGGCAGCACGTTGAGAGAGATTAGCGTAGACAGAGGAGTTGTGTAGTCGTATCTCTTGAGCTAGGTTGCCAATAGTTCGCTCCATAGTCCATTGTGATGAGCAGATAGGTGGTCCCTTGTTGACTGTCTCACCAGCGATATGTGTGATCGAGTGGAGCCATGGTTGAACGAAATGAAGTCGATCGATCCGGCGCTGGTAGTAGAGCTCTTCAAATTCATCTGCGAAGTTAAGAAGGTGATGGTGGCCTTCAATGAGATCTGATCTAGATATATGGTATTGTTGCATTATACGTAGTCCCCGGGCAAGACGACAGAAATGCGACCAATAGGGCTCAGGAAGGATGCCGTAGAGTGTGGCCGGTGCCATCCCATACAGGTAGAGAAGCCATTCCCAGGCCTTATACCCACTATTGATCTTCTCTGCTGGGTTACGAGGAGGTCGATCAAACGAACCCGGCAGAAAGGGTGTTGCATCTGTGATCAGAGATCCATGTGCCTTCCAAGTCGCCTTCGTCAGAACAGCCCAGGCCCACGTGGATTTATCATCCGTAGTCTCGGCTCTAAAGGTTCCTCTCCAGAGGGGTAGAAGGAGATCACCGGTATTGATGGCAGCGATGTGCATGATGTCAGAGCCAAAGCACAGCGGCACCAGCAAAATACGGTCAGTGTCGAAGCCGCAGAAGATGCTTGGTTTCGTAATGCCTGTCTCGAGGCGTGCAAGCTCGTATTCGGCCATGTTGGAACAGCGGATCACACGCTTGAGGTTCCGTTCATAATCGAATGATCCGGGAAGGGGAAGCCGATCAATGAAGAAGTCGGGGTGATCAGGTTGATCAGTACCTTCAGGTTGACGTAGGGCAGGATAGTACGTAGGTGCACCTGGTTTGTGTCTCCCTGGGAGTCCGCAATAGAGACGACATGCGAATCTGCCATGGTGACCCACGAGGCCAGTAAGAAATGCCATGCCGGGGCCGTCAGCTGTTGCAACAAAGAGAAAGGGATTAGATTGAAATAGAGCCTTCTTCGCGCCATCCCAAATTGGAAGCCCTTCTGTCTGAATTGCGCGAAGATGGTGTAGGCCGGGGAAAATGAAAGAATCTAGATTTTTGGGTTTTTTGGGGCCAGGAATGATACCGCCCGGGAGTATGTACTTCTTCTTGTACCGGACGTCTGGCGCATGATCGAAAATTACCCAAATATATATCCAACAGTCGGATTGTTTGGATTCATAGAGCTGGGCACCATCGATCGAGAACATAAGAACCGCATCACCATCTTTAATTTTGCCAGATTGGCACGCGTCCAGATATTGCTTCCCATGAAGAACATCTTCATATACCTCCGGAACGCCGTCGGTTGTCTTCAATTCATCGATGATCTTGTTGGTGTACTCCTGGCGCCATCGCATCTTCTTTGCCTGGTCTGGATGGCGCCATAGGGCCTGGAGCTGCGGTCCAACAGGAAATGTGTCAAACGTTTTCCGAGCTACCTTCTTGTGAGGTGAGCTTTTTTTGGCGTCCCATCGATCTTCTCCACATCGAGGACAATGATCGAGCTCGGCGTACGGACCTGTGAATGCGAGACATGTGTTGGTACACATGTCATTAACGATCGGGACGACACCACTAAGTTCACAGACAGCTTGCTTAACCCGGTAATGACTATATACATCATCTTCAGGGTGTCGTTCGATCGTGGCCTCGCGGATAAGATTGTAAGCAGCGATTGTTGTATTTGCAAAGTAATATTTTAATGAAAGGATAAGATCAGGATCTGACATATCGGGGAGTTCGCGGGGAGGGTTTCGAAGTCTGTCTAGTACGTCTGGAGGTAGTTTAGAGTGTGTGTCGTCTAGGGATGCTTTTCGGAGAGCAGTAATGAATGACATTGAATCCTGGGCATCTTCAAGGCATGCCATCTGCTGTAGCTCGTCCAAGTCCTCGTCCGTCCAGCCCATGGTTCCCAAGTCAGTGTCCGCACCCTCGAGATCGACGTCATCCGGGGGCATGTCTTGATCGAAGTTCTCGGGTATATTGTCCTCAACACGAGCTTCCTCTTCCTCCTCCCTGTCCTCGGGTCCCGTATCACCAAAATTGGTGTTCTCAACACGAGCTTGTGCTTCCTCAACACGAGCTTCCTCTTCCTCCTCCCTGTCCTCGGGTCCCGTATCACCAAAATTGGTGTCCTCAACACGAGCTTGCACTTCCTCAACACGAGCTTCCTCTTCCTCCTCCCTGTCCTCGGGTCCCGTATCACCAAAATTGGTGTCCTCAAGGTGATCGAAAGCTCCATCGAGTGCGTCAGGGCCTGGAATATTGTCAGCAGCCTCAGGTATATCAAAATCTTATTATTCATATCAGCAAATTGATATTGATCACAGGGTTATGAACACACCGTCTTCTGCGCCATCAATCCGATCATCCTTGTGCTTCAATATGGGTGGCTGTTCGGGGTGATCAGAAGCATCCAGAGGACGCTTGCTAGACGATGGCGCCGGTATAGGAGCTGGAGTTTGTGCAGGAAGTGGTGGGGGAAAAAGTCTAGCGAGTCTGTTGGGTTTGTGCCGGAAGTAAGTAGTTCGGGGTACACGCTTGGGCTTGCCTTTGTTCTTCCGAAGACAGGCATCACAATCGCATATGTAAGTATCAGTACCGTTTGCAAGTCGATGTATGCCAGCCTCGAGGCTCTCGGAGGTTATAGAATTCATGTAGCTGTGTGATCGCGATCAAGGAAGCGTATATGCGCAATCGCAATGTTAATCTAGGCGTAGCTTTGCAATTTGCAAAGTGTCATTTGCAACATTTGCAGCAAATACACTGCAAATTTCTCGCAAGTTTGGACTTTGCATTTAATTTTACAATTTGCATTTTTCCATCTCGAATTATTTAGATTTCTATCTATATCATTTGGTACTTAGACGTGTATCGCTACCTATCTGCCTCATTCTTGTCGATTTTCACTGGGCATAAGGGACACAGGGGTCCCAATAGATTAGACTAGACAGAATTGTCCTACATAGAGCTCCGCTCTGCAAAGGACAGAAATGGAATTTTTTAAAAAACTGTATTTTTCCATAAAATAGATGAGTAGTTATTGTTATTTGCAATTGGCTGTGCAAAATTGCGCGAGGTTACGTGGAGTGATGTCGACTGTAACGTGGACAGAAAATTCGATGAACTATCCTGCATGATGATCACTGTAGGCTAAGGTATTGGCAACCCGACCCGCACGCAAAAGCCGTTGCTGCTTGATACGAAGGACCAAGTATTGCCAGTTGTAATCGACGTTGCTGGGTAAGGGTGACCCTTAATGGGGATTGATTCGGAAACGTCTCCAGAAGACCCCCCACTGTTAACGAATGGAGGGTTGGAGAAAGGAGGGGGGAAATGGTTGAAAAAGGCGTTATGTCCAGTAGCACTATTGAATCAATCAATTTCCGTTAAATAGGGACATCGAGGAAATTGTACTTCTGAGCATAGTGCTGATCGTTTCTCGCCGAGTCTCCGCCATGCATAAGGTGACGCTGAGTAACCATGATTGGGAAATCCCCTGGAGGCCAAGTCAAGTAGCAATCCTGTTGAGGCTGTGAGGACGACGAGCTTCATAATAAAAATATTAGCGTACTATTGTTTACGGGCAGACGAAGAAGAGGGATGGCTACTATTCTTTATGAACCTTCCGGGCCAGAATGGAATGTACACAAATATAGCCAAGCAGACGGGAATCGTATCACCCAGATAGAAGGCTATCTCACTTGTGCTGAGATTGCCGCGGAAGCCCTGACTAGCTTCCACAACACAGTAGACAGAACAAATCTATCTAAGTATTAGTCAAAGGCTCTGAGATTACTGTCTACATGCAACATGAACCAGAAGTCCGACACAACTGACCGCCAAGGCAGCGGCGAGTGTTCGCCAGTCGCTATACCAGGGTTGTTTTGAGTCTTGCACCCAGACATCCTGTTCCTCAGTGCAAACCTTGTAGAGGAATCGTGTGCAAACGGCACAAAAGAAACCGAAGGAGAACAGTTGTATGGAGAGGCCGGCCAACAAATCTGACAGGTACAGTCAGACCAGATTCCCACAGGCAAACGCCAGGTGCAAGGACATACGTGAAGTTCTGTCGATGCCAAACTTTGAACCTTGGATGTAGTCAATGAGGCACCTATCGCCTTTGGTACCACATCATCAGAGAGGATCATTCAAGAAAAATTCAGCGCCCATCTGGATTACAAGGGTAGTCACGTCGGACGAGATGAACATGGTGGTGAGCCACCTCACTGAAAGTGAGACGTGACGATCGCAGTCGATTTCACCAGCAAGGTGACCAGAAAGAGCATAATTCGCGGCAATGAAGGAACAGGGCTTTTAAGGGTCAACACATGTTCATAGTCATAATTTGGTGCTGACTCGCAGACAATATGATCATCAAGTCTCCGAAAATGAAAGTCCACAATGAGTCAGGGCTGGAATGTAAATTGAAGCGAAATGCAAAGCCGAGAGTATAAACTACAACCGAAATTAGGAAGAACCAAAACAAGTAAAAGATAGCAACGTACTAGATTCCCCGATAACCATCCAAAAGATGAACTGTCCGCCGATAGACTACTTGACAAGTCTGAATGAGGACGAACAACAGCACATAAACTTTGCACCATAAGCTACGTGTTTTCATGGCTTAGTAGTCACTCACCCAAGGCGACAGCAGTGAGCGTATTGTTAGCGATGTACCCAAGCGCGATATCCATGCGCGCGAGGCGTGCCATCACATCCGGGCGGTTGTATCAGCACATTTATCATTTGCGTGTTCCGCAGTGTGCGCATCTTTTTGGCTCGTGCTCGCATTTGGATGCAGTCGTAGTGGATCAGGTCAGTCCCCTGGACAACGATTATGAGATGTGCAGAGAACGTGTCAGCCGCCAGTGAGCCGTTCGCTGTGTCGTTGGGTTCAACGGTGACCTAGTGTTATTGGCAGAATGGCGCCATAAGCCATAAAAATTTGATATCTAAGTCGGAGGGCGAGGAAGCAGCTAGTCACGTGAATAGTCGACCAAGGACAAAACGATCGAACCATGCGGTGAGACTCGGACACGTTTATTTAATTGGTAAGTACTAAGTACCAAACATTAAATTTTTAAACCCCACGCTGTGAAGATCGATATTGCGGGGGTGTGTGAAAGTATTACGCAATTACAAAGTGCCATGTACGTAGATCTGATGGCGAATGATGAGTATTTTTTTTGTGCACTTTGCGTAAACTTTGGCCATCCTCGCACTGATTTCACAACCGCATGTATTCCGCAATGTTTGCATTTGCCACCTATTGGTTGCGTGTGCAGTGCGCCAAGTAACAAAGCGTTTCAAGTCTAAACTCCGTCTTCATGTCATCAACACCGGTCTCTTGTTCCCTTACCATTATGTTTCCCCGTACAATGACGCCGCGGCCAGCTAGAAACCCACTCGAGCCCTGGTCAGGTTTCCTCAATTGCAGCACCGTGACTCGGAGCTTCTGCCTGTGGCTGATTCGTCGGAACAAATTGAATATCTTCTCGAAGTAAGTTTTGTAAACAATATTCAGGCTGATACATACTCGAATTGTTGAATACTACAGGGCAAGGTGCATATATGCGCAATTAATGCTAGCTTTCTAGTAGTCCTATGGGTCAGGCAACAATTTTTGTGATGTCTGCAGCATCAGCTACTACACAGTACTAATTCTCTCACAGGCGTCTACTGGAACCTGACACACAGCAAATAGTAATGTTGTTAGGCCGAATTTTTCATCATGATATCAAGCTTACTAATTCCCCGGTATTCTTGGGAGTCGAGAGCAACGCAATTCGTGACAGCAGCAGCACTGAATCAAACATTCGCTAAGGGTTCCTCGAACGCGTGGATCAAGAACACAGTAGGGGCAGTCGTGGACGGTACCTTGCATTGAGAGCACTGCGGGTTTGCGAGCTGTTCGGAAGGCTGCTTTACTCTTCTCGTTCCATCGCTTTCGTGCTCTGTTTCGACTACTTTCTGAGTTGTGTTTCACCTACTTTTGTTTTATACTATTCCACACGTTGTATGCATATTTTCTACTAGCAGTTGCCAACAAGATAATATGACATGATCTGTTTTTGCAGCATATCGAGTCCTTTTCTATCATGTATTCCCTCGGAGATCTTGCGAGGGGAGGATTTCGAAATTTATCTAGCGCGTCTGGAAGTGCCAAACTTAGAGTGTGTCATCTAGAGATGCTTTCGGAGAGCAGTAATGAATGCCATCGCGTCCTGGGCATCTTCGAGGCATGGCGGCCATGGTGCATAATTTTTACAAGTCCTCGTACGACTAGCCCAGCCCGGTCGGTTTAGATCTGCTTCTGTGAGATGACCTTCTTCACTTTACACGCGGCGGAAGATCCGCTTCCTCATATTGAACGTCATCTTCTTCAACATGACCCTCTGGAGCCGCATCATTGGCAACTGCTTGATGGTAGAGGAGGTCAACGCGAGGCTGATGTAGTGAGCCTCATCTGGAAGGTTCTTGAGTCTGGCGTCATGCCCGAGGCCGCATCACGAGTGCCCAACCATTTGAAATTAGCTAAGTCTCGGTCATGATCGAGAGAAGCGGAACGTTCCTCGGGCTGATCGTGATGACCGCCGCATGTCAAAACACCCAATCCAGGACTCTAAATGCTGCGGAAAGTCATCCATTACAAATGTTTAAATTTCAGCTTCATCTCACCCAAAATGCCCTAGTGGTTGAGCTGGGACCGAGAGTGTGTAAGAACGAGCGAGCGGGTCGTATGGTGCGGTGGAGAAACAAATTGTGCGGAGAGGCGATCATGATGCAAGCTGCCGCTCAGCTGAACGTGTGGTACCGGTTCCTTTCGAGCACTCAGGAATCGGTACCAACACCATAGAATTCTGGATATAGTAGTAACTTTGTGAACGCACGCAGCACCCTAGTTCGGACTCACATTCATTCCATCCGTACTAGGAGGCAGAAACAATAAGAACAGCAGGACGGCAATTGGCCAAAAATCGGCACAATTGTTTTGATCGCAAAAATTATCTAAGCTATAACCTATTGCATACTATAAATATTATTATACTAGTACCTCGAACGACGACAGTGCATCGATATTCCAGACTAATCATGCCTTGTGACCCACGGGTAACCACTTCAATAAATCCTGCAGGCGTACACTTCTGCAGCTCGTTCTGCCTGCAGAACAAATACGATTTCTGCCGACTTCTGCCTAATAAGGCCCTCGACCTCTGCCGGCAATTGTGATTGACAGAATGGCAGGCTCCTGCACTACTCCCATGAGGTCGTTGCCATCATAGTACTTCTCCCCAACAGCCGGAAATTGCCACGGACTTTCATTTTGCCATGGATGGCCTGATGTTCAAACGTCCAAGACATCGAAACCGCTACAGGAACAAGCTGTATGACCATTGGCCAATGAGAGCGTTTCATGAGGCATTCCAATTCTGGGACCGCCTCGTTCTTGGTCGTGTAGAGGCAAGCCTTTGATTTGCAGATCTGTTCCAGGATCTCAGACAGCCCAAAATGCCATCGATTTCAAAGGCGTCGCTGCCTCATGCAACTTTTCAACTGTGGATTTTCCTCAACGAGACCCATAGACACGATTTATCTTATCGTCTCTCATGTCTCTGGCCTTCGGCCTCTGTACTTTGTTTTGGACCTGATATGAATCTCTAGTGATTGGTAGTCATGCATTTCCACCTCCCTCAACTTAGCCTACATGCCACCGACCCTTGGCCTGTAGACAATCGTTGGCCGTCGGCCTTCCTGGTATGTTTTCACGTCTCCGAGCTTATATTGTTTGAAGGATTTTGACTCGCTATCAGTATGATCAGTGTTTAGCACCATTACTCACAATGCATCGCAGCACGTCGTATAATTTCTGGTACGTCTGATCTGTGCCGCTGTATTCCTTCTTGTTTCTTATCCCCTCGTTCAGGCAGCAGGACTCAGAGTTATACCTACACGTCAAAGCATCAAGTGCGGAGCACCTGCATACCATTACCAGTCATGTGCGTTCGGTCTGCGCAGCGCGAACGATGTGAAGCGCTGACATCTTGCTATAGGAACAGTCGACTTCTCAGCCTCACCAACACGTCCTACATTCTGTACTAGAGAATACTGCCTACCACCCCACACCCGTTGTCTCCCAGCATCACGTTGCGTGTGACGCAGACTCGACGACAGAGGACCAAATAGTGGTCCCTTGTGATGACGTACCTGATGCAGGTATATCACCGATCCCGATAGCTCAGGGTGACATTCATATGTACGAGATCCCCGGATGGTATCGATGATCTTGTTCTTAGCGGAACTTCTTTGCTTTAGTGATGCTACTGGATGGTGTCCACACCATGTTCCTTCCAGCTATTCTCCCCATGCCTTTTCCGACTATTTGCCTGCCCACAGCATGGGCTTCTCTGACGTAAACTTGCCAACCCTACGCAAGGGTTCCAGCATGACCTACCCCATCAATCACAAGAAGAGGTTTACCTCCATCCTCGATATGCGGTCAGCAATGATGAATCAAAATCGCACATCTGTCATCGTGCGTCTGTGTGCCAGTGGAATGATGGTCATGGCGCATGCGGTAAGACTATAAATGCAGCCAAAACCAAGGAACATATGTCATCATACCATTTCAAGTCGCCTTTGCCCTCTGCCAAGCGCTTGAAATGTTTCTGGAAGGACTGTGAGCTACACAAGCCTGTGCGGCGAGATACGATCATCCGCCACATCGTCGAGAAACATCTCGGACACAAGTATCGAAGCAAGCTCTGGTTAGCCTCTCATACTAGGGCTGGTTCCCGTGGATCCCGGAAAAATACGCACTTGCATTAATGCTGATTGTGTGGCCTATGTTTGTAATCTAATCCCATTTATTGCTCTGTTTGTTTTTGCTGATCGTGTTGCCTTCGTCTGTAATCTAATACCATTTATTGCTCTAGTTTGTTTTTACTTTATGTCGCTCGCTGTTGTCTCTGTGCAGACCATATACTGTGTATATCTGTTAGCCAGTCGCGCGTTAAGCTATGTTTATTCTCTACTAGTTTCCTACGCAATGCATATATAATACGTTTGACACGGTACAGCGGAGATTGTGAATATAATGATATCTCATCACCGGCCGGAGATGGCCAAGTATGTAACTATGTACTCTGACGGTGCATCGACATCTTTGATCATACTAAGAGAGAGGACACGATTGGCACCTTCGTCTTATTGCCTCAAAGATGATGCGGAGATACACGCTTTCTCGCCTGCATGGATGATCTAGTAGCAGCCTTGCTCATTGATACGAAATACAATGCATACTACATTTGTTCAACAATAATGATCAAATTCGAGATATGACATACCACCTAGTTTCGCGGGGTTCGTACTACGTGCAACGCTAAAGGAGACGACACGAGTCTGATCATTAAGATCGACGGAAGCATATTGGAATCTGTAGAGATCTACACAGAGATCTAGATGAATTCTCATTTGGAGGATCGACAGGGAATTCAGAACTCGGTTTGAAAATTTGCAAATCTTGACTCGGAGGTTGTGATGAGCTGTAAGACATAGATCCGATGTTAAACAGAGAACACACACGGTGTGTACTCAGCTGTACTAAGTGAGCGATTTCGAGGTCAAAGAGACATATATAAGCCAGATCTATAAGCACAAGTGTAAGTCAAGGTATGAATTTGATGAAATAATTCTTGAATACACACTTGAAAGCTAGCGAAAGAAAGTTAATGCAATGGCCATCGGCTTTTTGCATCATGTCTGGTTCCACTTAGGTTATCCGCATGTTCCAAGGCTCGGCTCCGAAAGACCTTGGGCGATAGATCTTTATGGGCTTCGATGCGAAAATAGTATACTACATCGAATTCGGAATGTTGAAGTTGAAATCGACAAGGACGCATGAGACGTGACGCGTGACAGAGCACATCTAACAAGAGAGAGAGGTATAAATGCGTGGGGCTAACAGTATGTGTGTGAGAGTATGCCTAGGGAGAGCACGCCGAAACACGTTCTGCGACGAGTCCAAGAGAGAAATTTGCGAGAGGACGTCGGCTGAGAAAAACTGCCGGCCCGGCCTGTTAATTTAGGTACCGGCCTATTGAAAAGTCACCGTAGATAGTCAAGGCAGAGAATGTGAGAGCTATATTCATGAATGCATGACGGTCCATCACGATAGTGTCCTTTGTACAGTATATGCGACTGGTGTTTTACATGTCGGAATAAAAATGTACGATGAAGAGTTGTATAGAATGTACGAACAAAGAATGAGCAGGACCTTATATACTAAGATACACACTAGCCACGAAAGTAGGGATAGCAAATCAGAAGGCATAATAGGACCGCCTCCTACATAGTGCGACCCAAAGTGATCAGTCTTTCAAGTGCAGATGGAACTCACGATGGGTGCTTGCGGCGAAATTTGTCCCCGTAATGTATTTCGCGGATATGCCTAAGAATTGTATCTCGTCTTATGGTCCTCTGAAGCAGGCATCCCCTACATCGACATCGCACCTGGCAGTCGGAGTGCTGATGCTCACGAAGATGGTGCGACGAAATATGCTTCATCACGGTCGTGACCGTATCCGCAGTAAAGCTACACTGGCCTTGGCTGTCGTTCCACAAGCACTGGGTTGGCGATTCTGACACATTAAAATTGTTGGATGAAGGTTCTTGTTCATAGGGTATATCCCTCCGATGGACATGCAAGAGCACGGCGGGAATTTTTTCGTCCGCGTACGGCATTGTGCTAGGCAATTGCGGATCGACGGCGTACCGATAGTTGAGCGAATCACTGGAACGGTAGCACAAAGATTGCCTTGCCGCACTTCGAAAACGTTCGTTCCATTAATAACACAGGATTAACATCATGTGAAGGGAATCATACCTTTGAGCATAATGTTGAGCAACCGCTTTCCCAGAACTCGACAGTGACGAGGTACTGTTTGACAATGAGTCCTCAACATGCGGGTCACAAGAAGCCGATGCACGGTAACTAGTTTTCGACTGAGCGCGATGCTGCGGAACAGCTGATACAGCAGCATTGTTACAGGAGTCCATGTGTACATGATGCATATGGTTCTGCATCGGCTACGTGAATATTAGCATTTCACCACCGTGCATACTGTCAGACTGACATACGTCGTGAGTCATCCCTTGTGAACGTCCGGACGCTTTGACGTGAGCATATAGGTCCGAATCTAGCTTCCTGCCAAAGACATATGCACGGGAGGAGCATAGGGGGGTGGAGGAGACCCACCAAAAATCGTAGAGCATTCTCCAGTCTTTCGGGGAACCAGACGGTTCGTGGGCATCTGATCAAGCAGGAGACTGTTTTATGTAGCCTCGGAGAAATAGATCGCACAGAAGCAGACATGACAGGGAACGGCCAAAAATGGCCTGGAAATGAATGACATACTTAGCTGAAGGTACTAGACGAAAGGCCATGGATATGAAGGCGAATGCCCGGTGAACGTTTGAACACCGATTGCGGTAGCAAAAATCTTTTTCCAAGTCTGTTGTTTGACCGGAAACCATGTCATGTATGTGCATGAATGATATTGTATACTTACCTGTTACCCTTCGCACAATCTCTTCTTGAAGCTTGAAGCCTTTCTTGTTATACTCGCGGTTAAGTTCAGGGTGTGCATTTATGTAATTACATAAGAGCCTTTGAACGGAAATTCGTTTATTCCCACGAATGACATAGTTTATGAACGTGCATGTCCGACTCGGAGTCATCTACTCTATCAGCTCTGCCAGATTCTGCCGCGTGATAGGAAGTCTATCACTCAGTACTCAGTACTAAAGCTGATTCATGTATTTCTCCAACGCTGCAGTGGCGCGTTGACGCTGAGTTAATTCCGACAGGACACATGACCTTTAGTCCCGGCGCTCCACTGGTAGGGTAGTCTTGGCCCTTGGCGCTCAAAATCAAAAGGTTCGTATACATTAGTGGCAGTACGTTTTTCCTGGTTCGGGCCCAAGGCACTCACATGTCATCATTCATTCCTTTCTGGGTCGTGAGCATCAAGCTTACTCGACCCTGGAGCCACCCCAGCCCGCCCGGCTATCAGCGAGCTCATAGCCAAGGTAGATCAGAGCAGAACTTTTTTGTAGCTGATCGTAATTGACGTTCGTGATCTAGCTTGTTGGCGCCGCGTGGGAGTGTAAGCACGTCGGCTCGCTGCATTGTTAAAGACCGCTTTTCGTCGGTTACAGACTCGGACGTCTCTATCCATGAAGTTTCGGTTTACGGTGCAAAACACCCTGCTGCGAAATTCGGTGCGCCTTTTTGAGATCGTCTACAGGGACATCCTAAAGAGAGCTCCGAACTTCACTAGTACATGCAAGGGCATGAGTCTCCGGGTTGCTAATTCAGATCAAGCAACATGCCGTCGTCAGGGTCTATTTGCTTTCAAAGTATCATTAATCTGACCTCAAGGGTATCGCTGCGTTGTACGACGTGGGACTTTCTCCTCAGATAATGCGACTTCAACGGACCTTAAGAGCGCGGCGGGCTGATCCTGCCTTTTCCTCGGCCTATGGCCTCCTTTTATCATTCTTGTTACTCACCTTTACGTTCAAAGACGTTTTTTAAACTCGGAGTCATGGCAATATTCCCGTGTGTAAGCCCCTAGCGACTGGTAAGAATATTTTAGTCTTTCCTCTTCGCCTTGGACTGAATGGTTGTACGTATGACTGGTTCTAGGGCCGTACATAATTCTTAATCATCGACTTTGATGTATGCTTCTGGCGCGACGTTGCTTATGTATTTTCAGTTCTGGGGCTGACCAGCCCTATCAATATCCAATTACATCGTCCCCAACGTATTGCAGCATGCCGTACAATTACCGGTATGTCTGCCCGGCACTACCAGCCTTTTTCCTTGTGATTATTATTTGTGTAGGTAGCCGGATTCTGAATTTCACAAAAAATCTGCGGCAACTTGGAAGGAACTACTGGTTTATGTCTATTTGGTTTTTTAGTGGGGAAGTACTGACGTTTGGATATAGGGTCATTCTGCATTGGCGAATCAGCCAGAATCGCACCCGGTCGACCGCTGAAGTGATGCTCAAGGCTATCCATAACATATGTAGCCTTGACTCAGCGACGCCTCTTTACTCTCCGTGTACCTCCGTGCGACGACCGGTGTGTTGCATCCCTGTATTTCCATTGTCTTGGCCACATTCATACAGCGAGGCAAAGCCGGGGTCGGGGAGCACACTTATTATGCCATTTCGGGTCACCTTTGCCCCCCGAGAGGCAGTTTCTCATGCCACACTTTGCCTCCGCCGATTCCGTAAAAGCGTCGGCCTACTCGAATGATTGTGGCGGAACCTTCGAGTTCAATTTTTTTTTGCAATAATTTGCCCCCTCAACGGATAAATTTCTTGTGACTACGAAGGTGGGACACACCATTGGCATTCCTTAGTGTCTGACATACTCCGGAGTACCATTGGATCGCTGTATCCGGAGAGTGTATCTGGTCCTGGAGTCGACAAGGATGTTCGAAATCTCGTTTGATGGGTACCTATGTATGGTAACACATTGACAGTAAGTAATATTATTCGCCAATTCAACAGAAACCTTCGAGAATCGTAGTAATGCAAAGTTCGCAGGTCAGCGACACCATCCACTTCCCAGTGAATGGCTGAAGAGAAACAATTATCGGTCCCCTGTAAGATTCACGTGCAAGTGATGCATGTAGT